AGGAGTTAACTCATCTCCGTGCTGCTGCTGTATTTATGACCTTTATTACAGTTGTTGCTGTTCTTACATCAATTGCTATAGTCCGCCGCATCCTTATGGCAACATCTGTCCTTAAGGCAAGTATGATGTTCAATTAATCATATTAAATTGTAAGAACATAAATGGTAAAAAGATGATGACACTCAAAGTTGTAGAGACCTTTTGGTTTAAAAAATGTTATGGTTTCTTTGATTTAAGAACTACAAACTCCAATTAGGTGAAGCTGCTCCAAGAAGCTGTATATGAGCATTTGTAAAGTAAAATGCCGATGTAGGATATGTTAGGAGTTAGCCTTTAACTTAGGTTAGGCTACTGTTTCCCTCTGAATTCTCAGTGTATGGTTAAGAAGAAATATACAGAATGATAGAAACAACATGTAAGAAATAGTAGACACAAGACATATTTTTGATACATTTAGACATTGTTTAGGCATAATAGGATCTTATGGATTTGTTCCACAAGTCCACATTTGGAGTTTCATGAACATACTAAAACTGAAAAGATAAGAAACATGGTTATTTCATCAAAAAGCAAAAAGTATTTGATGAAATACATAACTCTTACTGGTTAACCTAAAAAAGGTATGGCATGGGACAATGGCCACTGCATTGTTATTAATGCCTTAATGTGTCCAATACTTCAATCATCTTTAGGCAAGCCCTAGAAATATTTTTAGTGAGCACTGTTAAGCCTGATACGGCTCATCTCTAGATTTGTGTCAAAAGATGTCTTACTCATTCAAGTTGTCAAATTAAGAAAATTTAAGATGGCCAGAAATCTGTATTGAGAGGAGGACTGAGCCTAGCTAATATGCATCAGGAGCCATGTTTCCTATTAGCTATTACCGAAAATATATATTTTTAATTTTGGGATCAATGTTGACGAGTTAAAGCAACTGAAATAATTACATATAACTTATGCATATATTATTACTGAAGTTTCACAGAAGCAAGTGCTGATGTTGCCAATAGCACATAATTGAAAGGCTTTTTATCACAAATGGTCCCTGAGGTTTGCAAAATTATCACATATCATCCCTAACGTTTTTTTGTGACACTAATGGTCCTTAAGGTTACCCTCCACACATCAAAATGGTCTGTGCCGTTAGCTTCTGTCATGAACCATTTGTGATAAAAAGCCTAATTGAAATGTGCACCGTCCACTTTTGGAAACACCAGTCATAACTTATTTATCATAGTACCTGGTAGTCTTCTTCACCCAGAGTTGTTTACTTTCCCTTAACCTCAATGGCTCTATACATTAATCTGTATGCAGGTTGCTGCGAAGGTCATAGGAGAAGCTCAAGCGCTCATAATATTTCCAGTCCTTCCGTATACCATCCTTGCAATTTTTTACATGTTCTGGTTTTCAGCTGCTTTCCATCTGTTCAGTTCTGGTCAAGTTGTCCAGAATGACTGCAATTTGAACTGCTGTGTTTATGATCTTTTGTCAAAACGAGTGAACTGTGATCGTTGTTGCGGTTATAGCATTCATTACACTCCTCATATTGGAGTTGCCATCCTTTTCCACCTATTTGGGGGTTATTGGGCTACACAATTTTTCATAGCATGCTCGTCGACTGTTATTGCGGGTTCTGTTGCCTCTTATTATTGGGCTCGTGGTGAAACTTCAGTAAGTTACTAAGCTATTTGTATAAATGTTTACAACTAAGTTGACTTGTAGATCTTGTTTGTAAGTCTGGATTTTATCTTTGTTACTTGGATTGCAAGAATGGACAATATAGAGATATAAACATGAGTGTTGAATGCTTGGTTGGTATTATAGCATCAAAGCTTTTAGTAATATTTATATTTTATAAAAAAACATAAAGTGGCTTAGTTAATTCATAGTTCCTCTAGATCTTCTGTAACCTAATTTATAATTCCTCTAGAGGTGATGATCCAGTTACTCAGTGTGCAATAGAATATTATTGTTATAAGCCATTGATTTAATGGTCTGTTATGTCATTCCAAAAACTGCTTTTAGAGGTGGTGATCTCGTGCTTATGTGCATGTTAATATTGAGTTGAGAGTAGGGAGTAGACAGACATGTGTTGGCATGCATATCAGTATCTACATGTGCCTGCATGCATGTCAGTGTCTCGACACGCTGATACATGTGTCGGGGTCTGCATGTGTCAATATGCTGAATATATGTTGGGGAATTGTCCCTCCAAATATAATTAATGTCTGCTGGATGATATTATGGGTCTTATTTTTAGTACTTCCAAATCGAGTTACCTGAGTTTTTCTTTTTGAGGACTGGTTGAAGTTTATTTCATTGTGTACCAGTTTTTTATTTTTAGTTGCTCATTATTTTCTTCAATGCAGCCGGAAATTCCATTTCTTCCAGTCTTTTCCTCCATGAAACGGCTTGTGCGCTATAACCTTGGGTCGGTTGCCCTTGGCTCTCTAATTGTGTCATTTGTGGAATCAATCCGCTTTATGCTTGAGTCAATTCGCCGCAGACTAAAAGTTGCTGGAACCACACCTGATAACTGGTTTGGAAAGGCTGTGTACCATACTTCGAGATTTAGCCTGAGATGTATCGAGTGGACAATCAAATCGGCTAATCGCAATGCCTATATTATGGTAATTTTTTACATAAGTAGTAAATGCTCAAGTTTCCGTAAGATTGTTTTTTCTCATATTCATTCATCTTTGTATGACAAATATACAAAAGAGGAACTTATTTGTTAGGAGAAAGTCAAATGCCTCAATCGATTTCTTGTTTATGCTAACAAAAGAAGTGGTCACTACTTGGGAAATTTATGCCTGAATTCAGATTGGATAATGCATCATAGTATTCTCAAGTCTAAAGCGTGTTGTTTTGAGTATGCAATATCGAATTGGTGTGAATTATATGCCTTTTTGAAACTAATGGGATGTTTAATGTGATTCTGGGACTTGACTACATGTACTCAGAGTGGGCCATAAAATGAAGTAAGAACTCCAAGAAGCTTGAAAGAATAAAGAAGTGAGAAGGCACATGAAACCTACCAATTAAACTGTACTTATTTTTGTTGTAACCTACAGGCTACATAACTGCAAACACTATAATGTATAACTTTTCTTTCATCGTTTATGTGCTTATTTTATTATTCATTTTGGGTTTCAGATCCAGATACTGACTTGTTATACCTTCTGTTTTAAATTTTCTGTTTTATATAGTTTGTGCATCTGATTGGTTTCTGGAAAATATGCTTGTTACTCTTGCAGATTGCTATAACGGGTAAAAGCTTCTGTAAGGCTTCTGCAATCGCAACAGATTTGATCATTAGTAACATCCTTCGCATAGGGAGGGTAAATGTGATTGGAGATGTTATCCTATTCCTTGGAAAATTGTGTGTCAGCCTCTCAACAGCCCTTTTTGCGTTCCTTATGTTGGATACCCACAGATACAGATCTGCACACAACAAGATCTCTTCTCCTCTGTTTCCTGTGTTGGTATGGTTAAAAGATAATGCGTTTTAGTGATGATTTGTCATTGTCTGATGAAAGCATTAATATTAGTTACTGCTAGGACAGCAAAGTAAACTTTAATGCTATGTTGTTAGCCTCCCACTCTCTTTAACATCAACGAGGCTTTCTTTAAAATATTTGTAGAGCCTATATTTGATTGACAAGAACCAGAGCACAATAATCGTGTAGATTATATAAATGATTAATCTGCTCTTATATGTTTGTGCAGGTTTGTTGGGGTCTTGGTTATGTGGTTGCCACTCTTTTCTTTGCAGTGGTGGAGATGTCAATTGATACCATCATTCTTTCATTCTGCCAGGATTCTGAAGAGCACCAAGGGACTGCCCAATATGCTCCTCCACTTCTCATTGAAACCCTAAATGACCAAAATGAGATGCAGAGACTTACCCAAGGACCCCAATGATATACTTAGATGTATAATTTTCCTTCCTCAAACTTGCTTGATGGAATTTGAGAATCCTTTTGTAAGGTGCTGTAGTCTAGCCTCCTAGTACGTACTCACCCTTGTCCTTGAATTTTTGTGTTCTACCTGTATATATTATTCAAGTGTTAGGCGAAACCGAGAGGGAAATGGGTGCCTCTATAGAAGATTGGAATATTCATGGATGCGAATTTGAGACATTTGAAAGAAAACTATTGAATTAGAGTATATGAAATGTTATAAAAATCTAAATGAAAACTGCTCAGCTAGCTTTCGAAGAAGTAAATTCAGTGATCATTTTGAGTGATCAAGCATTTATGCAAAGCCTGCAACTTACCATTCTCATGGAGATGAATTCTTACTTGAAACAAGTAAGGTGTGCAATTTCGAGTCAATACGATAATACAATTCAAATTTTTTTCCAGTTAACTTAACATAATACGTTTAATAGGATTGATCCATTTTTGTTTTTTAGTTACTAGGATGGAAAATTATTTCAATTCTTGATATTGTTGCGTTTGCCAACTTGAAATTATTCTGATTTCTGACTTTTCCAGCATTTAGTAACACATACGGAATCAAATATATATATAAAACAGATTAGGCTACTATGTAACCAGCCCATGCATTCGGAAGATTATGCTAGCCATTTCATTTGCCTCTGATGTTTTAGCAAAGTCCCAGTTATAGCTCCATATCAAATTCTATTCTGAAACTAACCTAACGTTTTTAGGTCAGTAGAAGCTGACCTGGTTGAGTAATCAACTTCACACAACAATGAAACCAACCATGCGATCTATAAGAACCATCAAAAGTAACTCCCTTTTTTGGTCGAATATCAAAAGTAACTCAAGCATGGACAAACGTTTAATGAGCAGTTTAAAGCTCAACAAAGAGAGGACTTTCAAAAAAAAATAAAATTCAATACCTAGATCAAGTCTTGCTTGAATTTCATCTTTCTAGAATCTTTTATCAACTTCCCACAAAAGAAAAGTTCATCTCAAAGCCCATATACAAAAGCAGCATCTGTCATGGGCTTCTTTTAAGTTCACCTCTTCTTAAGGTGAGCTCTTGTTTCTTTCACTCATTTTTCTTGAGAAGCTCAAGCGTTTTGGGTCAATTACATCCAGTCGGATCCATATTGTTCGAGCATTCTCCTCCTCTGTCCACTTGATTGATTCCTTCTCCAGTTGCTTTATAATCTGCACAACAAAATTTAGAAAGATATCTATATTCAAATTCTCATCTTCTAAAGGACAGAAACATATGGATGGAATCATAATGTATGAAAAAAACCCTCAGAAGTAATACTCAATTAGAAAGTGTCATGTAGTTTGGCACAAAACCATCCATTAGTCTTCATGTCAAGAAGCCATACAATTTAGCATTGACACGTCCAGTGTTTAAATTAGCCATATTCCAAGTGAACTGGATTAAATGAAATGCTGAAAAACATTAGACCAAAAAACAAACAAAAAGAAAGTCTAGTATCAGAAAGTAAGCGTTGTAACATGAGCTTGGTGATGTAGTCATACCAGTCGTCTCCGGGCAGCTCCCGTCGTGTCATTCGTTCCCACTATGACCTTAAGGTACTTAAAATCTGAAAAGAAAAAAGGAGATAACGAACCAAAATCATTCCATCTTGTGAATTTCATTTCAATAAAAAATGGAGGATCATGATAACCAACCTGGGATGCCAGAGAAATAGGTTAGTTGAAGCCTTAGAAGACGTACAGCTTCCTTGGGTTCATGGTGATGCAAGTCAAGAGACACCACATCTTCTCTGCATTCAATTTCTCACCTGTCATGCCATCTTATGAGGTGGTATAAATCATGGCAAAAGAATGGTTTACAGTACACACCTACTCTGAGCTTCAAGAAGCTTTTGAGCGTATTTCTCGTCTGCTTCCTGTGCCTTTCTGCTATAGAAGTGTCCCTAGACATTCCACAGAGCATAAAATAAAGAATTACAGCCTTTAAAATTGAGCGGACAAGGGCACAAAAATGTTGGACATTACTCGAACCTTCTCTTTTCAGATTACAAGTAGTGTATTTAATCATTTTTCATGTATATTAGGCCACAAACAAGGAACAAAACAGCCTTCAACTGCATCTGAATTCCGAAGATAGGCTACTCCACCTAGACTGCATTGTATTTCCATTACTCAGATTAGGGAAGAAAGGCCAAAACAAGAAGCTAATAACCAGACCGATGACAAAAGAAATTCCAACAATGCCTGACATATAACTATATGCTAAGCTAATATATGTATCACCAAAATATCTCCTTGATTTCCCATATTGGAGAAGTAAAGGATAACTAAGTAACTTCAACTACGTTGTTGACCCACAAGGAAGTAACAAGAATGAAAAAACGTTGCAGGGGGGAAGGGACAAGTAAACCCATATGACATGTCTACTAACTAAACTGTTCCCGTGGATACTGAAGGGATAAATTTTGAGAAAAGAAATTCTAACTCAAAACAATTAGGTGGAACATAAATTATAAGTATTATTTTTATTTAAAAAATCAAAGCTTAAAGAGAGCAAGTAACACAGTTAAACGAAAAACAATACCTCCTCTAGAAGTTTGTCTGTACGTACTTGATCACCCTCACAAAATGCATCAAAAGCCTGCAGAGCATGTGGGAGGATTAGTACTACTCACTATGCCAAAGGATAATAACGATGATCAATTTAGAAGGAGATATTGTAAACCAACAAAAAGTTGAAGTTGAAATTATGCAACAAGAAAATGCTTGGCCTGATGCTACCCAAGCAGAAAATTAAAGAGAAAGTACTAAGAAGGCTATTATATCTCCCTTTTGTCAAGAAGAATAACGGACCACCATTCTCCTATAGCTATGTGGTCTCCTTTATTCCGTAGTATAAATTCTGCAAGTAAATTTTCAGAAAGTTCATAGGAGGATCTTACAGCTTTATAGTATTCCTTCATTGTAATCCAATGTTCTTTTACAGATCTACGTAGGACCTGATAGCTATTGTCACCATCTCCATCTTCTGTTTGAAGGAATTAAAAGCATTAGAAAACTTTATATGGAAACAACTGGAAAAGAAATAGTAATATCCTTAGTCAATCACCACGGACAATCGAAATGAAGCCACACCCATGATTACTAAGCCAAAGGTATCCAATAGGACAAGATCAGTTATTGGGTCAGAGAAAGGTGATTGGATGGCCGCTTAACTAGCATACAACGGAACCAAATCCTAAATCCACTTCCATATAACAGGACAACTGTGACCAAATTATTTAGAACGAAGTAAGAAGCTATCAGGATAATGAACTTTAAAATGAGGAGAGAGAAGTAGAATGATCTGAGGTGCTCCATTATAAAAAATTGAAAGTCCATCCAATGACAATTGGTTGATTGAAAATTCAAATTTCATGTCAGAATTCTTATCAAGCAAATGGAATTTTGCTATTGATAAGCAATAATTTTCTAGTGTTTCCGAGTCTTTTATTAGAATTTTAGTATGATATAAAGACTATTCATACTTCTTTCTTTTTCCAATCCAGTAAAGCAAAGTGCACTGAATTAGACTCAGTTCTGAAAGAACTTTTGGCTAAAGGAAACTTGACCTTCAACTAAATCAAATATATAAGCATCAAATTATAGCTTCCGTACACTGTAGCCATGACCTCTTTACTTCCCCCTAACATCTTAAAGAATTACAGAAAAACAGATAAAGAACGGAAAAAATTAGAAGAAAGAAAAATATTGGATGAGTAATTATATGACTATGAAAAGATTGAAGTTTGTACCTGCACTGGTTACTTCTTCTGGTGCCAGAGTAGCAGTTTTACATTCTACAAGAGTGTCTCTAAAAGGTTCAACCGCAAATTTTCTAAATGCCTTATATCTCTTCACTTCCCTCACCGGGTGACTTCTTTTAGGTGCTTCCTCAGATCTTTCAGGAACATGAAACAATGCTTCTAAAACCTCTTTCTGAAGAACTAACCCATCCTTTTCTTCTATTGGTGATTTACTGCAAGAGTACAAAAACAATTTCAAGGTCCTAGTTAGTGCATAATGAAAGAGATGAAAAAGGAAAAGAAAAAAGAGTAGTTCATTCCAAGTGAAAGCACAATAAGACTCCTCTAAAGTGAACTAACAAATGCTACCGATAACAACATACCTATGGGCAGAATGTTGATCTGGACTCTTCTCTGTAGACTGTTACAGGAAAAAAAGAAGAAAAAAAACTTAAAATGAATAAAAAGAACAAGAAAATGAAAAACTATTGATAGTTATTTCATGTCATAGCTTCAGTGCTAACATAGTGAAACATGGAAGATGATTGAACAAATCTGATCATGATTATAAAAAATATTAAAAAATATTTAAAAAAAGGTACTAATCTCAAAATTCAGTAATTATTTAAGTCCTTTCTCTATCAAGAACTGTTGCTTCTTTTCAATCATGGGCCATAACACTTGTTCTTACTTCTGACAGCCTAAGATCTTTCTTTAATTTTCCCTGCCTGCCATTCAGGTAATGCCCGCATATTAAGTCTGAGTAAAGTATCAAGATGCTATTAAACAAGATCAAACTATCTCAACTGTATTTGCATCTTGTTGTCATAGGATTTTACCTCAAACTTCCAACTAGTGTTTCTCATACTTTCCCCTTTGGCCACTTGTCCATTTGACCAATTTCTCTTCAAATTGTTCAACTAACAATTACTTGACTGTCCAAGCCTTTGGTAACTATACTTTCGCAATTGGCTGGGGATGCATTAAAGCTAAAGCTTACCTTTAAACTAGATAAGCCAATAATATCATCAGACTTCTCCAAGGTTGATGCTGACATGAAAAGGAGATTCTCCATGCTCTGCATAATCAAAATATCAGTTCTTCAAAATTTATGGCATAGATTAAAATGCTGTGTAGCAAAGAGAAAAAAAGAAAAAAGAAAAAAAAAGAAGAGGATATTTGTAAAACAATCTCAATTCACTTGTTGAAAATTGAGTATTGAAATCATGATCTTCTTTTCCAGTTGTTCCGGGGTTACGTTTCTTGAAGGATGTGCACTAATAAATCTAGACAGAGTAATCAAGCTGAAGTTTCGGGAAGAGGGGGTTAATGGCAAGCAGAGAGTGGGTTAATTGGCAGACAGCAGTGACTTTGGACCCCCGTATTGAACAATTTTTTTTAAGTCTAGTAGTTTGCAATCACTTTCTACCATAAAATAATTCTCGTGTCACCATGAAGGCTTTTTTTATTGTCAACTGTACCAGATTAAACAGTTTTCTCTTCAGGTTTGCCTAATCTCCTCTCAAATTTCAACTGACTATCCCATCTACCTTCTACTCGTGCAACTACGTGTAAACTAAAGTCCAATGTTTCATGTATACAGATGTTACGGTCAAGTTTTCTGACTATATTCTACTATTAGATGATGCACTAATATACACTTATTGCAATTGTTTTTATCACATATTTTGTTGATTTGAAGTTTAATCCTTGTGAAATTACCTGTATGCAATTAGTGTTGAGACATTTAGTTGTAAAGAAAACCAAGTTCTTAAGGATGATTAATATTTGGAAAAGTCGACAGAGCTGTGCCACTAATACTTTATCAGATTTTCATGCATAACTTCTTTTATCATACAAGAGTGTAAAAGTATTCACTAGCAGTAATGTAAGAAAATGGAGCAACATAAGAAATTCCACGATACCTTTTGCACATCATATCCACAATGGCCTGCATACAATGAAATTCCCAGTTACACAACGTATTGTCAACCTCAAGAACCTCATCATGAAAGAATGACACTATTATAAAATACAAAGGCACACTTGACCTTCCATTCAACTACAGAAGTGCTTTTCTTTTTATATTTGAAAGGCAACCAAGGACAAAAACAGAACTATCACCTAGAGAACCCAGAAGTGCCATTTTAGCTCAATGGTAACGCTACATCGTTATACACTCATATTGTCCAATGTCAATGGATAGAATCATATTTATCTATCAACTCCGTCTCCATACCGAATGCCAACAGGTACAGATGCCTATTCAGCTCAAGAGGCCACTAAAGAGCTTGGGCAGCATTTGTAAGTTTTGTCGATCAGCCCGTTCAGGGGGTAGGGTCAAAAATTTAGATCAGTTTGATCCACTCAATCTGGTCCTGCTCAAGTGGAACCACATTGAGAACATGGCACTCTAGCAGAGAAAAGAGTTATATATATATATATTTCGCATGATGATATACATTATAAGCACAAAATAAGCGACTCTTTCAGTCTGCCATTGCAAATTGGCAGCAGTGTTGCATCATAGGACAAAGGAGATAATACAATGTATCAGCATCCATGAACAATCAGAATAGGTGTTCCTACAAGGCCATCATTTTATCTCTTCTTATAAAGAGAAGAATGAATTTCTTTATTATAGCTCTAGTACATTTAAGGGAGTTTCACTAAAACACCCAAAATGGAGGCTGAAATTATAAAAAAACCCGACACCCAAAACACTTTATAAACACACCCAAAACCCATCATTACACACTCAAAATCTATTGATAAACACACCCAAAAATATACAATTGTTGATTTTGGGTGTGTTTCTATGTTTAAATAGTGTTTGGGTTTTTTTTATAAATACATGTCTAGGATTGGGTTTATTTATAAATTTGTATACATTTAATGCCTACGAGTATATTTTTCACCATCTCCTGTTTAAGTAATGTAAATGCAAAAGAAACTGAAAGTTCCCTTTGATAGGAGAAATTTAATGAACAGGTGTGTCATCTTCCACTATCCAGATTTGAGTCCTAAGAATCAACCCCTACTCACTAATCGTATTCCAGAGTATTGAAGAAATCAAATTTCTAACGAGATAAGAAGATTTACCAAGAACTTTTCGGATGACATCCATATCAAGTTTAAAGCCCTCTCCAAGCATTTTAAACAGAAACTCTTCAATATCAGCATGCATTTTGCTGTTTTCTGCTGGCATGGTTGATTCAACTTCTTCACTCCATATCTCAAAGGCAGGCACTTCTTTCAGCTCTAACTTTAATGGTTTCTTCACTTCAGTAGATTCATTTGTTGATGATCTGGGCCTAATGTACTCTTTTCCAATCATGCCTGAAACAGTACCCACTGATACAGAATTTTTTTTTGAGTTTGATGCTCTGGTATTGCCCGCTCCATTTAAGGGATTCTGAAGAACTTTGTCAGATGACATTCCTTCTGAAGAAGTTGCACTTGCACCCTCAAATTTAACTTTTGATGAACTAGCACCGTCTGAGGGACTTACATGTGATGCACATAGAATTTCAGCAGCCATTTCTACATTTTGCCTCGCCTGGCAGTAAGCAGAGGCTATGTCCTTGAGAGAGCACATAGAGCTAAAAACTTCAAGCAAATACTCCAAGTCCCTTTTCTGGTCATCGTCGCTTGCAGCAGGTGAGGAAAATGCTTGCATTTTGATATACACTTCACAAAATAAGAATAAGAGAAACAGAATGCCAATGTCAATAGTCAATGCATAATCCGTAACTCCACCAACAAGGGAACAAAATTACTGAAGCTGGTGCATGTCAATCAACTATTTAAAGAAAACTAGCAATGACAAGCAGAAGTCAATCGTGAAGGGAGATAACAAAATTAGTTTAGTATTTCAGACTAATGTAACCCACTAAAAATCATTTTCAAGAGAACTAAAAGAAGTATTGTGCATCCAAAAGAATGTGGGTAAAACAAAGCTCTTATCTTTGAAAGTTCCATATGATTATTGGTTGATTAGTGACAAGTTTGGTTGGTTTGTGACTGTTAATCACAAGCTTTGAACTATTAGGAGGTTGGTCAACTAATATTTTATATTCCAACAATCCCCATCATATGTGTGAGCCTCTCTGCATCACTTGAGAGCCCATGCCCGCACATGGATGATGGAACTTAACCCTAATACGTTCTTGCATAAGAATCTTGTTTCATAAGCTCTACAGAGAAACACACACACTCAAAAACATATTATGAAGTCCTCTGCAAACAAACACATTGAGGATTGTGCTATGAAGATATCATCATCATCATTGAACAGCATAATGCGTATAGTTCAAAATGTAAACCAAGAAAACAATCAGGGTTTTAGTGAGAGAATAATTAGTGAAAGAAACGATTTTGATGAAGGGAAATGTGGAGGAAGAGAGTGAAAGGTCGCTTACCTGGAGAAGATTGAGCGGCGATAATACAGAAGACAAGCAATGGAAAGAGAGCTTTAGAGAGAGAGAGAGAGAGAGAGAGAGAGAGTCTTTTCGTGTCTTTGTGTGTGTTTAAGGCGTCTTGCTTCTCATGGAAGAAAAGGAAATGGCAGAGCAACAGTGAGAGGGAGTGGCCGTGACTGACTGTGTGAGTGAGAAAATAGTAGCATGAGAGTTCCACGCGATGTCGTAAGGCTGCGTCGTACGCACTCCTTTCGCGGTCTTCTTACTTTGCCTTTTGGTCTTCTTTCTTTCTTCTTGATTTCTTATAGGGATGGACAACAATGGAATGGGAATTCATTGGGCGTTTGGGTGTTGGGCTGTGGTGATCTGGTGGTGTGCGCACATTGAATTTTCACTTTTATTATAAAATGTGGTTAGTACTTAGTAAGTTGTGAGTAAATGTGATTCAAATTATATTATTGATTTTTCTTTAAAAGTTACAATTAGATATCACCAAATTTTTTATAACTTTTTAAAAGTCGTGATTGAATACCACCAAATTTTTAAAGGGAGTTTCACTAAAACACCCAAAATGAGGGCTGAAATTATAAAAAAAACCCAACACCCAAAACACTTTATAAACACACCCAAAACCCATCATTACACACACTCAAAACCCATTTATAAACACACCCAAAAAATATATAATTGTTGATTTTGAGGTTAATTTTGGGTGTGTTTCTATGTTTAAATAGTGTTTGAGTTTTTTTATAAATACATGTTTAGAATTGGGTTTATTTATAAATTTGTAATTTTTAAATATCTTTTAAAAGCCACAATTAAATACTATTGGATTTGGACTTTTATAAACTCATTAAGGCCTCGTTTGGTATGCCAACTAGGACAAAACTGGATTGGAGTCATTGGACTAGCTAAGATTGGACCATACTTTAAGTCTGTTGTTTGATGCTATAACTGACTTTGGACTGGACTGGAAAACATAATAATTTTGAACCTTTTTTTTTCAGCATCTTTTCTTTATGAGAGATAAACATAATTTAGCAAAACATAAGGAAAAAGATAAGTTAAATTGAAACAAAAGACACAATCGATTGTATATGAGAAATCTGAGAATAAAAAAGACACAATCGATAACTTAAATTCAAACCAGAAAATCAAGATACCAATTATCAAAATATCTCAATATTCAACAATAAAATCGAAAAGAAAAAAAAATCTTAGATGGAGATTGTGATGTTGGTTGAGCCAAATCAAAGTCAAATACACCTCTTTCTTGAAGGAAAAAAAAAGAGAAGAAAATGAGAGGCATGGATACCACTTAATTTTTAAAAACTTTTTAAAAATCATAACTGGACACCACCAAACTTTAAAATAGTTTTTTATTAAAAAAAAAAAATCACAATTGAATACCACTAGACTTTTATAAACTCGCCAAAAATTTAAATTGAATACCTCCAGACTTTTTTCCTCTATAAATGTTCATTTAATGTTCTAACTCTTTTTTAACTTTAACAAATTCTCATAACTCGGATCCAATAAATAATCAAGCATATATTTATGGATCTTGAGTCTCTGCATTTAGCATCAGTGCATTTATACGCATTTAAAGGAATCCTAACCATTTAATTAATCTTATGGCTAAAATTCTACCACGTCAACATAATTATATTAAAACCTTAAGCACTGGATCATTTACCACTATTTTACGTTGGAGCTACATCATCACCACAACCACTCTTTTACATTGGAGCTACATCATCATCATCATCACAACCACCCAACACTGCTGACATAAAGAGATTCAAGTCTCTTGCCAAGATATTCAAGTCTTCTGTCAAGAAGCTTAGACCATGGATGTTTTGAAGAGAACTAGGAGGATGTCTTTTTTGAAGTAGTTGGATGTGTTTTGTCAACATGTTAGATGTGTTTTATGAATGGTTTATTGGATGTGTTTTTTGAGTCTCTGGGCTAGAACTTAGTGTGGTTGTTTTGTAAGGGATGTTTTGTATTTGGTAAATTTTGGAACCTGAATTGGGTTTATGTTCATCTATCTTTATGCTTCTGTTTCACTTAGAACCTGATTTGGTATATTTTGGAACCTATAACTGGGTTTTATATATGCTGAAGAAATTGTTTTATATTTCTCACACCTCTTGATCGACACCCACTACTATTTGTCCAACATTTCTATATTTGTTCATATCACAATTATCCACTCATGCCCTCACCTAATTCATCATAAGCTTTTCAGAGTTTCCACCAGGAAATGTCAACCAATTGCTCAAGATACAGAGCATCATCATAATCACCAAAAACCCAAGACCCAATGACAGAAATGAAACCCCCCAAATCCGATTCTCTCTTGGTCATTGGCCTACTCTTTTCTCTTCCAACAATCTTTTCTGCTTGTCTAATTCTCCAACTTTGTACTACAATTCCTTATTTTCTCTCTCCACCATTTTCAGCTTATCTTCCACTTCTTTCTTTTGTTCTTCTATTAACTTTAGGTCCTCTTTTATTGCTCTCATTCTTCTTAGCAATCCAATGATTAGTTCTTTTCCTCTTGCACAGGTCAGTGCGTCCAACCACTCCCAATGATGCCCATTTCCTCTATTTCTCTACAAAGTAAGTTTTCTCACATCAAAGCTAAACTCATAAACCAACAAAATAAAATTTCACAGATTAACTTATTCGACTCATCTCACAAGCCTCAAATCTTCTCATAGGATTTAAATTAGCCCATGAAGTCCAGGTTTTGATATATCCTCCGCACCTGCATAACTTCCTTGCACTAGGGCTTTGATTTGTTGATGAAGAAGAAATCTACGACATTTTTGCGCATGCATTGTGTGGTCTTCCCAGATTTCCTTTGAATTTCCAAAAATTTCAACACATCTACTATTTTTATGTGGATTTCTTCGAATATAAATGGAAATTGGGGATTTATTTGGTGCAAGATTTGACATTTTTCAGAGGAAAGTTACTTTAGATGGGAGGTTGGACATTGTAGACTTGAAAAGACAAATTTGCCCATGAAATTGACACCACGTTAGACAAATTTGATGGAAGGACTACTGGTGCAACAAAACACCTACTTGAGTGACATCTGCAACTAATAATTGAATTCAATGATCTAAATGTAACTTCAGGTATAGTTGAGGGATCATTGCTGTGAATAACCCTAAATAGTATAGCCACAACGCTATATGTGGTTATACTTAGTTTTTAATTTTTTTTAAAGAAATAGTACAGCCACGCGTCTCTACTCAGTTTTGCTAATTTTCTAATGGGAAATAGTATGGCCATGCTATACTCGGTTTTTTTTTTTAAGAAATAGTATAGTTGAGCTGCGATACTCTGTTTTTTTAATTTAAAAAAATATAGTATCACTGCTTGGCTATACTAGGGTTTTCTAATTTTTTTAAAAAGAAATAGTATAGCCGAGCGGCTATAATCGGTTTTATATTTTTTTTTAAAAATAGTATAGCCGGCCGGCTATATTTTTTTTTTTTTTTTTTTTTTTAGCCGAGTGGCTATACAATGTTTTTTTTTATATTTAAAAGGTATAGCTGCCCGGCGATATTATTTATTTAAATTAAATTAAAAAAGAACCCACCTAGGCGGCCTATTTTTCGAAAACTTGAATGGCGTGTTTTTTTTTATATTTCTTTTTTTTGGGGCTTGATAACTCAGTCTTTGGTAAATTTAAAAGTATCAGTTTATCTTCTAATCTTAAGGGTACACTTAATGCAACCCCTTTTACTCCTTCTCCCGCTCCATCTCCAGAGCCAACAATTTCTCCATATCCTGTGTCTCCAGTTCACTCTCCAGCACCCTCACCTGACACAGTAATCATCTCCCACCAGCACCATCCAACCAAGGTACCTCCAAATCCTCGTCCATGTCCATACCGCAGTTCTGGAATTCCTCCAAGCTCCTCACCAACTTCTCATCCTAACCCTACTGTTCCTCCTACTTGTGCACCTAATGGTTCCCCTTACTCGCCTTCTACGAGTCCCTCATCTCAATTGCCCCACCATGTGTTACCTGCACCTGTCGTGTCCAATGCAACCAAGGGAAGTGCACAAGACTTGATTTCTCCATCACCTTCTCCATCCTTGTCATGTAAGTTACAAGCAGTAAGATTTACCTTTTTTTAGTTGGCATGTATGTTTTGTGACTTAATGCATTATGTTGTTTGTCTTTTATGGTTTCGGCAGTGTTAGTTATTCATATAGAAATAAAATGCAGGCTTAGAGTTAGAGTTTATAAGAAATTTTGATTCTTTCCTACAATAGAAACTCGGATAATGGCCTAATAGGAATGGATATTGCTTTAAATTACTCTTACGATCGAGGAAAATCAGGAGTTAAAAAAAAAAGGCCAAAAACGAGTACAGCCGCGCGGCTGTATTCTTTAAATACATTTCTTAGGGAGTACAGCCGAGCGGCTATAGCTGTACTCTTTAAATACATTTCTTAGGGAGTACAGCCGAGCGGCTATAGTATTTATTTTTTATAAAAAAAATATAGGAGCCGCCTAGACCGCCCAGCCCGCCCAGCCCGCCTAGCCCGCCGATTTTCTGTTCAAGTCTGGATATTTGGATATGGTTGTGTAGGCTAAAATTAGAGGGAATGGCTCCAATTCTAAGATGATTACATTAACTGGGTCTCTTTTCTTTGGCTGAATTCTTAATTATTTATGAGTTTTCTGTCAAATGTTTTTGGTGTTCAGAACTGTAAGTTTTGATATGGGAATGGGTTTTCTGTGCAAGATTGAATTTGTAGATTTGGTTGTGTTGGCCCCTGTAAATTGGGTTGAGTTGGTTGTGTTGGCTCTCTGTAACTTTGGTTGAGTTGGTTGTGTTGGTTTAAATTAAAGAGAACTCGTTATAAAAATCTGAAGACTCTCAATTTTTGAGGGAGCATCTCTTGTGATGATGATGAATGATGATAAAGGTTATATTGTATGAGGGATGTGGTTTAGTCTCATAAATCATAAAGGGGAATATTCTTTTTGCTGCTCTTTTCTTCACGAATACTTGTACCTGCAGGTTAGGCTTGAAGTGATGGGAAAGAAGGCAAAGAATGCAACCAACATTTCTGGAAATGAGGCTGGGAAAATTTCAAAAGAGATCTAGAAAGTGGAGAAGAGAAGGAATGTTAAGAGTACTCTTTGCAATGACAGAAGTTCTCGGAGCCATTGAATCCATTGCCAATGGTGATTCTCATGTGCCTTTCAGAGACAGCAAACTGACCATGCTTCAACAGGTAACTTTTATTCACACTAATGTCAGTTACTAGGGATTATATGGTGCCCTGCCCTCTAACCTTGTATGTGAATGACAGTTCTCATGTTCTTTTTCTTTCGAAGATGATAAAACATGCAGGATTCTTTCGAAGATGATAAAACAAAAATTTTAATGGTACTGTGTGCAAGCCCAGACCCCAGAGGAAATACACAAGACAATCTCCACCCTCGAATATGGTGCAAAAGCAAAATGTATTGTCCGTGGTCCTCATATGCTAATCAAGGATAAAATTGGGACTGAAGATTCATCTGCTGTTATTTTAGGATCAAGGATTGCTGCCATGGATGAATTCATCCTTAAACTGCAAAGGGAAAATAAGCTCAAAGAGAAAGAGCGAAATGAAGCACACAGGGAGTTACAGAAGAAAGAAGAGGTTGCTGCACTGAGAGCTAAACTTGAGCTTATGGAAGGTACGGGATCTGGGAAAAAGGAGGAAGAAATCAACTTGAAGGTGACTGACCGTGAGTTGGAAAATAAGTTGGAGGAATGCCAGCGTATGGCAAATGAGTTTGTTGAATTGGAGAGGAGGAGAATGGAAGAAAGGATATTGCAGCAGCAGCAGGAAGCTGAAATGCTGAGGCGGCAGTTGGAGGAAATTGAGCTTGAGCTATGCCGCTCAGGTGATGGAAAAGGTAAGGAGAGGGGGACAAAGGACCATGATGGAACCCAGTTTGCCTAAAGGTTGTTAGGGATCTATGCCAGTGATGATGCAGGAAGAATGGTAAAGTCAATGGATTTGGACATGGGTGATCAAGAACCTTTTGCTCGTGAGGTGAAATATGTAGGTGGGGTTGCTTATCAACTGACAGCAGTATTGTAAATGCTGTAAACATTGATTCTTTTGAACCAAAATATGCTGATAGGGTATGCCTAAGCACTATTTTTGAGGAAGAAAAAATGGAAGAAGAGGAAGGACTTAAGGAAAATGTGGAAGCTGAAGAAGTGGAGAAAGAAGTTATAGAGGAAAAGAGAGTGTGCACGGTTGATGGGTCTAGCCTCCAGAGTAATTATAATATGGGAACTACAGAGAGCTCTCTGAACATGTGACAACTCCAGCACCTACTGTTGCATCAGTTAAATCAGAAAATGAGCAGAAACTGACAGAAGAGGTAAACAAAAGTCGAGTATGTGATGAGATGGCATTGGCTTCCAAGGAGAACTACGACCCTTCACTGATGCAGATATTGAAGTGTATTTGAAGTGGGAGGCTTCAAAAGAGAATCCAGGGAAGTTCATTACAACACTTAAGGTTGTAAAAGATGCAAGCCTTGCTGACCTGCGAAAGTTGATTGCAATTTATCTTGGTGCAGACAATCAAGCATTCATTTTTCTCATGCTTGGGGTATGTCATTTCTAAATTCTCTAGCTTGTTGATCTCTTCTTAAAAAATAGAAAACTTTATTAAGACAATCATACTTACATGGTTTTTTTTATTGACAAAAAAGTTGTTATAAATCAAGAAATATAGTGCATCTCTGTGATTAAGAAACACTTGATTCAAACTTCTATTGTGTATATAAGCAGGACCCCACTGGAGCTTCAGTACCAAAGGAGAAGGAAGCAACAATTCAGGTCACTAAGCTTCCTCTATGCAACAATAAATCAAATGGCTACCTTGCTAGTTTGAGACCACTGAAGGGAATGCAAAGCCCAAGTCAGCTCCTTTTAATTCCTCTCCCATTGAAATCACTGGAAAATAGACTACACTAATTAAAATAATTAAAAAAGACTAAGATTTTACTTAATAACATAAATTAAATTAAAGAAGGTCGCCAAAAAACAAAAATAAAGAAACTAATTTTATACTTTTAAATAATTAATTACTATTTATTAAGTAATTTATTAAATCAGTAAAATATTTAAATATTCACTAAAGAAACAATAATTAAAATGTAATAACTAATTAAAGTAATTAAAAAAACAAGCATTTTATTTAATTACATAAATTAAATTAAAGAAGGTTTCAATAAAACTAAAGTAAAGAAACTAATTTTATACTTTTGAAGCGTATAGCCGCGTGGCTATACGTTTAGAATATTCTTTTTAAATAGTATAGCCAGACGGCTAGACCTTTAAAATAGAATATTTATAGTGTATAGCCGTGCGGCTATACTCTTTTAATATATCACCAACAATAAAAATATGGATTTATAGTGTCATATTTTCTTAAATATATTCGAATATTTAAGTAATTTATGAAATCATTAAAATATTTAAATATTAACTAAATAATAATTATTAATTAAAATAATTAAAAAGGTTAAGATCTTACTTAATTACATATATTAAACAAAAATAGTTGGCAAAAAAAGGTAAAGAAACTAATTTCAAATAAAATAAAAAAAACCTCTCCCGACGAATGGTTTTGTTGGCAGAGACCTAAGCTAGCAAACATTTGCTGGATGAGACTTCTCCTAATGAATGTTGGCTGACATAGGTCTATGATATTACTAATCAAAGCAATTAAAAAAAGGCTAAGATATTACTTAATAACATATTATTAAACTAAAGAAGTTGGCAAAAAAAAGAAGTAAAAAAACTAAAGAAAGTAATGCCATATATAAATTTTGATACAATCACAAAACTAACCAGGCTTTGAATAAAATGTCACGGGAATATCAACTCAGCAAGTCCAATTTGGGCTTGAATTCACGGGGATATAATAGGAATTCATTAAAAGGATTTCATTAATAAGATTAAAATGAAATGTTTTCAAGTCACAAAACACACCGTTTCATTAAAAGGATTTGATTCCCCAATTTCAAAACGGCGTCGTTTCACTTTGGTATTATCAGAAAGAAAACCAGGGCGCAGTGGTCATCTTCTTCACAAGAACTGCGTCTCAGGCAGCCTCAGTTGCAGCTGCAAGAGATTTTCCGGCAAGGGGAGGTGCAGCTGCACCTCCTTGCTCCTTAATAGGTCCATCAGTAACAGCTTTAGTTTGCAGCAACAGGAATCAAGGGCAGCTTGTGTTTTGCAAACAGCATGGCGCCGCTATAAAAGAGAGAAGCTTCAAAAGTCTCCTAGGTTGGCTAAAGAGGGTAGTCTTTCTGCCACTGATCACCATGCTGTCTCAGAAACACAGCATAAATAGGTATGGCTAATAAACTGTTAAAGCATTGATGTAATTCAGGCAGTGTTAGAAAAATCGGCCTAGGCGGGAGGACACTACTGACCAAACATGTTAAGCTACGGCTTCAACATTGTTATCAAGCCATTTTGTTTCAGAGTGCCTGCTCATTTAACCAGCCAGTGTTTGAAAAATCGGCCTAGGCGGCGCCTAGGAGCTAGGCGGCCGCCTAGGTGGCTGCCCAGAGGGTTTTTATGGTGGCTCTTTTATTTCTCCTACTTTGATGATTTTAGATTCACATGTTAAGCTATGGCTTCAACATTGTTATCAAGGCATTTTGTTTCAGAGTGGCTGCTCATTTAACCAGCCAGTGTTTGAAAATTTGGCCTAGGCGGCGGCCCAGAGGGTTTTCATGGTGGCTCTTTTATTTCTCCTGTTTTGATGATTTTAGATTCACATGATAACCTACGGCTTCAACATTGTTATCAAGGCATTTTGTTTCAGACTGCCTGCTCATTTAACCAGTCAGTGTTCCAAAAATGGGCCTAGACGGCACCTAGGCGCTGGGCGCCCGCCTAGGCGGCCTGGGCGTGTCTGGGTGTGTCTGGGCAAGTCTGACTCAGAAAAATGAGATGATGATGATGCTATGTGTGAGAGAGAGAGATGAGGATTGAAGAAGAAGATAGGTCGCGGGTTATGTCTGAGCGAGAGAGAGGAGACAGCTCGGGTTAGACTTAGGGTTTGAGAAGGAAAATTTGGACATCTTGCGGCCAGCCTATACCTCGAAGAAGGAACACCTTCCAGTTGCAGCCAGAACGAAAGACAGACAAAAGAGCCCTCCTCCCGTATGCGTGGCTCGTGGACCTTCCTGTTCCCATTCCCGTTCCGGAAATGAGTAAGCTTGCTTGGGATCATGCACCTCACTCGGAATAGCAATGAGTACTAATAAGAGTAATCTGGTCTGGGCAAGAGGAATCATCTCTTTTTGCATCAACCATTATCTCATTTGCATTAACTGCTTCATAACTGCAGAACGTGATTGGCTAAATTGTTCATGAGTAAATAAATCAATCAAGCTACCTACTATTTCTTTCTTGGCAGGGAAAGCGTCAGGGGGAAAGATTCTGACACCAGTTTAACATACCTCTTGGTAGGTAAGTATTGTGGTATTGAGGTGGATGTTGATAAGTTAGAGAATGCCTTCACTTGCACTAGTCCAGGTAAGGATTGAAGAAGGTGATGATAATGAGTGTGTGTATTATGTTATGCTAAGTTAATACTAGTTTCAGTTTTTTTCTTCAACATGATCTCAAAAGTCTAGATTTTTTTTTTCTTTTCAGATTAATTTTTTCAAGGCAATCTCAACTACCCAAATTTCCTATGTTTTTAAATGACAACAAAAGAAAAGGCATCGCGGCCTGTTGATTGGAGGGTTAACTCATCTGATTAGTACTTTTTGGGCTTGTTTTGTGCTTTTCTTTTGCATTACATGTTGCTTTCGCTATCCAAAAATAAGCAATGCTGTTTTGCCTGATAGTGGCTGTTTAATTCAAGACGTGAAAAATAGCTCATAAGATATTTTTTGCACTTCCATCACAAAACATGCTTGCCTGGGAAAATAGAGGTTCATCTGTATTGTTTACCTGTGCATGCATTTTAATTTCTCCAATCTAATTGTCCTCTGTATATCTCTGTTCTTAAGTTCCTGATAAAATATGTCCTCCACTTGAGTAAATGGCCAAGACAGTAGTGCATATTCCATAGGGTGGGAGAACCTTGGTTGGTTCAATGTCTATGTCAAGATTGGACTGCTCCTCTGGGTATGAATATATCAAAATCACCTTTTTTTTTCTTTTTTTTGGAAGTATTAGAAACTCTTTCTGATGATTGAAAAAGAAATTGTATAATCTAATAACAATTTCTTCAACTTGGGCTCAAGTAATCCTGTCACATGAATTTAAAATTCTTTTGTCACGCATTTAACTTGTTCTGTATTCAGTCGGGTTCAAGATTATTTGGTTTTATTGGTGCTGGTGCCACACTTGGACAGCGTTTTGGGTCATTGTTTGCCATGTATGTTTGCTTATTCAGTCTTTTGGAATTTGATATTTGCTGTGTGTGTGTGTGGTGTTTGTTGTTTGTTGTTCTTAGGATGAGCTTTTGTTATATAGTTGTTGTTTTGTCTAGTTTTTAAAGTAATTAACATGATATATGCTGTGCAGAATGTTTGCTTATGCACTGAAAGTGTATACTGCCTAGCTTGTTGCATGTTTGCATCTGTTTTTAAGTTAATCACCTTTCAGCTTTCCTGCTGAAGGCAATTTATGGGTCCTATCAGTAAAAAAAAAGCCAGTCTCATGCCAGGGATATGTTTCTATTTCTAGACATCCTAAGAAATATTAAATATAATTGAAGCAAATCAGGGAGCATTTTTACAGAAGTAGAAGCTATAAAATAATGAAAGCAGAAGTCAAAAGAGACAGGTCCTCGTGTCAAATGAAGAAGTTGCCAACTGAGTTGAATTTGGTCTAAATCGAACATCAGTAATTATCAAGGAGTGCCCCTCTGGTGTGCTTTCAGTTTGCAGTGTTTCCATATTCCAGACAACAACCTACTGACATGAAAAAACGAAAGAAAATCATTCACATCATTCCTTTTCTCATTAATATTAAAATTTGGATAACTTAGGATTATCTAGTTGTTTGAATCAATTGAAGTCACTAATTTGTTGAATTCCAAAGTAACAGTTTCAGAACATCTCAAAATAGCATCAATCTAAAACGAGTTCTGTTACAATTATCAGATAAGAAGTACCTAAACCCAATCAGTAAATCAATTACTTAGCTTACAACAAGACTTGAACCTGGGCTCTACCTCTTCCCCATCCAACCCCAATGCCACCTGAGTTGGATCATGGGCATTTGATAAATCAACAATTGTTTTGCACCATTTCTCAAACCTTCTGATTATTTGATTGTGGATAAGGCAAAATCAAACAGGGTCAATTTGAGTTTGGGCAACTATAGCACCATGGAAGAATCAGGAACACCACAGATTCTCTACTTATATATATATATATATATATCAGTTATTCTCCTATGCGGACGTTCGGACGTTATTATCGTGCGGACGCCATTGTAAACAGTGAGGAAAGGAGGGAGGGGTGAACCTTGGTTTCCAGGGTTGGACAAATCAAAGAGAAGCAGGACATAACCTCTTCTTCAGGGTTGGTGCTGGGAAGGGTTCATCAGCTCTAAGCCACTCCTTGGTTTCCATAAATTAGGGTGAACCTTGGGAGTTGCATGCTTTCAATCAATATCATCAGAATCAATTGATTGGCTTTTCACTGCAATTAGTCGTATGGCATACAGTTCATATTCAAATTACATAGGTATTTTATACAAGTATATACATTTGGAATTATATGAACTTGTCTACAAAACAAATATTTGAAGCAGATTTTGGGATCCTTTTGGATAAACAAATATACAAACTGATATTTGGTGCAACCTTAATGGAGACTTGAGAATAAACTTTGAGTTAAAACTGGTGGGACTAATATATGATGATGAACCGAAATCAGTAATGGAATTTTAATACTGACCTGATCTGTAAAGAGCCAAATGTATGTAATAACTTAGGAATGCTGCAGCCATTTGACAACCAAAACAAATAAGCTAATGTTTTGTTAGATGCATCCATGGACATTGTCTTTTTGCTGATTTCATTTACTTTTTGCCTTGCTTTACATGCCAAATTGTTTGATATTTACATCTGATATGCAAGTTAATCACATGATGTATGCATTTTGCAGCTTCAGCAGTGGGACCTTTCTACAAGGAGATCCGTTTCTTGGAATTTTCAGGACTCTTGATCTTTCATCCCCTCTGCTGGTTACGATGATGGTTCGTTTTCTCTATGCAAAGGAGAATTTGCAAGGCATACAAAAACACCACTGCACAATGATGTTCCATGCTCAGTTTTGTTTTGGCAAGGATGGTAGAGTGCCCATGTGAAAAGTTTGACACAACAGGTTCCTTATGCGACAACACATATAATGGTGGAATTGTCCCTGCCAATCGCAACTATACCGTCATCCTGGGAGTGAAAAGCAAGACATGTTGCCGCAGGTGGCAGTGGCATGACTTTCTTCATCGTCTGCATTTTTGCACAACAAATTTTTATGAGTACAATGAGTTAGATCATGAGAAATTTGCAAATAAAACCTAAGCATATTGACAAACAAGTTTTGGGAAGTTTTGGCTGGGAATAGAAAATTTCAAGAATACTATTTGTGTTGGGTTTACCTTAAATGTTGTCATGTCAAAAATGGAGATCATCCCTCCTGTTGCTGATATGAGATATGAATCATTCTTGGACAAATCAAAGCAGGACATAGAGTCTTCAGGGTTGGTGCTGGGAAGGTCATTGTTCATCAGCCCTAAGCCACTCCTTGGTTTTGGCAGTGTTTGTTATTCATATAGAGATAGAATGCAGGCTCAGAGTTAGAGTTTATAAGAAATTATGATTCTTTCCTACAATAGAAACTCGGATAATGGCCTAATAGTATTTGATATTACTTTAAATTACTCTTACGATCGAGGAAAATCAGGAGTTAAACAAAATAGTACGGCCGGGCGGCTGTACTCTTCAAATATATTTCTTAAGGAGTACAGCCGACCGGCTATACGATTTATTTTTATAAAAAAAATATAGGAGCCGCCTAGACCGCCTAGCCCGCCCAGCCCCGCCTAGGCGGCCGATTTTCTGTTCAAGTCTGGATATTTGGATATGGTTGTGTAGGCTAAAATTAGAGGGAATGGCTCCAATTCTAAGATGATTACATTAACTGGGTCTCTTTTCTTTGGCTGAATTCTTAATTATTTATGAGTTTTCTGTCAAATGTTTTTTGTGTTTAGAACTGTAAGTTTTGATATGGAAATGGGTTTTCTGTGCAAGCTTGAATTTGTAGATTTGGTTGTGTTGGCCCCTGTAAATTTGGTTGAGTTGGTTGTGTTGGCTCTCTGTAAATTTGGTTGAGTTGGTTGTGTTGGTTTAAATTAAAGAGAACTCGTTATAAAAATCTCAAGACTCTCAATTTTTGAGGGAGCATCTCTTGTGATGATGATGAATGATGATAAAGGTTATATTGTATGAGGGATGTGGTTTAGTCTCATAAATCATATAGGGGAATATTCTTTTTGCTGCTCTTTTCTGCACGAATACTTGTACCTGCAGGTTAGGCTTGAAGTGATGGGAAAGAAGGCAAAGAATGCAACCAACATTTCTGGAAATGAGGCTGGGAAAATTCCAAAGAGATTTAGAAAGTGGAGAAGAGAAGGAATGTTAAGAGTACTCTTTGCAATGACAGATGTTCTCAGAGCCATTGCATGGTAGGATTCCCTTGGACTTGCAAATATATGATAATTCTTCCCCAGGTCTTGTCACTAGTTGGATATAACTTGCTTTCTATTTCTGCACAGATAATCCTTGATGTCCCAACAGTAGGAGGACGCTTGATGCTTGTGGACATGGCTGGCTCTGAAAATATTGAGCAAGCTGGCGAAATTGGATTTGAGGCAAAAATGCAGGTAATGTCTTGGTAATGCTTAATTTATGCTGATACTGTATGTAGCACTTTCATTGTCATTGTAACAAATGTTAAATTATGGTTATATTGAATTCACAGACTGCAAAGATCAACCAAGGAAACATAGCTCTCAAAAGAGTGGTTGAATCCATTGCCAATGGTGATTCTCATGTGCCTTTCAGAGACAGCAAACTGACCATGCTTCTACAGGTAACTTTTATTCACACTAATGTCAGTTACTAGGGATTATATGGTGCCCTGCCCTCTAACCCTGTATGTGAATGACAGTTCTCATGTTCTTTTTGTGCAGGATTCTTTCGAAGATGATAAAACAAAAATTTTAATGGTACTGTGTGCAAGCCCAGACCCCAGAGGAAATACACAAGACCATCTCCACCCTTGAATATGGTGCAAAAGCAAAATGTATTGTCCGTGGTCCTCATATGCTAATCAAGGATAAAATTGGGACTGAAGATTCATCTGCTGTTATTTTAGGATCAAGGATTGCTGCCATGGATGAATTCATCCTTAAACTGCAAAGGGAAAATAAGCACAAAGAGAAAGAGCGAAATGAAGCACACAGGGAGTTACAGAAGAAAGAAGAGGTTGCTGCACTGAGAGCTAAACTTGAGCTTATGGAAGGTACGGGATCTGGGAAAAAGGAGGAAGAAATCAACTTGAAGGTGACTGACCGTGAGTTGGAAAATAAGTTGGAGGAATGCCAGCGTATGGCAAATGAGTTTGTTGAATTGGAGAGGAGGAGAATGGAAGAAAGGATATTGCAGCAGCAGCAGGAAGCTGAAATGCTGTGGCGGCAGTTGGAGGAAATTGAGCTTGAGCTATGCCGCTCAGGTGATGGAAATGGTAAGGAGTGTGGGACAAAGGACCATGATGGAACCCAGTTTGCCTAAAGGTTGTTAGGGATCTATGCCAGTGATGATGCAGGAAGAATGGTAAAGTCAATGGATTTGGACATGGGTGATCAAGAACCTTTTGCTCGTGAGGTGAAATATGTAGGTGGGGTTGCTTATCAATCTGACAGCAGTATTGTAAATGCTGTAAACATTGATTCTTTTGAACCAAAATATGCTGATAGGGTATGCCTAAGAACTATTTTTGAGGAAGAAGAAATGGAAGAAGAGGAAGGACTTAAGGAAAATGTGGAAGCTGAAGAAGTGGAGAAAGAAGTTATAGAGGAAAAGAGAGTGTGCATGGTTGATGGGTCTAGCCTCCAGAGTAATTATAATATGGGAACTACAGAGAGCTCTCTCAACATGTGACAACTCCAGCACCTACTGTTGCATCAGTTAAATCAGAAAATGAGCAGAAACTGACAGAAGAGGTAAACAAAAGTCGAGTATGTGATGAGATAGCATTGGCTTCCAAGGAGAACTACGACCCTTCGCTGATGCAGATATTGAAGTGTATTTGAAGTGGGAGGCTTCAAAAGAGAATCCAGGGAAGTTCATTACAACACTTAAGGTTGTAAAAGATGCAAGCCTTGCTGACCTGCGAAAGTTGATTGCAATTTATCTTGGTGCAGACAATCATGCATTCATTTTTCTCATGCTTGGGGTATGTCATTTCTAAATTCTCTAGCTTGTTGATCTCTTCTTAAAAAATGGAAAACTTTATTAAGACAATCATGCTTACATGGTTGTTTTTATTGACAAAAAAGTTGTTATAAATCAAGAAATGTAGTGCATCTCTATGATTAAGAAACACTTGATTCAAACTTCTATTGTGTATATAAGCAGGACTACTAAGCTTCCTCTATGCAACAATAAATCAAAGAGATATTTAGTGATATACCCATTCTTAGCACTAATATTATAGATAAACCCTCCATCATTGAATTTCTATAAACAAACCCAAAAAAAACCCCAAAAATGACAGCTGGCCTTATTGAATTTAATATTGATTATTAAATTACTTTAATGCCTTATTAAGTGTTTTGGGTATTTTTATGAGATTTTGAGGTTGGGCTTGTTTTAAGAAATTTATGGTAGTTTTGTAATTTATAAGAAGTTAAGGCCTCTTTGTTATGTTGTAAATGAGTTTTGGGTGTGTTTATAAAGTTCATTTCATATGGGGTATTTTTATAATTTGAGCCCCCATATTGGGTATATTAGTGAATCTCCCTAAATCAAATGGCTACCTTGCTAGCTTGAGACCACTGAAGGGAATGCAAAGCCCAAGTCAGCTCCCTTTAATTCCTCTCCCATTGAAATCACTGGAAAATAGACTACACTAATTAAAATAATTAAAAAGACTAAGATTTTACTTAATAACATAAATTAAATTAAAGAAGGTAGCCAAAAAACAAAAGTAAAGAAACTAATTTTATACTTTTAAATAATTAATTACTATTTATTAAGTAATTTATTAAATCAGTAAAATATTTAAATATTCACTAAAGAAACAATAATTAAAATGTAATAACTAATTAAAGTAATTAAAAAAGACTAGCATTTTATTTAATTACATAAATTAAATTAAAGAAGGTTTCAAAAAAACTAAAGTAAAGAAACTAATTTTATACTTTTGAAGCGTATAGCCGCCTGGCTATACGTTTAGAATATTCTTTTTAAATAGTATAGCCACACGGCTAGACCTTTAAAATAGAATATTTATAGTGTATAGCCGCGCGGCTATACGTTTTTAATATATCACCAACAATAAAAATATGGATTTATAGTGTCATATTTTCTTAAATATATTCGAATATTTAAGTACTTTATGAAATCATTAAAATATTTAAATATTAACTAAATAATAATTATTAATTAAAGTAATTAAAAAGGCTAAGATCTTACTTAATTACATATATTAAACAAAAATAGTTGGCAAAAAAGGTAAAGAAACTAATTTCAAATAAAATAAAAAAAAACCTCTCCCGACGAATGGTTTTGTTGGCAGAGACCTAAGCTGGCAAACATTTGTCGGATGAGACTTCTCCTGATGAATGTTGGCCGACATAGGTCTATGATATTACTAATCAAAGCAATTAAAAAAAGACTAAGATATTACTTAATAACATATTATTAAACTAAAGAAGTTGGCAAAAAAAAGAAGTAAAAAAACTAAAGAAAGTAATGCCATATATAAATTTTGATACAATCACAAAACTAACCAGGCTTTGAATAAAATGTCACGGGGATATCAACTCAGCAAGTCCAATTTGGGCTTGAATTCACGGGGATATAATAGGAATTCATTAAAAGGATTTCATTAATAAGATTAAAATGAAATGTTTTCAAGTCACAAAACACACCGTTTCATTAAAAGGATTTCATTCCACGAATTCAAAACGGCGTCGTTTCCCTTTGGTATTATCAGAAAGAAAACCAGGGCGCAGTGGTCATCTTCTTCACAAGAACTGCGTCTCAGGCAGCCTTAGTTGCAGCTGCAAGAGATTTTCCAGCAAGAGGAGGTGCAGCTGCACCTTCTTGCTCCTTAATAGGTCCACCAGTAACAGCTTTAATTTGTAGCAATAGGAACCAAGGGCAGCTTGTGTTTTGCAAACAACATGGCGCCGCTATAAAAGAGAGAAGCTTCAAAAGTCTCCTAGGTTGGCTAAAGAGGGTAGTCTTTCTGCCACTGATCACCATGCTGTCTCAGAAACACAACATAAGTAGGTATGGCTAATAAACTGTTAAAGCATTGATGTAATTCAAGCAGTGTTCGAAAAATCGGCCTGGGCGGAAGGACACTACTGAACAAACATGTTAAGCTACGGCTTCAACATTGTAATCAAGCCATTTTGTTTCAGAGTGCCTGCTCATTTAACCAGCCAGTGTTTGAAAAATCGGCCTAGGCGGCCGCCTAGGTGGCTGGCCAGAGGGTTTTTATGGTGGCTCTTTTATTTCTCCTGTTTTGATGATTTTAGATTCACATGTTAAGCTATGGCTTCAACATTGTTATCAAGGCATTTTGTTTCAGAGTGGCTGCTCATTTAACCAGCCAGTGTTTGAAAAATTGGCCTAGGCGGCCGCCCAGAGGGTTTTCATGGTGGCTCTTTTATTTCTTCTGTTTTGATGATTTTAGATTCACATGATAAGCTACGGCTTCAACATTGTTATCAAGGCATTTTGTTTCAGACTGCCTGCTCATTTAACCAGTCAGTGTTCCAAAAATGGGCCTAGACGGCACCTAGGCGCTGGGCGCCCGCCTAGGCGGCCTGGGCGTGTCTGGGTGTGTCTGGGCAAGTCTGACTCAGAAAAATGAGATGATGATGATGCTATGTGTGTGTGAGAGAGAGAGAGAGAGAGAGAGAGATGAGGATTGAAGAAGAAGATAGGTCGCGGGTTATGTCTGAGCGAGAGAGAGGAGACAGCTCGGGTTAGAGAAGGAAAATTTGGACATCTTGCGGCCAGCCTATACCTCGAAGAAGGAACACCTTCCCGTTGCAGCCAAACGAAAGACAGACAAAAGAGCCCTCCACCCGTATGCATGGCTCGTGGACCTTCCTGTTCCCGTTCCCGTTCCGGAAGTGAGTAAGCTTGCTTGGGATCATGCACCTCACTCGGAATAGCAATGAGTTAATAAGAGTAATCTGGTCTGGGCAAGAGGAATCATCTCTTTTTGCATCAACCATTATCTCATTTGCATTAACTGCTTCATAACTGCAGAATGTGATTGGCTGATTAGTACTTTTTGGGCTTGTTTTGTGCTTTTCTTTTGCATTACATGTTGCTTTCGCTATCCAAAAATAAGCAATGCTGTTTTGCCTGATAGTGGCTGTTTAATTCAAGACGTGAAAAATAGCTCATAAGACATTTTTTGCACTTCCATCACAAAACATGCTTGCCTGGGAAAATAGAGGTTCATCTGTATTGTATACCTGTGCATGCATTTTAATTTCTCCAATCTAATTGTCCTCTGTATATCTCTGTTCTTAAGTTCCTGATAAAATAGGATTTTGGTCAATATGTCCTCCACTTGAGTAAATGGCCAAGACAGTAGTGCATATTCCATAGGGTGGGAGAACGTTGGTTGGTTCAATGTCTATGTCAAGATTGGATTGCTCCTCTGGGTATGAACATATCGAAATCACCTTTTTCTTTTTCTTTTTTGTTGAAAGTATTAGAAACTCTTTCTGATGATTGAAAAAGAAATTGTATTGATCAGAAATTGTATAATCTAATAACAATTTCTTCAACTTGGGCTCAAGTAATCCTGTCACACGAATTTAAAATTCTTTTGTCACGCATTTAACTTGTTCTGTATTCAGTCAGGTTCAAGATTATTTGGTTTTATTGGTGCTGGTGCCACACTTGGACAGCGGCTTGGGTCATTGTTTGCCATGTATGTTTGCTTATTCAGTCTTTTGGAATTTGATATTTGCTGTGTGTGTGTGTGTGGTGTTTGTTGTTTGTTGTTCTTAGGATGAGCTTTTGTTATATAGTTGTTGTTTTGTCTAGTTTTTAAAGTAATTAACATGATATATGCTGTGCAGAATGTTTGCTTATAAGCACTGAAAGTGTATACTGCCTAGCTTGTTGCATGTTTGCAGCTGTTTTTAAGTTGATCTCACCTTTCAGCTTTCCTGCTGAAGGCAATTTATGGGTCCTCCTATCAGTAAAGAAAGAAAGCTATTCTCATGCCAGGGATATGTTTCTATTTCTAGACATCCTAAGAAATATTAAATATAATTGAAGCAAATCAGGGAGCATTTTTACAGAAGTAGAAGCTATAAAATAATGAAAGCAGAAGTCAAAAGAGACAGGTCCTCGTGTCAAATGAAGAAGTTGCCAACTGAGTTGAATTTGGTCTAAATCGAACATCAGTAATTATCAAGGAGTGCCCCTCTGGTGTGCTTTCAGTTTGCAGTGTTTCCATATTCCAGACAACAACCTACTGACATGAAAAAACGAAAGAAAATCATTCACATCATTCCTTTTCTCATTAATATTGAAATTTGGATAACTTAGGATTATCTAGTTGTTTGAATCAATTTAAGTCACTAATTTGTTGAATTCCAAAGTAACAGTTTCAGAACATCTCAAAATAGCATCAATCTATCTGTTACAATTATCAGATAAGAAATACCTAAACCCAATCAGTGAATCAATTACTTAGCTTACAACAAGACTTGAACCTGGGTTCTATCTCTTCCCCATCCAACCCCAATGCCACCTGATTTGGATCATGGGCATTTGATAAATCAACAATTGTTTTGCACCATTTCTCAAACCTTCTGATTATTTGATTGTGGATAAGGCAAAATCAAACAGGGTCAATTTGAGTTTGTGCAACTATAGCACCATGGAAGAATCAGGAACACCACAGATTCTCTACTTTTATATATATATATATATATATATATATATATATCAGTTATTCTCCTATGCAGACGTTCGGACATTATTATCGTGCGGATGCCATTGTAAACGGTGAGGAAAGGAGGGAGGGGTGAACCTTGGTTTCCAGGGTTGGACAAATCAAAGAGAAGCAGGACATAACCTCTTCTTCAGGGTTGGTGCTGGGAAGGGTTCATCAGCTCTAAGCCACTCCTTGGTTTCCATAAATTAGGGTGAACCTTGGGAGTTGCCTGCATTCAATCAATATCATCAGAATCAATTGATTGGCTTTTCACTGCAATTAGTCGTATGGCATACAGTTCATATTCAAATTACAAACTGATATTTGGTGCAACCTTAATGGAGACTTGAGAATAAACTTTGAGTTAAAACTGGTGGGACTAATGTGATATGATGATGAACCGAAATCAGTAATGGAATTTTAGTACTGACCTGATCTGTAAAGAGCCAAATGTATGTAATAACTTAGGAATGCTGCAGCCATTTGACAACCAAAAAAATAAGCTAATGTTTTGTTAGATGCATCCATGGACATTGTCTTTTGCTGATTTCATTTACTTTTTGCCTTGCTTTACATGCCAAATTGTTTGATATTTACATCTGATATGCAGGTTAATCACATGATGTATGCATTTTGCAGCTTCAGCAGTAGGACCTTTCTACAAGGAGATCCGTTTCTTGGAATTTTCAGGACTCTTGATCTTTCATCCCCTCTGCTGGTTAGGATGATGGTTCGTTTTCTCTATGCAAAGGAGAATTTGCAAGGCATACAAAAACACCACTGCACAATGATGTGCCATGCTCAGTTTTGTTTTGGCGAGGATGGTAGAGTGCCCATGTGAAAAGTTTGACACAACAGGTTCCTTATGCGACAACACATATAATGGTGGAATTGTCCATGCCAATAGCAACTATACCGTCATCCCGGGAGTGAAAAGCAAGACACGTTGCCGCAGGTGGCAGTGGCATGACTTTCTTCATCGTCTGCATTTTTACACAAAAATTTTTTATGAGTACAATGAGTTGGATCATGAGAAATTTGCAAATAAAACCTAAGCATATTGACAAACAAGTTTTGGGAAGTTTTGGCTGGGAATAGAAAATTTCAAGAATACTATTTGCGTTGGGTTTACCTTAAATGTTGTCATGTCAAAAATGGAGATCATCCCTCCTGTTGCTGATATGAGATATGAATCATTCTTGGACAAATCAAAGCAGGACATAGAGTCTTCAGGGTTGGTGCTGGGAAGGTCATTGTTCATCAGCCCTAAGCCTCTCCTTGGTTTCCATAAATTAGGGTGAACCTTGAGAGTTGCCTGCATTCAATCAATATCATCATAATCAAATGACCAACTGTCGCTTCGGTTTCAATTTGAAAGGAAAGTGAGGAGAAATCTAATAGGAAAGAATTATAAAGCATGTCATTCTTTACCACTCCACTGGATTTAAGATCCTGTGGCCATTTCCAAAGAAAATGAATGCCATTTGATGCTAACACCAAAATGGCATCACCTCCATTTGTGTAGAACAGCCTTGATATAATGAGAAGCTACCAAAACATTTTAATGGCAAAATCTGAAACTTAAATATTAGATATTCCCATGCTTATATGCTCTCAGTGCATAGGCAGAGAAAAACTATAAATCAGTCTCAGAATTGAGAGACCTCATATTGAATTAGGGTAAACTGCCGAATTGCCCCCTGAACTTGTACATAATTATCAATTTACTCACTGACTTTTTTTTTAGTAAATTAAGGGCTCGAATTAAATTTTATTCTCAATATTACCTATGCCGTCTAAATCATCAACATTTCATTAAATTTTCTGTTAACTCATTAAAAATAGGGTTATTCGCAGCAATGGTCCCTCAACTATACCCGAAGTTACATTTTGGTCATTGAATTCAATTATTAGTTACAGAGGTCACTCAAGTAGGTGTTTTGTTGCACCAGTAGTCCCTTTCGTCAAGTCTGTGACTTTTTCCATTTAAAATGATAATGTGGCAAGCATCTTACAGATTCTTGATGGGCAAATCTGACTTTTCAGTTAATTAAAACGAATCTTTTGCTTTTGAAGAGAACGACAGTTGCACAGAAATGGCAGTCTGAGCAAAAGGGAAAAATCGTGAAAGTGTAGGGTTTTCAAATCGAGAGGTATTTGACTTCGATTTTTAGGGGATTTTAGAACATTATCTCAGCATTATGCTTTAATGGACTAAGTAGGATTTTTTGGATTTTTTTTTTTTTTTTTTTTTTTTTTTTTTTTTAAATAAAAATTTATTTATTTTAAAAGATAAAGTACAGATCTAGGATTTCAATTTTGTGAAAATCACAGAGAAGTGCGGGTCTACTGTGTGTGGAGACTTCTTTAAATGGAGACAATTTTTCAGTGGTCTGGAGAACCCCCCAAGTATGGCAAGTTACTATAACCTAAATATTCCTTCTTCATTTTATATTGGTTCATATTCTGTTTACAAATGTGTGGTCCTTTTGTTGACAATGAAGTTTTGGCTTTAAGGTTGAAAAAAATGTAAGTTGGAGTCTTTATTATTGACTATGGTCTCTATTCTATCGGTTTGTCATGGAAGTGATTTCACACTTGCACATGTCTGCACTTACTTTGTCTTCATTGTTTACTTTATCTTCATTGTCACGGAAAAAAATGTAAGCATACCTTTGTGTAATGTGGTAGATAAAGCAGAGCTGTGTACTCTTGAACTCCACCACTTTGGTCTGTTGGAGAATGACGTGTATAAGGGAGGCAAAGTATGTTATGTTGACAATTGTATTCATGATTATCTGTCATTATTGGATTTAAAGAAAATTGGGATAGATCTTTGCTACAAAGTTGATATAACACAAAAGGTTACAAACTTAAAAGTTTACTATAAGGGGCCTGCAAAAAGTGGTCAGCATGTTGTGAATGAGGTTGTAAATGATAGTTGTATTCCAGGGTTGGTTGGGAGCATTTCATCATATTAGGTATTGGTGTTGTATTACCATGATCCTACTCATAACAACGAGCTAGAGAGTGAAGATGAAGAGCAAGAACAGCATAGTGAAGATGTTGGCAATGAAGAGGAAGAGCAGGAAAAAGAGCATGTTATTGTTGACAGTGAAGATGAATTAAGTGAAGAAGAAAATGGTAATCAAGAGACTGCATCAAGAGCACAAGATATTCACGATGCACCAAATGTTAAATATGCACAATGTTTTGAAGAGATGAATGAAATGCCTCTTAATGAAGCCACAAGGGAGATATCAGATGATGATGAAGATAGTGATTGACTTCCTTCTGATGGTGATAGCTCTGATGGTGAGGAAGATGGTCAAAAAAAGATAAGCAAGAGGAAATGGAAGATACCAAATTTTAAACAGTTTAGGAAAGAAACTGATTTGAGAAATCCAGAGTTTAGAATTGGAATGCAATTTGCCAAAAAGGATGAACTCAAGGAAGCTATTAGGGAGTATGCAATTGTGCAAGGGAGGAATGTTAAATTGGTAAAGAATAAAGGATTCAAGCAAAGTGTGTAGGTTACATGAGATGCCCTTTTATTCTGTTTTGCTTCCAAGATAGACAGAGATGAGCAGACATTTGCCATAAAGACTCTCTCCTTAGAGCACAAGTGTACTAGAGTAGACAAACTTAAATATACTAATTCAAAGTGGCTGTAAACAAGGTTTGGTGACAAGATTAGGAAAAGTCCTGAGTGGGATGTAGGGGCATTCCAGTCTGAGGTATTGGAAAAGTACCATATGAATGTTTCAAGGCATCAGATTTATAGAGCAAAAAGCTTGTCCAAGGTTATCATTGAAGGAAGCTATGTGGAGCAATATGCGAGGTTATGGGACTATGCAGAAGAGTTGAAGAAGGTTAACAAAGGCAGCACTGTGATTATAAAGAATTAGATGAAGGGTGATGTACCTGTGTTTGAAAGAATTTATGTATGTTTGGAAGCTTGTAAGAAGGGATTTTTGGCAGGATGTAAACCTCTCGTTGGTATATATGGATGCCATTTAAAGGAACCTTACACATGGCAAGTTTTAACAGTCGTTGGTGTTGATGGGAATAATGGAATGTGCCCAGTTACTTATGTTGTTGTAGAGGTGGAATCAAAAAGTAGTTGGATTTTGTTTCTTGAACTTTTGATTGAAGACTTAAAAATTGAGAATGGGAAAGCTTGGGTGTTTATTAGTGACAAGCAAAAAGATCTAATAAGAAAGAAGTCTACCTGAGTTCATATGAACCTATAGTACACCCAATACCATCCATGGACCAATGGCAGAGAACTAATCGGCCTTCAATTAAACCTCCTCCATATAAGAAGTAACCTGAAAAACCCAAGAAATTAAGGAACAAAGAACCAGCTGGAGTTGAAGTACCTGCTCCAGTTCCTCCAAACCCTTTGCCCCCATATTATAATCCACCATCTACTAAGTTGAGAAGAATTTATGTAAAGATAAGATGCTTTATTTGTGGCCAGGAGGGACATAATAAGACACGGCATGCCAACCAAGGGGCAGCACATGTATTTGTGTTATATTTTCTTTAGTTTAATTTCCTTTTGTTATTATTTACTTTAATTAATTTTTTGTTTTTGTTATTGTAGGCCCTTCCTAATCAACCCAATCAAGGAACATTTGGCTCTTCTACAGTCCAAGGGGCAGCTCAGGTATTTAAGTTAAAATCTCTGTAGTTTAATTTCTTTTTGTTCTTTAGGCCCAACCAAGGAACATTTGACCCTTCTTTTTGTTATTTGTTTAGTTTATTTTAGTTTTTTAGGCCCAGCCTAATCAGCCCAACCCATCTAGAGGCAAAAGGAGAGGTAAAGGTACTACTACAGGAAGAGGGAAAGGAAATGACAGAGGACAAATGCCAAATGGAAGAGGAAATGTGGATGGGGTTTTTTGTTCCAGCAGCCTGACAAATGGGCCTAGGCTGCTGTAAGAAGACAACGAGTAAAATCCCCAAATGCCTGAGTTCGAAACCAAGCTCCCAAAAGAGTTTTTAGAAAATCTGATGAGATTTTAAAAGAACACTCTCAGGATCACTTTACTAACACCCAAATAAGCATGATGATTTCACTAATGACTTAGCCTGAGGAGCATGTGGCATGGGAGCTAAGCTTTCACGAGTTTAGCAGTTTGAGAGAGAGAGATAACAACATGAGTTTCTTACAGAGGATAAAATCTAAACTGGGAACGAAGGAAAAAATTAGCAAGGTTTTATCTCAGGGAAAAAAGAAAACAACGGAGAAAGAGGATTGGGTGGCTTGAGTAAATTCCAGGTTGCTTGACAAAGCTTGGTCAGGCTCTGGATGGTTGGTTTTTTTCTGGGTAGCAAAAGTCTCCTTTTATAGGCGTTAAGAGCTCTAATTTTGTCTGGTCTTCCTCTTCCTTTTTCCTGGGCAGCTCCTACTTAGCCCTATTTTCGGCAATTCTCTTATCAAGGCGTATGGGAAAGGAACCATTGTGGTTCCAACAGGTTTGACGCAGCTGGACCTCCCTACAAGGGTGAGGCGCCACTTTGCTTTCTCTCTGCATTTTCAAAACAGAGCTTGTAATGGGGAGGGAGATGGGTGGAGCCTTTTGTCCGATGGGTATTTGCCCTTTACCCATGAATTTCTGCTGGTTCTTGCCTTGACCCTTTGTTTGACTTGTTTGAAGTCTTATCAGAGGTGGAACACGATGACAGCTTTTGTATAAGCTGCTGGACTGGGCTTGTGCGTGACTTTTGGGTTGTTGGCCTATTATTTCTAGTGAATTTTCGTCAAACTGCTGGAAAGGGCTTTTAACTCTATTGATGTGGGTTGGGCTAAGCATTTTGGTAGGTTTTTGGTGTCTTCCTAGAGCATGGGGCAATTTTTTCTCTTCTCTCTCATGCTAACCCATGTGCTTGGGTTCTAGGAACGGGCTTGAGTTTCAAAGCCCCCCAAGTGGCTTTGAAACTTACGTTCCTTGAACCCTCAATGGGCCCCGTGATTGCTTGTTTCCTTCCATACCACAACCTTCTCAGTAAGCCCCGGTTAATTTTGTGGCTTGGGCCCACTTAAGCTCGTGACGTAGCTTGGTGTTAGAATAGTGGCTCTTTGCGCATGATTTCTATGCTCGTGCTTGGGGTTTTATTATGCCGTGATAGGCTATAGTTAGGCCAAGTAGCACCGAATGAGCATGTGAGCGTGATTTAGTAATATCGGTATGTTCTTGGCTCCTTCTGCACGTGCTTGCTTAGCATGATTCGTGGCTTGTAGCTTGTGTTGGCGGCTCCTATAAATTCTCTTTTATCCCGATTGAGCTTATTTTGCATCCAATCACCTATATTGGGCCAAGGGTTAATTTGGGTTTAGCCCCTTGGATTTTTGGGCCTCAACAAAATGTAAGTGACAACTCTATCATGCTACTTTGGTTGGTTAATTTGGTTCAAATTTAATTCATGTACTTTGGTTAGTTAATATGGTTCCATTTTATTTTAGGTTGGAAATGGGACAACAGAAATGCCAAACAAGCCATCATCATCACAACCACTCTTTTACACTGGAGCTACATCATCATCATCACAACCACCCAACATTGCTGACATAAAGAGATTCAAGTATCTTGCCAAGAGATTCAAGTCTTCTGCCAAGAAGCTTAGACCATGGATGTTTTGAAGAGAACTAGGAGGATGTCTTTTTTGAAGTAGTTGGATGTGTTTTGTCAACATGTTAGATGTGTTTTATGAATGGTTTATTGGATGTGTTTTTTCAGTCTCTGGGCTGGAACTTAGTGTGGTTGTTTCGTAAGGGAGGTTTTGTATTTGGTACATTTTGGAACCTGAACTGGGTTTATGTTCATCTATCTTTATACTTCTATTTCACTTGGAACCTGATTTGGTACATTTTGGAACCTGTAACTGGGTTTTATATATGCTGAAGAAATTGTTTTATATTTCTCACACCTCTTGATCGACACCCACTACTATTTGTCCAGCATTTCTATATTTATTCATATCACAATTATCCACTCATGCCCTCTCATCAACAAAATGGAAACAAATTGAATACACCAACACCAATATGTCCACCAAACTCAAACTGAAATTTCATTGCAAAATGAACTACATATTGGTTACATTTCCACCTAATTGATCATAAGCTTTTCAGAGTTTCCACCAGGAAATGTCAACCAATTGCTCAAGATACAGAGCATCATCATAATCACCAAAAACCCAAGACCCAATGACAGAAATGAAACCCCCCAAATCCGATTCTCTCTGGTCATGGCCTATTCTTTTCTCTTCCAACAGTCTTTTCTGCTTGCCTAATTCTCCAACTTTGTACTCCAATTCCTTCTTTTCTCTCTTACCATTTTCAGCTTATCTTCCACTTCTTTCTTTTGTTCTTCTGTTCTTCTATTAACTTTAGGGCCTCTTCCATTATTCTCATTCTTCTTAGCAACCTATGAATTAGTTATTTTCCTCTTGCACAAGTCAATGCGTCCAGCCACTCCCAATTATGCTCATTTCCTCTGTTTCTCTGCAAAGTATGTTTTCTCACATCAAAGCTAAACTCATCAAGCAACAAAAAAAAATCACATATTAACTTACTCGACTCATCTCACAAGCCTCAAATGTTCTCCCATGATTTAAATTAGTCCATGAAGTTCAAGTTTTGATATATTCCCTTTACTTGCATAGCTTCCTTGCACTAGGGCTTTGATTTATTGATGAAGAAGAAATCTGCAACATTTTTGCTCATGCACTGTGTGGCCTTCCCAAATTTCCAAAAATTTCAACACATCTATTGTTTTTATGTGGATTTCTTTGAATATAAATGGAAATTGAGGATTTATTTGGCGCCAGATTATACATTTTTCGGAGGGAAGTTACTTTAGATAGGAGGTTGGACATTGTAGACTTGAAAAGACAAATTTGCCCATGAAATTGACACCATGTTAGACAGACTTGACGGAAGGACTACTGGTGCAACAAAAAACCTACCTGAGTGACCTCTGCAACTAATAATTGAATTTAGTGACCAAAATGTAATTTCGGGTATAATTGAGGGATCATTACTGCGAATAACCCTAAAATAAAAATAAAAAGAAAACAAAAACCCTCTCACTAGCTTTGGTATCTCTCTCTCTCTCTCTGTAAATAAACTTTGGAGAAACCAGCATGTGGCAACTTTGCTGAAGCGGCATTTCGTTCCTAACTTCTCATTTCTCTTTTCCTCCGTCTCTTCGGTCTCGGCAGCCGCCACCAAACTCTCTCTCTCTCTCTCTCTCAAACGAGTAAGATTTCATTTCTATGCGTTTATGTTTCAAATTGTCGTGCCATTTTGCTAATTGTTGATTATTGATTTCTATTCTGACATGCTATGACAAATGGGTTTCCTTACCAATTCAATTTTTTATATGATAAAATTCTATTTGTATCTGCTTTTCTAGGTTTTTAGTGAATTGTACATCTTTGCTAGGCATTTTCACAAACACATAAAAAGCTACATATTTCTGGGCCAGAGAAACTTTTAGTTTTAGTGGTCATGTGCAATTAATATCTGAATTGTAAAGCTAGAGACAAGAGAGAAAGAAGTAGAATCTGAATAGGTGTTTCCAATTTCTTTGATTGAGAATAACTGAAACAAACTGCAGTGGCCCTTAATTATACAAGCTTGTCTTTAGATTTCAGCTTACAACACTTTTTGTAAAAATAATAAGAAACAAAGTCATTGATTAAGGGTTTTAGATTGGAAATTTTCAACCGGTCTTTCTAATTCAATAAGAATTAGTACCGAGAAGCGTGTGCCCATCACTCCAGCAATAGCACCCAAGATAAAGTATAGGGTCCAACTACAACTATATTAGCCAACTATGCATACAACTGAATCATAACCAATTGTAATAGGCTTGGATCAGCTGCTGTCTAGTGCACTACTCCTTTGGTAGTCTATAATGAATGAGCATATGAATTAAGGAATAGTTGCTAAGATTGTTGCCTCTTTGGTCACTGAGCTTCAAATTGTATGATGATGTTGAAACTTGATGTTAATCAGGAACTTTTGCATTTGAAGTTTCTTGTATTAGATTATCCAATAAGCAATGAGGTTTAGTATCCAATATGTTGTCATGCTAAAGCAGTCTAATTGGGTTTGGCAGCAAGATATGGGAGCCAGAGGAGTTATTGGGGATAGATGGTCCATGAGGGATTCTATGGGCCTGTGCAATTGGAAGTGCTGCCAGTATGAGTTCTTGACCTTTTCTTTCATAGGTTCTTGATTCAAATAGCTACTTAATTTCCAAGTCAATGTTTCATAAGGAAAATGCTTGGTCTTCTCTAAGTTTTACAATCCTTTTGGCTTACTTACTGAAGCACTAATAGTATATATTCCACACATAAACAGAATATCTTACCTCTCTGAGTTTAGCGAGGCATGGTGTGCGGCTACATCCGTTTGTGAACTAAGATGTAGGGTTGCTCAAATTTCAAACCAAACACATGGATTCAATTCAATCCAACAAATTTTAGTTGCCTTCTGTAATTCTCAATTGGATTGGATGGGAAATAGATAACCCAATAATAACTAGATTCTATCCTCTAAACTGATTTTTTTTTAACAGGTGAGTACCCTTAATGAATTGTGGTATAAATAACACCATGTTTTATATAATTGTTGCTTATGTGCATTTGTCTTTGTTTCAAATACTTGACACCTCCTTAGTTTGCTGATGGTGTTTGTTACTTGTGCTTAGGCCTATACATGGTTGCTGCGGAAAGGCAAGCACAGAACAGGCAACGAATGTTGGCTGAAGAGTTGAAGGCCATGGAGGCAGAATCAGGCAATGGCGAGGTTGTTTGACTGTTGATAAATTATAGGCAATAACTACTTTAGAGCTTTCCAGATTTCCCAAGTTGGCTTCATTATCATGTTGGCCATTGTGAGGATTATGTTAAACTGTTTTGTCTGCTGTTTCCATTACAATTCTGGTTTTCAGAGGATGATAATGCATAAGTGGTTGCAGAGATTGGTCTGTGCACAGGAAGGTATATACGTTCAAGAATGACAAATATTTTGGTGACAAATTATCCAGTGTCTGACATTTCTTATGTGATCTATGCACGCACATTGGCAAGATTTTCATCTCATCTCCTTAGTTTTTATCCCTAGTTTTTATCTAAAAACTGCTCGGATGGTTTTACTTGAAACAACCCACTCACTTTGATGCAAAATTATCACTGTTTTTAATACTTGAAAGTCTGACGTTGTTGCAAGGGGAGGCTATTTAACATTTGATAAATTTAGTAGTAAAGAAAGCTCATTCTATTGAGAGAGCTACTAGAAGTTGTCTTGGCTTATCCAAAATACAGTAAATAATGTTTCTGCTTATCTTTACTTTGATGAAGCAAGCTCCATTTAATAGGGTATAATGAGAAGTATTTTTATTCAATAATATATGAAAAATGTGTGAATTTTACCAGCATTGTTTTCTAAAAATATTTTATCATATCTTTTAGGTAATTTGATATAACCAATCTGAAAATCTAAAATCTTTTCAAATTGTCAACACTAACAAGTTTCATTCCTTGACCTCATGTTGTGCAATATTTTGTAACAAAGTAATCTGACATGCCTTGTCTTGGGTATTTACAAGATCTTGGTAATGTTAAAACCGTGCTGAGTGTTGTGGTAATAGTCTCTGCTCACAGAAGGTTCATGACTCCGGACTTAAGCAACTAACAAACCGTCAGTGCAGGGCTCTTGGTGCTTCCAAGTTTCCATCTTCCACAAGCAACAACCTTCAGAGAAAGCTAGCCTCACTAGATGTATATATAAATCCATGCAACATAATTAGAACCAAACAAAAACCAAGATATTTGACAAAGATGGCAATACCAAAATGTGCCTGCAGCATTGGTTTGCTGGTGTTTCTGTGCTTAATTAGCTTGAGCAATGCCCACAAGTTCATTAAATCTGAGGCCCCTGCTAGGGTCAATCGAAAGATGATGGGCCAAGATAAGCCAATGGGTCAAGGGTTTGGCTCAGGTGTAGGTATTGGCACTGGGACTGGGACAGGTGTAGGCATTGGCTCAGGTGGCAATGGTGTAGGAATTGGGGAGGGGTATGGTATTGGCACTGGTTCTGGTTATGGTGAAGGCACTGGTATTGGCATTGGGAGAGGCTCTGGAAATGGTGGATATGGAGAAGGCAGAGGAATTGGTATTGGGAGAGGCTCTGGAAATGGTGGATATGGAGAAGGCAGAGGAATTGGTATTGGGACTGGGGATGGTGGATATGGGGAAGGCAGAGGAATTGGTATTGGGACTGGGGATGGTGGATATGGGCCTGGAAATGGCCCGTGGGCCTCGGGACCAGGGTACAGAAACAGCGGTGGTAGTGGATTTGGGTCCGGAGTCGGCACCGGTACTGGGTCTGGGTCTGGTGGGTATAGAAACAATTGCGGTGGGGGTTGCAATCCGGGCTGTGAGTGCCCTGGTGCTTGTTTCCAACCAGGCCAGCCCAATGGGCTCATTTTTAACAAGCCCACTCAGCATGAGCAGATGGCGCCTACCAAGATGGGTGGAGGAGAGCCTATAACACCAAATTCACCAGCACCACCAGATTCACCAGATTCATCAACCAAGACAGCAAATGAAGCCCACCATCACTCTGCTGCAGAGCTTCACAACTAGATATTCATGTAGTCTAAAGAGGCTCCCAACTGCAGAGCTTCATGTCTGTCAATTAAAGCTTCAGAAAATAACATGCTATTCTAATAAAATCTACGCAGTCTACCATGTTTTTCTAGTTGAATTTACTACACACCATCATATAAGATCCAGCAGACATTTGCCCCTTTTTCGAAAACTGCTATTATCAAAAAGACACTTGCGAAAATTCATCCAAACAGGTAGTTTCGATCAATTCATAAGCTTAATAAGTAACACTAGCAAGATGCCTCAATGCCAAATACATTTGAACATTAACAGCAAGCTTCATTAATGTTACCGTCCAACTAAACAACTAACTCACATCATGGATCAGTAGTCAGTACTATCTGTGAGTTGACATTTACTAAACTTTATATCTCTATTACAAGAAATGTACACATTCTAACTACTGCAATATCGTGTCACACGCATTACATCTCGCGAGTATCCTATGACCTCTATAACCCTTTCAAGTATTTTTCAGATTGCATACAGAGGGAAACAAAATCTACACAATTCCCTTTTCTAGTACTTTCTTATTCAATTTGATCCCAAATTCATTGTCACATGCTTTTCTTCATCATGATTGTAGTCATTGCTTCATTACCTTCTGCTTGGCATTGAAGTGGATCTTGGAATACTCTCTGTATGAATAGTCAACGTAACTGGTGAAGAAACAGAAACAGAAGCCGATGGTCGAAGAAGGGGTGTGCCCACCCTACTTGAGTTTTCATTAGCAGCTAGGCAAGGACTGGTCATAGAACTAGAAACTGGTTGCAACTCAATTCCATTTTGTGTATCAGCATCAATTGCAGGATTATCGAGCATTTCATGATCATCTTCCTCAAGTGACATTACTGTGCTTGTGTCTGTGTGTATCGTTGACTCATCATTGTATATGCCCAGCCTTCTTTTCCTCCTAGCTGCCTTTCCCCACCCATGAATTGTTTCTCTTATCCTTTGTGGAATTAGTGCCGCCTTATAATTTGTTCCCATCTAAAAATAAATGTAAAATATAAATATTGTTCGAAAACGACTCTGTATTTTTTATGCATAATATATGTATATCTGCTTGTACCTGAGTAACCAAGGCATACAGCGGCAAGGTGCTGTAGCTGCACAGGAACTGCCCGGCAAACCTATAAGATAATTGACAGTAATATAAGACCCATGATTGACAACAGTGAAGAGTGTCATAACCAGTAAAATTGTTTGCTTACCCTACGATCAGCCTTAAATAGACGAGCAAATGATTTCGGATAAAGCATGAATTATACCCAAATTGCCACTGTAATCAAATAACCAAGAGATTTTGTTAATCTTAAATGATCCTACACTGTTTCAAATAAATTTTTGTTGGCCTTAAATGATTGAATAAGTTGTTTCCAACTTCCAAGACTCCACAATGAGCACCAATCTAGTCATGGAAAAGGAATTACCCAAAACCAAAAGAATGAAGCCAATTCAAATGCATTCTGCAAAATCGGAATAGATAAAATAAAGAAAAGAAAAACAAAGGTATATTAGTTCTAGCATTGTGATATGTGATACAAGTCATTAAAGAACATAATGATACAATAAAACAAGACATGCCCGGCATCACGATAACCATTGCAAACCTGGAACAAACTAAAATGGATCAAGGATAACAAAAGTTCAGGCTTCTTGAACCAGAAAAGATCATCCCGAGGCCTCAACTTTGCTCCTGGGTAGGATCCAGTTATACCAGCATTCTCCAATGCCAGGGTTGCAATAACATACTGCAGCTTCATTCCCACAAGAAGAACTAGCTGCACATGAACAGACAATCAAATTAAAGTAACATTAGAAACACACGACTGTGTAACAGATTTGAGACAAGTTTATTTACAGAAAATTCACTACTCTTATAGCTCCACTCTCTGGATATAACATCTTTATGTGTGATGTGTTTCTTTTCTTTTGCAGTCATAGTCCATTGGTAGTTATACTTCTCCTCAAAAGAGAAGGTCACAAGTTCAGATCCCCTCCCCCAAATGTCATAACCAATCTAAGGAAGAGGTGTGATGTGTGTAAAACAAGCATCTGTTTGACAATGCAAATTTTTGCTAGTATCTTAGAGATCATTCATTTTTAGTAAATAGGTGAAAACTAAAACCGAATGAGAGAAAATTAAAATCTACACTTACAGCAATTGGGATGATTGCAATCCAGAAATAGAGATTAGACCCTGTAATAGGTTACAGAAAGCAGTCACATTTGAGAGTTTTTGAGACCAACAATCATCTTATCATGCACCAACGGCAGTAAGAATGACAAAATAATGAAACATACAAGCTATAATTATCATTTAAAAGGTGATGAAACCTCAATATCCTTTTGAGAGTGAATATTTACATTAAAAAATCCCTTTGTTTTGTAGCATATTAACGCTAGAATGAACAAGTACCAATTTCATGCATTTCATTTTCGGTTCTATCTCGTACCTTTTATATTAAACAGCATGAAAGCAACAACAAATCCCCAGAGAGGGCCACTGCAATTGATTAAAGAAGAGGCATTTTAGATATTGATTCTCAGTGGAATTCAACCATCCAAACCAGCAATAACATCCAATAAGGACTTTCAGCACACATTCATGCCTAACATTAATGGTTATCCCGTTTGCAAAATATAATTGCATAGTATTAAACAACAACTAATAAGAGAGACGACACCACTATATGTGCGCAAATACAAACAATACATAGTTATGGTCATGGTAACCAAAAATACTGCTCATTTACTATTTCCATTCTTAATTGAAGAAATTAATTTCTTACCTCACACCAACAATCCTTTGGAATTCCTCTTCCATAGACCGAATCATATAGCTGTGAAAATCATATTTTGGTGAAAGGTTGTGATTCTGCCATGAATAACAGAAAGGAGTAAAAATTCATTCAACAGGAGTTAAAATTGGCATTACTAACACATTATCGGCAACGTACTTATAATGTTAAATCACCGGAACATACATATAATAGGTGGAAACAAGAAGAGGAACCAATCTCAGAGCATACAACATCTAAACAATTTCTACCAAAAAACTAAGAGATCACTGAAGGAATAAAAAAAAATTATTGAAATAATACAGAAGCTCAGTTACCAGGCATATCTATGTAAACATGATGTAATCGACACTAGCAAATTTGAAGGTGTAATAGTGAAAACCATATCATTAAGGGCTAATACATAATATTATACTGAGTAAAAAATAAATAAAAGAAAAAACAAAATGTGGAAGACTCATTCTACTCTTCTGACGAATGAAAATACTCGATACCATGATGAAACCCTTGCGGAGTGTTAAGTAGTCAGCACGAACCACTGAACGCCCAAATTGCCGGAAGAAACATGTCTGTATGACAAAGCATTCAACTATAAAAAACCTTGAATTAAAGCAGCTATTTCCTAATAGCAAGAAACACACAAAGAAAACTCAATAATAACTAGTGGAGTCTATGACGATCTAAAGTACGTTCCACAGCAAAATTAAACTGCGTTTTAGCCCTTTAAGCTTTGTAATTTAAAACAACATAAAGAAGAATGGAGGTACCTATGTAATTTAAGTAACAAAACTAGAGTTGCACCTACCACCCACATGAAGAAGTTATTCCTGACCACAGGATTTGGTGGATTTACAAAGCTAGACTGCCTTTGCATTGTCAACTGGCGTGTGATCTCTGTTACAGAGTATATCTACAGTCATCTCACAGGTAACTTAAAAATCTACATCACATGGCTCATACAAGTGGGAACCAATAATCTGATCTATGCATAATTCTAATCAATGCCACATCAGAGTTTACCAGTCAATGAACCATGCCGGTCCATGTGAGCCTCATCCTCCCATGCTCTCCAGCTGTGAATCTGGTCACAATATTACAATGTCAAACAGTAATCCAGGAAAAATTGCAATGCAATGTTATATTCTCATCTTCTCTTTCAGTAAATACCCACTATCGTCATACACATAACATATCAGTACACTAGATGGAAGTAATAATTAAAGATCAATGAACTTCACTAAAACTAGATAGAATTGAAGAGACAAAGGCTGATATAGATGTGCCTGTGTGTATATACATATATAGAGAAGTACAAGGCCTGCGAAACGAAACTCTAGATTCACACCTAAGGTTGTGGCTACAGGTGCTAATTACAGCTAGAACTAAGAATCCAAGCCTTCTTCTAGGTAATAGCAGTCATAACTTATCTATTCTTGAACTAATAGCGTGAAAGCAACTTAAAAAATGTACACCTTAAGTCAAAGAATTTTATTTCATTGATTTTAATTTCCAGAATTTATAGTTGAAATTTATTTTTCTGCCTTTACTTCAATAAAGAAGACTAACCCATTTGTTTTAGAGTTCTTTCAATGGGAATGAGTAGACATGTTCTTACTCAGGGAAAATGGTAAGGTCATAAAGGCCACCAGAAGATATTCAGATAGCTTATTAGTAGTAAGTTGCTCAAAGTTGCTGTATCCGTTATCCAGAAGAAAAATAATTCAATGATAAATGGTAGGTTTCACCATTGTACCTAATAAGATCTGGATGAAGAAGAAGAAGTAGAAATATGAAGAAAATTCTAACCTTCACTATTGCCAACAACATCGTTAAGCAACTGTAGGATATATGTGTTATTGCCATGACAAAGATGAAGCGGTGCAACTGCTCAAGACCTTGATATGAAACAAATGGCTCATAGCCCTGTACAAATAAACAAATTTAAATTTTAACCAAGATTGTTTGCCAAGGCATCACTATAGTTCATGAAAAATAGGAGGGAAAAGAGAGGAAGAAGTCTAAAGCAGTTTCCTTGAGCATTAAAATCATACGCAACAGTTGTACTTCATTTCATTTTCCAGGAACCAAGTGAATACATGAGTCATGAACAAGAATTTATAGGAAATAAGAAAAGCAAAAATGTACCAAACTAGAATTTTAGCTTAAATGTTATACATGAGTGAGTGACGCACCTCTTTACAGGAATTAGAATTCAAGCCATTTAACATTCTCCTAAATGAGTGAGGCAGAACAGAAAACAACATCAACAGCTTCCGTTCCTGGGACGAATTATTTTCAATTTCTTCATCAATTTCAGACCTCGAGCATGGAGAAAAACTGCTATTGTAGAACTTTGATGGAATGCAAATATTGGCTATCATGCTTGAGGTAGCCGTCAAAAGAAGAGAGATAAACCCAAGCAGCATCAACTCTGGCGGCAGCAGGACAAAACATTAAAGCTTAGAAATATAAAATAAAATATGAAATTGTTAGTTAAATGGCTTGATAGAAACGCATCAAAAATAACTTTTTGGATAGTTGAGGGAGGTTGTAAGCAGAGTATTAGGTTTAATACCTTCCTTCATTTTCTCCACAGCTTCAAGCAAGGGCTTACGATTAGTTTTCCGCAACCACTGAAACAACAAAGGAACATAACCACTGAAGATTACACAAAAAATGTCATCTGGTCTTCCCTAATTCCACTTAAGTAACAATTAAGAGAAACTCATGAAAACTGCTAGTCACTTACATAACTTAATCGATGGATAGAGCGCTCCACAAGCAGAGAAACAGCAACAAAAATTGTCAAAACAGTAGCAACAGACCATGTTGGAGTCAAGGCCAAAGATCGCATTTCTTGTGTATCTCCCTCCATTCTGAATTATTCTCCTACTCAAATATTTTTGCCTAAGGCTAGCACATAGAACTTCATAAAGGGTACGATCAAAAATATTACCCCTTAAATGTTAAACAGAACCAAGTTTACAACAGCACACCAAAACTATACCAACCACACCTACATAATATGAACAGAAAGTCCTAATGTTCTGATCTCTAACCACACCAATGACATTCATAAGGAAAATACAAAAGATGGGTACTCTGCATTTCTAACATTTAAGCTCAAATTCACTGCCAGCTAATCACAAATGTATGAACCACAAAAGGGTCTGTGAAGAACACTTTCAATTTTCCAAAATCAGAAGACAAAACAAAAATCAACTTCAATACCCTCTCTCGTTGGGTATTACAAGATGGAGTTGGAGTAATATAAGCAAGCGGATCTTGCTTGGAACCCCCCAATGTCAGTTGCCTTCTTAGGTAAACCTGACAAGAAATGAACTGACTTCTTCTCAGTGCATTAATGTCAATCAAAGTACCTCTATAACTATTTTTACTCTTCTACTTGCAATCAAAGGAAAATTTTCTGAAGAGAGTAATAAATCCTCAACAACGCTTCTCACTCCTCTGAAGATTACTCACTCTCTCTAGTCTCTTCTGACCAAAAACCGCAACCTTTTCCTCAAACCCTTGAGGCCCTTACCCTCCCTTCCTGCTTAATTTTCAAGATCCGAGAGCCCAAGAGAACACAACTTTTTTTACCACATTTTGCTTGGATCTCATTCTACACGCAAAACAGGGCAGATTCAAGGATTACATAGCCACTGAAGATGTAAAGTTGCAGAATCCAAAATGAGAAACCCAAAACTCTCTCTTTGTTTCTCAGTGGTTCCCCTGTAAATATAATTTTGTTGGGTTCATAAAAGGAAACCAAAAATGGCGAAAAGAAAGAAACTTTCTTTTTTCTTCTTGGAGGGTGCAGAGTTAAGTTCCCAGGGCTTTTATACTTTAATGGACAACATAGTTTAAACCAAAAACAAAAGAGCATGGACCTTCGCCAGAAGAGATCTCACTTCTGAGTGCTTTGTTTTTCTTTTTGTCATTTAACGAAGTTGGGAAAAGATTTATGTGTGTTACCCAGCTATTTTCGTCGAATAATATTATGTCACGTTGAAGTGTTATTAAACATATCATAATATTATTATTTGATATAGTAAAATAGTATTATTTCCGTGCTAAAATGTGAATCAAGGACGTCTAGAATGGTATTGCACATGGTTCGTTTGACTGGTATGTCGTTTTCTCCGCACTGATGGCAGATTTGCTTTTGTTGACAGCTTTTGACGCTCTGCAAAAAAAAACTGCATTTTTTATCAAATAATTTTTAAAAATAGATACATAAAGGGCAAAATGGTATTTGGAGTTGTGAGCGATGTGTGGAAGGACAATTAGATGGGAACCATTTGCTTCAAAAATTAGTTGAAGTTAGTCCAAATTCCATGTGGCCTCTTTTATTAAAACAATGACGTTTCAATATCCCAAATTATTCAAGTCTCTGATAGGTTTGCACTTTACAGATACCTCCCTTATTCTTGGTTGGCTGAATTTTTTAAGCAATTAGTCATGAACGGCAGATAATATTGGTATATATATATATATATATATATGCAAATGCAATGCATGATGTCAATGCTTGCGTTTGCAACAGGTTAATCACATGCATTATGGTCGTAATAAACATGAGCCATGACTCTAAAAGAGTGCCACGAGTCATGATAAATGTATGCACAAGAGATCAAATTTTACATCTGGCTTTTAGAGGAGAGAAGCCGTTTAATTTGTTTTTTCTTCTAGATTTTGAGTTGTGATAAGCGGATAAGTGAATATGGTGGAATATAGTTATTTATGCGCACATAGATAATTTTGAATCGTTAATTGAAGTAAGTTTACGGTTTATTTAACCCCTTTAAATGTATACATCTGATGTGGTAACAAATGTAAAGAAAAATTGCTACACTTAAGCCTATGACCTCTGATTATTAATCAATACTTATCAAAATTGCATTCGAATATAAATATAATTGTAAGACCGTTCTACATTTTTGAAAGAAAGTCACTCATTTAAATCTGGTATTTATGTAGGTAATAGTTTACTCAATACCTCGAAATATGACATGCAAAGATTTGATCACTTTGCCATGCGTAAGTCACTCCGACTCGAAATTATGGGTATACCTTGACGTTTGTGGTGAGAATAACCAATCGCCCCCTAAACTTTTTCAAAAACAAAAAAAGATTTGATCACTTTTGACAAAATCCTATGAAAAGAAGATAAGACGGCAGCTTGCCGTATTGTATATTCACTTTCCAAAACTGCCCCCCATGGGCCATGATCAAGGAGGGATTGGCGCTAAGTCAAGCAACTGAATCTGAATTCTAACAGCCGTATTAATTAAGTTGGACTCAATTTGGATTGGACCTACCACATCTACACGTATGACATATCAGATACGTGACCTTCAAGAAGAAAGACGACCGATTGTCCCATAACATGCATGAAGGCATCGTCACGCTTTTACTTTTTGACATAGAAAATGCATGACACTTTTTAAAGGAACCCACTACGAAGCCATGCACCAGATGCAGTGACGTACTACGCAGTACACCAGTAGAAGTGGCTAGAAGGTTGCTTCGTTTGGAAAATAAATTGGAAATTTGGGTTGGTTTTATGATGTTACTAATTCATGCGTTATAACACGATTAATGAATTTTTTATTTTATTTTATGTGACGGTAATAAATGATGTTATAACACGTATATCTATTTATTAAAATTATCTTTTGAGTTCATGACATATCAACTATGTCGTTCACTCGTAATATAAGCTATAACACGTAGATTAATAACATCACGTGACCATTAAATTTAATTATTTAGAAATTTAATTATTGCATTCATAATTTAGTCAAAGTATCCATTAGCCACAAAGGGTACAAACTAGCCACAAAAAAGTCATTACAATAACGGAGCAGTCTTACGTCAAAATTAAGACAATATGGTGCACTTCCACTAATGAGCACGTATGATCAAAGAAACTTTGCATCTCAACTAAGATTGCAAACTTAGAATAATCAAAAAGAGATAAAACTTAAAAAAACCAAGTCATAACAATATAAATAAAACTCTCACAAATGATATATGAAAAGCTCTCACAAAAGGAGAGGTGAAAACTATATAGAGAACTCAAAGAGTCTCTGCAACTTATTCCAAATATAAAGAAACTATAAAAAAAGATGATGGTGGAGATCCGACGCTAAAACACAATCGTCTGTGATGGTTGGATAAAATTTTTTAAATAACAAAACGAAAACAAATAGGGAAAATTATTTGTCTCTGAAAATAAGGAAAGAGGTGAAATGAGGAAGAGAAGAAGGGAGATGGGATGAAAAACAATGGCTTCCTCCCCCCTTAAAGTAAAAACTGCCCAAGGAGTGTTTTTCCGGAGAAAGGGCGCTAGGGCTATTTGGGATTTCCAAGTGCCGACTCCAACTATTAAAGATTATGATTTTCAAATAATCAAATTGCTCCGTGCTGAAAACGCGTTTGTTTGTTAGGTGGCACGGAGTAAATGTATTTTGGACTTGCCTACAAGTTTGGCTTGGGTCTTGGGAAGAGACAGATGGCACTTGCCAGTTGCCAGTTGGCCCAGCAAAATGTTAAGGATTTAGTAAGGGTAGTTCAGGAAAGTCTGAAAAACTGTGGGATTTTATAGATGTTTTCCTGCTGAAACCAATATTTTGACAGTGAATTGATAGAGAGGATGTTTGTGTGAGATTGAAAAAGAAAGGGAAAGATAATGTGATCACCCACCATCATTCTCAGACTTTCATTTCGTGGGTTCCATGAAGTTTCTTCCCATCAGACTCAACTCAACATTGGTGGAGGAGATTTGTATAATTGCTGGCCTGCTCAACACACCATGTGAAGTGGAGGGTCTGCTTTTGCTATCAAACATTAATGATATGTTTTATGCTTAGACATACCTTTCGGAAGAATTGCTTGAAATTTCTCCAGACCTTGATGATATGAAACAAATGGATCATAGCCCTATTCAAATAAATGAATTTTGCATTTAACCAAAGATTGTCAAAACAGTAGCAAGACCATGTTGGAGCCAAGGCCAAAGATCATATTTCCTGTGTATCTTCTTCCATTCTGAATTATTCTCGTATTCAAATACTGTAACTCTATTTCAAGTGCACCCCAAAATATTTGTCTAAGGCCAGTACATAGGACTTCATAAAGGGTGCTATAAAAAATATTGCCCCTTAATTGATAAACAGAACCAAGATCCCAACAGCACACCAAAACTCTACCAACCACACCTACATAATATGGAAATAAAATCCTGCTGTTCTTATCTCTAACCACACCAATGACATTCATTAGGAAAATACAAAAGATGGGTACCCTGCATTTTTAACATTTAAGCTAAATTCACTGCCAGCTAATCACAAATTTGAAAAGATGGCAAGAAAATTGGCTAAACAAATGTTCACAGCAGACTGAGCAAATTTGTGTCTCTATTATTAAGTAATATCATGCATTAATTAATATTAATATAACGTTAATGATCTCCTTAGTTAAAGCACCTTATCATTTATAACTTAGACTAATACATTGAAAGATCTCACTGAACCAAAAAGATCTTTAAAAACATTGCACTTGGCACTTCAAAAAGATCCAAGTGAAATTTTCAGGGGATATAAGGTAAAGACAATTGGCTGCCAACATTAGCAACTAGCCAAATCTACCAATGCCCGCATGTAATATGCATTGGCAGTACACTCTGTTGCAAAATAATTATCTTGGAGTGAGGGTCAACAATTAAAACAGTCAAATGTCCAGAAGATGCTATCACGGACCTGGAAACTTATTTTTCAACTAGCTACTGGAACTCACAATCTAAAGCACGCACAGTGCTTTTTCCTTGCAATCTCATGGTCTTGTTACGCAACCTCTCCATGAATGCAGGATTTGCTCCTAATATATCCTTGACATACGAAACTCGAGCATCATCAGCCAGTTTGTTAGCTTTCCCAGCTTCCTCAATGAGGGAAAGAAGAGTCCTACGGCAATCCTTTCTATTTTCTTCTCAGTGTTCAAACCTTCACAAGTGAGAGACAGATAGAGAGAGAGATATATATATATATATTATTTTCCTTTGCAAAGAAAAAAGTTTCATTAAAAATTACAAAAAACAAAAACGTTGCAATTGCATAGAGTGGATAAGATGTTGTAGTAATGAAAGGAATAATGTGCAGTACTACTAAATGTTGATATATCAATTTTCATATGCCTTATTTATGCTCAATTACTTCTTTCCTCACTTTTGACTTTATGCTCAATTACTTCTTTCCTCACTTTTGGGTGGATAAACTTTTTTTCTCTTTTAAATAAGATATCTTGGATGTATAAACTGCATTCGATAAAATTATTGCACATATAATTTTCAAGGACTGAGCAAGACATAACAAAAGAATCTTCTCATACGTTCTGCAGGACTATAACTATTAGTTTCTCTTTGTGCTATAGGAGGAGGGAGAGGTAATAAAATGCACAATCAACAATATCATGTGGGATGTATAAGAATAAAAACTCTGAAATCTGAACAACTATTAACCAGACTAAGTATTTCATATAATAACAAAACTAATGATAGAGAAAGAGAGCATGCAGTACGTCAAATAATAATAAAACTAATAACAGAGAGAGAGGGCATGCAGTTGACCTACCTCTCACTAGTAATTGTAAGCTCTTCTTTCCCTGGATTGTACCGCTTTCCGGCCAATTCTCTGAGCCGACGGAATTGATGCTTTGAAAGCCTAAATTCTTTCACTGTAACAGATCACTTTTCTATTCTTGGGATGCCAGGTATCACCACCAGGAGCAAAGACCGCCCGTGTTTGCCACCTAAGGATTGGTCCTTCGCTTGGTGGGTCATCTACCTCCTTTTTCTCGTCCTGTCCAGCAGTCTCATCAAATTGTGGGGGCCTGTCGGCTTCCATCTTCTGCACATATCGCATGACAATCTCATCCTCAAACACCTTAAGCAACTTGTAAGCTTCTTCAGGTTCAAATTCCCCTCTTTCACACATATCCCCTAGGTCATTGAACTTCTCTTCAACCCTCCTTTTCATGTCATCTGGAAAAGACAATTGCATTGCAGATTATTTGATAAACACCAGTTTGAACCAAAAAATGCAACTTCCATGTCATTGAAACACTTGTACTACATTTGTCTGTGTGAGAAACAAAGAAAATGATTGACAGCTGAATATTGGACGCCCAGAAATTTCGACTTTGGGAAAGGTCTAGCCATGTAACTAAAATATACAACTTTTGCAATTATGTCAAAATAGATAAAAAATGGTTAACTTAAAAAGTGTGTGGGCAGACAGACCCACATATACAGAAAGGTTAACAGACAAACATCTAACATTTCAAGTAGGGAAGCGGACTTAGTAGAAATAAAGCATCATACAAAATGGAGTAACTAGAAGTGTATACCTGGCAGGAGCTTATCCCAGCTAAGCATATCCTCAAGAATCGCCTCACACCCTTTCATCCTTCATAATCCCATGCTTAACTGCATCCCCAACAATGCCATCCCACTTCTTGTCATCCATGTTGAAGTACTCATCTTTTACTATCCTGTTCATGACTACATCCCTTGCGTTATACAAGTTATCAATCTCTTCATCCGTGTCATGCATTTCCTCAAAGTCCGATTCAAACTCTTGGTCCTTAACACCATCCACCGGTTGCATTTTCAGATCATGATCTGTTTCCTCATGCTTCCCAGCCAAACTCCTCTGCAGAATCATTTTGAGAATCGATGGGAGTGCCTCCTTATCACTCTTAAAGTATTTACCTATCCGCACTTTCAGCTCTGATTAGCCAAAGCATTCAAATAATCATATTTCCCTTAAATTAGTCACACTTTCTTATATCCAGTGGCAAACATTACAGACTGGACACATGTCAGTAACTTCCGTGGCATGTAGCTTTCATAATTGTTATTTCTTTTGGGCATCAAAACATAATCCCTACTACACCACAAGTTACTGGAGACGATGGAATTCAATGATTTAGAATTTGAGACGAATGCTATAGTTTTAGTGTCACCTAAGTCTATTTGCTGGTAGATTTCATTAGAGATTACATTCTTTATGGTCGGCAGGAGAGGAATTGTTGGAGGATTGTTTCCACTAAATGTTAGTGACCATATCCTTACTGATATAATTTTCACAATGCATTATGAACTTTCATTCTATGCAGAATGAAAAACACCATCCTTGCATTTTCAAGCAAATCTGAATTCAAAATCATAAGCATGAAAATGCTAATACCTCTAAATCCCAGAACTCAACAAATTCAAACGGTTTTGCAGGCCATGAATAATGCAAACTGCAAGTGATTAAAACACAAAAGAGAAGATAGCAGCTGAATCAAATATGTTGAGACTGTCAGTTTTTCGAAACCGGTTTCCGCAGAAAAATGCAAATAATTCGTAGCTAAGAAGTTGAGGGCAACCAAGAAGAGCCAGTGACTGAAAAAACCCAAATTTATATTTCTCAGAAAAATCTTAATACCTTTGTTACTGACATCATCCACTGCAGCATTGCAAACCTCTTGGTTGTGTGATGAAGACTGGGTCGAGTAAAAGCTGATTCTGGGCCGAGTCGAATCAGCGAGAGGAGCAAGTTGGGATGGAGGGCCAGGATTGTAAGGAGGAGGGAGAAGACGAGAACGCGCGTAGACAGAGACATTTCTAAGCAGAGCTCGTTTCATCGTTAATATTCCCCTTGGAGCATCCACAACTATCTACTTTTTATATATAAAAGTTATTTTAGGAGTTGTTTATAAAATTTAAACTTCAATTATGCTCTCTAATTTAGGAAGTCATAAATGCAGTAATTCTTTTTTAATTGGTCTATCTCTATTAAAAATTAATATAAAAATTAATTAACATTAATTAAAGATTTGAAATAATAATTAAATAAAACAACATTAAATTATAAAGAGCCACTATAATTTAAAAGCTCCTAGAGGTCTTTCTATTTTAGAAAATGGATAAGGAACATGATTGGAGTTGTATTTTTCCAATTCCTCTCTAAAATTTGTCTAAGGAGATGGTTCCATTGTGGATGCTCGTAGCAGTGCAAAAACTAACGCCTACATAATAAAACCTCCTCACTGTTGTAGCCGCACGAGAGTTGGAACCAATTGCAAAGGGTAATTTCACTTTACCACCCCAAAAACTAAATATTGGGTATGAATTTGACACAAAATAGTAAAGCCTGAAACTTGGCAAATTTTCAGATAATAACGTGAAAATTATAATGGGGCTAGGAATTTTACAATTGACAAATGGAACAGCAATGAATAACTCGATATGGAAACCAGACTGGTTTGGAGGTCAACAAATGCAAAAAGTCTATTTTCATACCACTATCAAAAGAATTATACAATTGAAGAAAACAATACATATTCCCATAATTATGCATATATAAAAACACCGCATAATGCTTGCTACACAGCGGTGATCAGCCATAAATAAGTAGCATACAAAATTCTTGAGATAAAGCTCGTCTGAAAGAAAATGCGCATGCTAACCTTACATCTATGGACTACAAAAGGCGACCATATCTGGCACAAAACCATATGATTGGACTCGTAATTAGTGGCTTGAAGCTACAAAGATGTCTCATCCGCGAAGGCCTAAGACTGTTAGGACGTCTCATCCTCCAGTACGAGACTACTCGGATCGGATGTTTTGCAGCATGAGAAAGCTGTGCTCATGTGTCCGCTTTGGTGGCTGGAAGCTGTTTAGGTCTTCAGTGGCTGAAAGGTGTTTAGGCCTCGTCGCCTTTCAACTCTTCTTCAGTAAAAAGATCTTTTTGGACAGGGATGCTACTTAGCTGCTGAGATGAAATAATATCCGCAATGGCTTTATAAGTTGACTCCTGATTGCTATCTACTGCGGTGTCATTTTCTATGTTATTGATACCAGGCTCATCTGATGGCAATTCTCGTTCCGGAGGGGTCACAAAAAATGGTATCTTACCCCTCTGCCAGTCATGGAGGACCATCTTTGCCGCAGTCATCAAATCAGGTTCACCACCCTAGAAGCAGCCCAGCAAAAAATTCAGCATATGCATAACTAGGATCTTTTCTGTTATATATTCAAGGAGAAAAAAACACAAGAGATAGCGAACATTTACAGAAGTTTCCATATGCCAGATCATAGATGTGCATAACTAGGGTCCAAATCATTGTCTAGCATCACAAGGTATAAACAATGTTCAACTAGCCCAAGGGAGGGAAAAAGGGGATGAAAAAGAATGCATAAATAACACCAATCATGTCGATTGAATTAAGAACATGCAACTCTTTTGCTTCACTTTTCAATGAAGCCAATTCCCTTGCTGGGTTTTGGCTCTGTTTCATCAGGGCATGCACATATCTATTACAATCCCACAGCTTGACAGAGTTAAGATGGGACCCCAATTGTCTCCAAGGGGAAGACAATATACAAATTAAAGGAAGAATACCACTTTTGGAATTTGCATAACTAAGATATCACTTATTTTCTTCCCTTATACATCCCTTATATAGATACATCTATATATAGTGTTCTCTGCCAGACTTATGTTGCAAGACTATGAATTTGGGTCGCACATTCAGATAAAAAGTAGATAAGAATTAACCTAAGCAATGGGTCCACATTCACAGGGAGACATATTCCAAATACACATGTGTGTGTACACTGTGTATGCATATGTGTGTAAATACGGAAAACATCCATTTGATAATTGACCGAGTCTGAATTGGGAAATACTCCAAGTATTTGCAGGAACTAAGGGCAGAAATGTTACAACTACTGGGATAGTTAGAAAGCATCATTAAGAAGCGAGTTACCTTCAAAAGTTTGCCTGACAATTTGCACAGCTGACAGAGGAAGTCATTATCATCATCCCTGAAAACAAAAAAACCATTAGGATTCAGTTACATGTCACTCTCTTTCTGAGGATATACGTGCAATTAGCAGGATTTGTATGTGAAAAAAGAAATTACAAGTACATAGATTAATAAACTAAAATGATTGCAACCCAGATTAAATAGGAGTAACAAAATAAAAACCCAACAACCTCAATAGAAAAGAGAGTAAGATAATAACAGTTAACATGATACTACCCCCTCTCTCCCTTTCAGTTATGCTAACAGAAAAATCCTGACTCAAATAAGTTGCATGAATCATTAAAAAAAAGTTAAAAAAATTTGGGTTATTTTTTGACATTTACAAAGTCTGTTCTTTAGGATCTTTACTAATTTTTGGTTCCAGAGAACCATTGTTCCTTCTGTCAATCATATTTGATTTTTCCTCCTAAGGTGTAGACCATGCCCAACACTGACCATGGTTGGGAAATTGGAGAGACCACTCGCAACCAAAAGCTTAACCAGATACAAAACACTAGAAATTTATGTAGTACCAAGACATAAACATCAAAATCCAACACACAGACAAAGCAGCATACCAGGTTTTTATCTTATATGCTCTTTCCAGGTGGATCCTCTTAACTCGTTTCAATACTTCTCCTATATGTTCTGTAGCATCCTCCAAATTTGTGACACGTACCTAAAAAAGAGGACCAAAATTATTTACCATCTGATGTGCATATAGAATATTACATTTGCAGTCCAACACCGAATGTGGGCTCCAGGTCCACAGGGAATAAGAAAACAGAAATGATAGACTCTAAATGGGTTAAATAAACAAGTGCAGTACAGAGGGAAAAATAAAACTCAATTCACTATGAGCAGCTATACAAGCAAAAACAGGAAAAGCATACCACGCCCTTCAGTACAATATCTGTTTCAGAGTCACCGCTTTGATAGACAACTCCAGGGCAATCAATCAAGAAAATCCTCTTTGTGAGTGTTATATATTGCCACACTTTAGTCTCCCCTGGAATAGGAGCAACCTTGCAAACCTGTGGAGCAAGAAACACATAAATATGTCAGCCATATCGGGTATCATTAGCTAGAATATTGTTTGTCACCTAAAAGACAAGGCACATTGGTCTATTAGTACATCTAAACCGAATAAAATGCTGATTAACACACATACATAATCTATATTAATGGAAACACAAGCAGAAAACCAGAAGCAGCAAGAGAGTTGAGGATATTACATTTTTTGTTCGCAATGTGTTGATGACAGATGACTTTCCAACATTGGGATACCCAACGAACCCCACAGAAATGGCTTGCTTGTCACTTTTCAAGCGGGCAAATTGTCTCAGCACTGATAGAAGAGTTCCCTAAGTGCAACAAATAAAAGTAAACAAAATCAGCACATTGCACATAAAATCTGAAGAAGTATGGATAAATATAGTAACCTAAAGTGAAATAACATTAGGGCTTCTCCTATTAGCCTTTTTATGAGTTCTTATCTCATCTTTTAGACATGTAGCACGATATGCAAACAGCAAACAGAGAGAGAGAGAGAGAGAGGTAACTTAATGTAAGGCAATTAAGACAATAACCATGATGGGAGACAGAGGGAAGTGGTGTTAGAGGAATCTAACTTAACAGACTTTTATTTCATCAATACTGCCATAAAATTCAACACGATCAAGGCATCAACGTGAACAGAAGGTACCTTGCCAAATGATTTGTTGACGCTAGCATGAAACGCAATAGTTGGAAAGTCGTCCTTTAATACATTCAACCAACGGCTGAGCACCCACGAAGGAACCAAATCACACTGAAAAATCAAAGTTATGATATTGTTAAACAAAATCAGAAGAGGTAATGCCTTCTAATTCAAGAAGACCCAAAACATGAGAAATGCAACCAACCTTGTTTAACAAAAGAACCAAGTGTTTATGTGTGCAATGCTCTTTCAAATGCTTCTCTAAGTGGTAACATCTTGTACCCTGTGGATCCCTTGCATCCAAAACCTGAAACGGGGAGAAAAGCAAGGTTGAGCTGGACAAGAATTAAGCAAATAATAGCACTAGAATAAAAAATAAACTTGTTTTCATAATTATCAGCCCAAGCAGATCTGCACATTTAATGCAGGAATTACCTTGATGTAAACATTGTCCTAACTTAACGAAAAAGAAAACAGAAGCATAAAACAATCCCTGTTTACCATGTCACACTGTTCATCATACAAGTAATGAAGAATAGGAATTCAATTGATATCCAAGAAAGGCAAGATTTGTAAGGAAAAGTACATGTATGCGATTAGTTATACTTTCTAAATCAACGGAAAAATAGAAACACCAACCTGGACAACAACATCTGAAGAGTCAATAACTTTGTAGAGCTCACCCCAGATACGTTTACTTTGACCCTTATCAAACATTGTATGCCGGACCAGGTCCCTAACTCCATCCCCTTCACTACCTTCTGCAGTATTGTCATCAGCATGCTTCTGCTGAAACATGTCTAAAGAGATGCAAACAAGTTAGATACAGAACCATGGGAAATAAGAAAATGACCCCAAAAAAAAAAATTCATACACATAAACTTGCAATTTTTTACTCAGAAACCCTCCGGTCTAAATCATACACAAAAACACTGACCAAATAATCAGGAAATAGAACGAATTGGTTATTACAACCAGGAATATCAAGCACATAAAAAATTCTCAGACAAGAAATAGTTACCCTGAGAACCATCAGCTTTCTTAGCTAAGGACTCATAATCTGCTGCGATGAGTTTTGGACGCTTCCTCTTTGTCTTAGGTCCAAATGCATCGGAAAATGACTCTCTCTCTAGGAGATGGACTCTGGTTTGCTTCACAGATTTTAAGAACATGAACTTAGCAAACTATAATACAATGATTAACTATGCCATCAGCCAGAAAAAGAAAAAAACATTTCAACCATATGCTATCTTCTTCATCTGTTTTCATTAAGAGTGAGGCATGCCAATTTAGGAAATCTATACAAAAATTTATTGTTCATTATAAGGTATTCACTAATTTTGAAGGGTTAAGTTGCCATTAAAAATTTTACAAGCTGAGGTTAGCCAATTTTTGGGTATGAAGATAATTGCCAGCTAAATAAAAAATGAAAACCAGTGGCTTCAACATTGCATCTAATAAGGCTGCCCTAAAGAACTTTCTGTCTCTTTTTTTTTTTTTTTTTTTTTTTTTTTAAGTTAAGTCAGCCATGCATCGAAGCTTGATGAATATCGCTCCAAAACTTATGTGAGGAAATGGAACATAACTAGTACTTCAGCTCAGAATGTTATATGTGCACAATTGTGATTTTCTGATTCCTTGTTAAAGTTTATTTATAAAAAAAAATAAAAAAAATAAAGACTTTACAAAAGCATCATACCTTCTGATGGTCATTCAAGAGGGACAAGGGCAGTTGCTTCCCCTTCAAAATAACATTGTAGTTGCTAGCCACCGTTTTACTGTGCTCCTCGCGGAAAATGTCAAGCTGCTGCTGCGATGCAACCCGAGTATTCCCTAAAAATGAAATAAGCAATAAAAAAAATTCAACAAAAATAGAAAAGGCCATAAAAGCAGGACCGCCACAATTCAATGAATTACTGAAATTTTCAAATATAATTACCACGCATTTGCAACAAGCTCTGTTACTCTAAAACCTCACACAAAAGCACTAAGTAAGATCTTAACTAGACTAGAAAAGTGTATCCATACGTATACGTATACGTACCGAACCAGCGGCGATCAGGTTGAATACGAGTGTTAGGCAGCTCCTTGGACTGGAAATCGTTCCTCAAGACCTTTCCCTTGCTGTCACGCTTGGGCCTCGTCTTGTACATCTTGAGCCGGCGAACCGTGGCCCCAGTACGCGCGTCCTTGCTCTTGCTCTTTCCATCGGTACGGTTCGCGTCCAGCGAGTGCTTCGGCTTCCCGGAGATGTTTACTTTCCTCTCTGTCTTCTTCACCATCTTTGCGGCCTGTTTGGTTGCCAAGAAAGTGACGGAAACTGCCGCGTTTTGTTTTGTGTAAAACCCCTTGGGAAATAGGGTTTCGAAAGAGAGAGTGGAGATGGTGGGACTAGAAATTATAAGTATTTTTTGTGTGACTGGATTGGGTTGGTAAGTTGGGGGAGTTGACAGAAAGTTTTAAGCCCAAATGTCGGCCGGTTTTTATTTGGAGCGGTCCAACAATATTGGGCCACAACACACGATGAGGACACCAGTTGAGTTGATCATCTTTAAAACACTTGTCGTATTGTTTTGTAGAAGTTTAAAGTATTCCTTGAAGATTCTCCAATAATAAGAGAACATATTTAGTGAATGGAATCCAACGTCTTTAAAATACATGAACTATTCTATTACGACCCGAATAAAGCTTCTGTCTTTGAAAGAGGTGAAATTAAAGAAACAAACAACAAAAAAGTAGTACCTGAGATACTAGTGCAGATCCAAAAGCAAACGCAGCGCGGGGAGTACATCAGTCGATGGATCGGGTTATCAAAGCCGCGAGGAGCTCTGGTTCTCTCAATCTTTCAAATCGTAATCTCAGGTAACAATAGACTGATCACCAGTTAAAGAAAGAAATTTTGTCATCTTCATCACTATTATCTTTGATTTTGATAACTCTCTTTTGCAATTAAATTTCCATCACATTGAAAAGCATTGCATTCATATGGGAACTGGTTTTTTTTTTTCCTCTAATTGTCAGCCAAGTGCCCGATGAGGTATATAGAAGTACGAGTGCAGTTGGGGACGATGAGAAATGGTGGGAGGTAAATTTGTTTCCCTTATTCATCTAGATCAAGAAAAATATGAAATGGGTGCTTCTAATTCTCCAAGTGTGATGTTTTCCAATCGGACTCATGAACCCATTGCTTGTTTTCAGGCTGTGGAGCTACAAAAGCTCATTATAGCTCATAACAACATTGAATCACTGAAAGAAGAGCTGAGAAATTTGCCTCTTCTGACTGTGTTAAATGTCAGCCACAACAAACTTTCCGAGCTTCCAGCTGCAATTGGAGAGTGTGTTCTATGTCGATGTGTATTTGTAATTTGTGTTCGTAGTGATCTTTGTCTTATGTTTTTCTTTAAATGAAATGTCGAACAAATTTGGCAGGCTTACCATGCTCAAATCATTAGACTTATCGTTCAACTCAATTCTAAAGTTGCCTGAGGAAATTGGATCAGTAACTTCTCTTGTCAAGTATAGTTTCTTCTTCTACCAATTCCCATTTTTCTTTATATAAAAAAAATGTAGTTAGAAAACCAGAAGGCTTTATTGGTTTCTTATTACTGTGTTTCGTGCATGTCTGTGGGTCGGTGCGTACATGCCCCTTGTGTTTTTTTTGCTTTTCTTGTATTTGGGTTTGAAATGAACAAGAAAGAAAGAAGAATTCGATTTAGGTTAATCAAGTTGTTGTGTGATCCTTCCAGACTTGATTGCTCGAACAATCAGCTTAAAGAACTACCAAGCTCACTTGGAAGATGCTCAGATCTATCAGAATTCAAGGTAATGCTTCACCTAGGTTGATTGTAGATGTGGTGACAAGGCCATGATGCTGGTAAAATTTGACACAGCAATATCACATAACCTTGTAGTGTGGTTGTTTAAGTGCTTGTTCTTTGCCCAAATCTTTGTGCATGTAGATTGAACTTATCTTTTTTTTTTCATCTTAATATTCTGTAAACCCGATGCGTGTGTTAGGAAAGGATTCTTTCCTTTATTTTTTTTAACATAATATATGGTTCTGATGACAAAGTAAGTTATGATACTCTTTTTACAGGCGTCAAATAATGTTATCATCAGCTTGCCAGAAGATCTAGCTAACTGTTCAAAATTGATGAAACTAGATGTGGAGGTATGAGCAAGATTGTATTTTTAGCACCTGTGATGATGAGTTACCGCTTTTTCTTTTTTCTTTGATTATGATGTAATCATTAGTATTTGATAAATTTTGGGGTCTAAAATGCAAATTGGATCATCTGCCTGTGCCAGGGTAACAAGCTAACAATCCTATCTGAGAATTTGATTGGATCATGGACCATGCTTACAGAACTCAATGCATGTAAATGTCTTGCTGAATGTTTATCTCTACTTGCACATCTTTAGATATGTTGAAACATAGTTTGTGATTGGAACCTATGCAGCAAAAAATATGCTGAGTGGAATACCAGAGAATATTGGAAGCCTATCTCGTCTTATCCGTCTTGACCTTCACCAGAACAGTGAGTCAATTTTTAATTAAGAAACCTTAAATATTCTTTCTTTGGTATGATATGAGCCAATCAGTTCAGCTTTCCTATAAGATGTTTGTGTTTACGAGTTTTGCAGAAATTTCGTCAGTTCCACTTTCAATAAAGGGTTGTTCTTCCCTTGCGGAGATCTACATGGGGTACCACTGTTACATGATGCTTTTTAAGTTTTTAGGAGTGTGTGGAATTTAAAGAGAACTTTTGCATCTTTGAGATTTATCTGGCACTTTTAACATCAACTTTTAGGAATAATGCGCTGTCTACATTACCAGCGGAGATGGGGGCGCTTTCTCATCTAGGAACTTTAGATCTTCACTCGAACCAGGTAGCTAGAATTTCATTTTCGTTTTTCGTTATAAATACTGTAAAACTTACTTAGGAGGAACAAAAGTTCTTGATGTACATTGGGAAAGAGTGATGATCTCTTTCCGAAAAGAATTGCTGCTCAAAAGACATGTTTATAAATATTTTCTTGCATCTCAATATGTTTAATGGGTCGTTGAGTTATGAGTCTAGTTGGAAGTGGTCAATTGAAATGTCTTAATAGTGATCTTTTCATTTTAAGATCACTCTAATTCTGCAGAAACTAAGTTCTCTACATATGTTTCAGCACAACTATATGACAATATTCATATATTTAAAACTTTATAATCACCTAAAATACTGCAACATGATAAGCAGAACTAGAACTCCTTCAGCTCTGCATGCCTGCATCACATGTTAACTTTTGTCTCCTCATTGATTGTCCAATTATTTGTGCATTGAGAAAAAAATAAACGTTGTAAAGAAAATACCTAATTTGGACTATTTATCTCTTGATGAGTAGCTCTAGTTTTTACATGAATAAACTTATTGGTTCCTGAAAAGCACTTAATGGTATCTTTTTTTAACACGGTGGAAACTACTATGAAATCCATGGGTAGAACTCATCCTTGGAAAATCAACTTACAAGGAAAGGGTGCTCTTGTGTATATACACCACATCCCAAAGGTACCCAAGAAATGTGGGGATATGTTAACAGTCTCCCTTAGTGTCAGAACTAGAGACACTAAGTGCTCCCCCTCCACTCAGGGTAGGAGATACTAACCTGACCTATTGATGTGGTACACCTACTTTGATACCTTGTAAAATTCATGGGTAAAACTCATCTGTGAAAACCGGCTTACAAGGAAAGGATGCCCACGATTTATATTTCACACATCCCAAAGGTACCTAGGCGATGTGGAACATTGCTAACAACTATCACAAACAATAGCACTTAGAATCTACAAGGCAATCTTACAGATCAGAGAGAAACTCAGAATGTTATTGAGTTACAAGTTCAGGTAAATAACCTGATTATATAAGAAACAACCTAAGGATGGGAGAGGAAATATCACAAGACTTGGATAATCCTAGCTAATTTAGAAGTAAAGACTAATTACGGTCCTAATTAAGCTACTATTGACTGAATTTGACACAATAATTTCCAAAAGGGCAAGTGCTAATTGAGAAGATTAAATAATGGGATTTCATTTGGGTTCTTGACAATCCAAATGCTCCATGAATTCTTCTGCTGTGTGTTGGTATCCAACTAGTTTTAAATTCTCTGTGTGCATGCAGTTGAAGGAGTATCCAGTGGAGGCATGCAAATTGCGTCTTTCGTTGTTGAATCTTTCAAACAATTCATTGTCTGGATTGCCCCCTGAATTGGGTAAGGTTAGCTAATTTTAATATGTATTCAACAGTATCTGGTATATATTCATCGAAATTCCTAAATCCTGTAGGGGTTGCAATGCTCTGAAAACGTCATACCAAGAAGTTCTACTTATAAAATATTTTATTAGAAAGATCCTAATACTAAGTAGACCTTTAATAATCTTTTAAAAGAATAATGGAACTTATCACATAGTGCACTAGTGTTAGCTGTATTTCTCATGGGTGTGGCAGGATTGGGGTGGGTGGGCTGATGAAATGATGAATATTTCCCACAGGAGTGGTGTGGGTGGGAGTGTGGGCGTGTGGATGTACTGGATGCACAAATTGAATGATGATTAAACATTGCTGTTTATTATATTAAACTCCACATTGCTCTAATGCCTACCTCTTGTTTACTCATCTAAGGATTTGAAAGTCCAATTTGATAGTTGTTATGTTTGACTGTAATAAATATTCTTAATCGTTTTACTTTGTTTAGGCAAGATGACTACCCTGCGAAAACTTTTGCTTACCGGAAATCCTTTACGAACTCTTAGAAGGTGAGAGGCGTTTGTTAGCCCTTTTTTTATTTAATGCTTTTGTTGAGTAAGTATTTATCAAACAAAAATTTCCTCTTCAGCTCATTGGTTTCTGGATCAACTCCTACTTTATTGAAGCATCTTTCGAGAGTAGACTTTCTGAGAATGAAGGTATGTTTATCGACAATGGGTGGTTTTTTTTTTTTTTTTTTTTTTTTTTTTTTGGTTTTTTTTTTTTTTTTTCTATGCTAGTTCTGTATTTAATTTTCGTGGTATTGTATGGTAGACAATATCTGGATCCCATATGCTTAAGTTGTTAATAAATGGAAGAAAAGTTAATACCCTCCCTCATGTGCTCATGCTCATAGAGACACATTTAACTGCAGACTGTATAGTTGCAGTTCAACCCTGCAGGTTAACAAGCAAGTAGAGGATGGGGTTTGGAGGTCTTGAACAGGACCTCATTGAAATAAAGCTTTAATACAATGTTACAATGTGATAAATGATTGGTTGAAAAATTATATCATCCTCTCCATATTGAAGTCGTACAAGTGTGAGTACATGAAATACAACACAATTATAAGTCTAAGAAAGAATCAAAAATCCTAATTCTAAGTATATTTAGAAGCCTAATTATAAGCATAAAAATTTGGAAATGTCACTGATAATAACATCCGACATAGTAAAACTTCCCAAAACTCAATAACGTGAAATTACAATTTTCAACCAACTTTTGCCTTAAGTAATTTAATTCGGGTTTCTTATGTAGATGCAGAAGCTACAACTACAAAAAAGGAGGATGTTATTGCCATGGCTACTCGATTATCAATCGCTTCAAAGGTACTGTTCCTTAATGTTTCTGAAGAGGATATGAGCTTATCTGAGGATGGTCATTTTTATAGCTCAACTTTTTTTTTTGGGGGGGAAGGGGGTTTCCTAGAAAATGCTAGCTTTTATGATGTGATTTGTTCCCCACGTGCAGTTCATGTACAAGGTTGTTGGTGAACACCCATTTTCCCTTTTGTGGGATCTTGGCTTAGTTGGCTATTCTAGTATAGAGCTCAGAATTCACCTTTCAGTTAGATCTTTCTTTGAGATGATAAACTTTTGCACTTAAAATTGGTTTTATGGTTTTACATTTAGGAACTTTCTATGGAAGGGCTGGGTTTGACTGCTGTCCCATCAGAAGTATGGGAGTCGAGTGAGGTCACAAAAGTTGATCTTTCTAGGAATTCCATCCAAGAGCTTCCAGTTGAGCTTTCGTCATGTGTCTGCCTTCAGGTAAATATCATTGTACATGGGTTTTTCTGTCTACTGACTTGCAGAATTTTATTTGTTTGTTTGTTTAAATTTGCTTGTTAAGTTCTTATAAAATATAAAATAAAATCTGCTATTAAGTTGATTGTGTATGTAAGTCGTCCTTATATTTTATCCAAATGTGCAGACTCTAGTTTTTTCCAGGAACAAGATTAAAGACTGGCCAACTGCAATTTTAAGGTCACTTCCTAATCTGTTGTGTTTGAAGCTGGACAATAATCCACTAACACAGGTAAATCTTTGTAGCTGGTACAATAGTCTTTTTCATACTTTCATAATATAGAAGATTTTTAAAGAGAAACAAGGAAGGGACATGGTTCATGACAAATATAATTCTCGGAACAAAATTTCTAATACCTTGCTATAGGACCACTGTCCAAAAGCTTAAGTTGTTGAGGAATAGGCCCACAATGTACATGAAGCTAACTGATCTGAGTACCTTCCTTATTTCTTGACTTGTAGATTCCACCGGATGGATTTCAAGCAGCCCCTATGCTTCAGGTTCTCGATCTAAGTGGTAATGCAGCTTCATTACCAGAGCATCCATCATTTTCCAGCTTACCACATTTGCAAGAGCTTTACCTGAGGTTAGTGAAGTTGTGACACACAAGAACACACATTCACAAATATAGAGAATATGAATGCATGTCTGCTTGTAGATATTGGAGTTTTCAATAACATCTCAATTGTTTGCATACATCTATTTTCACCTGACAGACGAATGCAGCTACGAGAAGTCCCATCAGATATCTTGAGTTTGCAGCGACTGCGGATCCTTGACTTAAGCCAAAATTCCCTCCGATCGGTTCCAGTGGTAACATATTCTTTAATTAAGAAATAAATATACATCTGATACCCTTCATAGGTTTAAAACTTAGACTTGTCAGGAGACACCTGTAGAGGTTTTCTGATAATAATAATAGTAGTTATCTACTTGGTAGAAATTTAAAGAGTTTAAAGTGTTCTTATTGAAGTTGGGAGAAAATGTTGGAGTCATTAGGGGGTCAGAGAGAGGAGGCAGGCCCAGAATTTCATTGGAGTTTCACTGCGTTCTTTTGTATCCATATGGATATTGGGTGTTCTGTTTTTCTTTTAGGACCACATACGCCTTGGCTAAATGGTCCTAAAAGAAGGAAACCCTCTAAATGGATTGATAAAATGTTCATTTTAGGTTATTCTCAGTTCATAAATCATGTCTGTCCACAGACAGCCTTTCCTCTTGTGGTACATTAATTGCTATTCGAATTCTTGATTGTCTCTGTTAATATTGACATGCAGGAGTTCAAAAATCTTACTTCACTCACTGAGCTAGGCCTATCTGACAATGACATCTCAACGCTTCCCCCAGAGTTGGTCAGTATATGAAAACCTTTCATAATTGGATTGGTTTCTTTGGCCGTGACTACAACGAATGACAACACGAATTACCATGTTGTTTTTTATTAGAGAGTATAGATTCCATAGACTCATCTGATTGACTATATAAAATGGGTGGCCCAGTGCATGAGGCTCCTGCCATTCTGGAGTCTAGGGAGGGTCAGATAGACACAGCTTTTTTGGCCCCATAAAGCGTAGTCTACCTAAAAAAGTGGTTATAAATTCTTATATTACCAGAAGTATGGTCCTGTAGTGGTTGGCTCAGTCCCAAAGAAAGTGAGTTAAAGTCAATAACTTGAATATTTCCTTTTGTAGATAAGGTCACTGTTCATTTTTTTTCATCAATGCATTTCCCCTAGCTTATGTAACTATAAATATTTCCTACTCTTCTGGATCTTTGTTTCTAAGTAATATTAAGTTGTGCTCAACTTCAAATATCACACTATATGTATGTTGTCTACTAGCTCACATAATATTTTTGTCCAGACTGACTTTGTTACTTTATTCTAACATAGACAGTTTCTTTGATCAGGGTTTGCTTGAACCTAGCTTACAGGCCTTAAGACTTGATGGAAATCCATTAAGAAGGTATGCTACTTTTTTCGTCATGTCCTATAAGTTTCACTGGAAGGTTTGTTGTCATTCTGTAGTTTTGTGACATTAATAGATGTACAAAAACAAAAACAATTGACGCAAAGATAAAATTTAGGTCAGTCAAGTTTTATCACTGGCTTACCACCAGACTCCTTGATTGTCTGGGCGATATGGTTCAAGGATGTATGGCAATCACTGGGGTGTGGCCTCGTGCATTAGTCAAGCAGTAAACAATGTCATTGATAATATTGTTACGAATTTATGCACTGGTGGACAAAGTGCAAGGCAAAAGTACACCTGTAAGGTTTGCCTCTGGCAGAAACCTAAGACCAATTGGAGCCTGATCCCTCGCTCCAAATCCGACTGCTCAAGTTCCTATTTGATGTGGATTTTGAGCCCCAAGGTTACAATCATCATATAGATTGCTTATAGTGCTAAAAAGGCATAGTTAAATAAGATGCTAATTACTGAAACGTACCCTAGACAATCCCTTGCCTTCAATTCCTTTATGAACCAGGAAACTGGTGGGGAAGCACAAGTTGCATATTTTCCTATAAGAGGCCAAAAGATAGATTAAAAACACAAAAATATCAGCTAGGCAATGCACTCCATCCAAATGCATGTTAATTGGTCATGCTTCCCACTGCAAAGTGAATCCCATGATTAGAGGATGAGAACTTGTAGAATATACTTAATTTCTATGTGTACTAGAGTTTTTAAATTCTTTGCTGTCCTATGCATCATGACCCTTCTCATTTTATGTATATATACTTGAACAGCATCCGGAGGACGGTTTTAGACAGAGGAACCAAAGCTGTTCTGAATTATCTCAAGGACAAAATTGTTGAAGCTTAGAATCTCTGCGCATCATTTCTTGTCCATCCAGACGTGCTGTCCCACTCTTTTCGCATGCCCAAGTTCTTGATTTGAAGACCGCAGTGCTTGTATGGCTCGTGTGTCGTGTCGCAGCTTGTATCATTTGAGTTTATTATTGATTTTTGGATTCCATTATCATGGAATATACTTGCCAAGCTTCCACACCCCTACCTATTTAAATTCCAGATCAATTGTGTTTCGTTTTGTTGTTGTAATTGGAGCTTATACTTGTGAGTGCTATGTGAATGTACCAATAAAACATTTTACAGATAATAATAACGATATTACAGATCAATACCTTTAACAGTATCAGATTTTTCCTGTTCTCGTAATTGGAATTTTGCTTCGCTTCCTTTTTTTTCTCTTTTTCTTTTCCATTTTTACCCATAAAAACTCAAAACAAAAAGGAGATTTTAAAATAAAATAAAAAACTGACAAGGGATAGAATTTTCACTTCCAGCCGAGGAGCCTTATTTCAATTTATTATAAATCACCCATTGGACCAAGGTCGCCTCGTTTTCTCTGCATGAAAACTGTGAGTGAGAGAGAGCACCACTATCACCATGGTTCTGGAAATCACCATTGTTGCTTCCTCTAATTTGGCAAGTTCAATTAGTAGAACCTACAGGTTATAACTACTGGTTATTAGCTGTGATTTCCCCCAAAATGTAGCTTCAGAAGTACACTATTGTTGATCATTAATTAATGTTGTTGTTGTTTGGATATATAATTTGCTTAATCTCTTCGGATTTTCTATATAATTACTAATGACCATGTTGCGAAATGAAAAGGGCATGAAAGTACCAAGAGATTTGGATTTTCTTTCAATCTTCTTGCATTTTCCTGGGAAACAAGCAGGGGCCTTGGGACAATTGGTTAGTTGCTTGCTCTGCAACTTTCGTACCGTGCTTAGTTATACATTTTGCCCGAAATGTTTGCTGTAGTGATTTTTTTTTCTCTTTCTTTTTCTAGAACTGCTGGGTAGTTGGGGTTTTCAGTTTTGCACTTCAAATATTAATTAGTACATTGATCCAACGCAAAACTTATATACAAAGAAAATGTAACAAATAATTTTAAAACAAAACTAAAACAATTAAGTTCAAATTTCTTATTTTTTTTATGAAAAAAAGTTTAGAGCAAGAAGAGGCTACTCCCACACCCAGGGCCCTGCCCCCGGTATGGAATTACACAGGACATTTTCTAGATGAAAATATTTCTTTTTGTATAGCAGTATGAAAATATTTTCATTTTCGTTTATATTGTTGGTAAGAAGATAAAAGTTTAAAAGCTAAGGTAAAAATTAGATCCTTACAGTGAGTCGGTTCGGTTACTCGCTGTGGGCCCTATAAAATCCCCATTCAACCGTGGCCTCCAAGAAATGCTCTCTGCGACTGAAAACTGAGCGACTGTGAGAGAGAAATATGGTGCTGGATATCACCGTCGAGCGCGACCCCGACGTCAACGACATCGGCACGGACGCCTACACCGTCCACGTGGAGTCCCATCGCATCCTGACAGTCGCTACCTTCTCCGAAGCCACCGTCACCAAATGGCTCAAGCAAGTCTTCAAGTTCACCAAATCCACCATTCTCGTCGGCGTCGCTGCCGAGATCGACAACACGCGAGGGTGGCTCAGGAAGAAAGATCCGCCGTACGACATGCTCTGCCTCACCATCGGATGCCACTGCCTCATCTACCAGTACTTTGACGACAAACCCGCTGGCTTACTCGTCTCCTTCCTTGCAAACCCTAGGGTTTTCGCCGTGGGCCGCCACATGGCCAATCTCTGCAGGAAGCTCAAGGCGGACCACGGCATCGAGATCCGGAACGCCGTAGACGTCAACGATCTGGCGGTCAGGGGGCTGGGGAGGGACGACCTGGATCTCGGCCGCTACGGCCTGGACCGGCTAGCGAAGACTGTGCTGGGAAAGAAAATGGACGTGGTTCGGCCTGAGCAGGAGCTCTTTTGGCACGGTGAGTATGAGTCTTTTTGGAGCATGAATTGTGAGGTGGTCAAGTTCTATACTGTTGATGTGTATCTGTGCTACTTGATTGGTTTGGAGTTGATCGACGCCATTGACGGTGCTGCTGACCTTAAGAAGATGAAGAAGAAGAAGAAGAAAAACAAGAAGGACAAGTAGGTAAACTCGCCATCTAGCAAAGATCGATGGAGAGCCACTGGTCTGAGAGTCTCTTTCTTGACGTACGTACGGACTATTGTCCTTGTGTTGATTTCGTGGTCTGTTGTTTTGTTTAGCTAATTTGAGCTCGTGAATTACGGTTCCTAATTGCTTGTTATTTGCTTTTATTTCCCCAAAATTTAGCTTGAGAGTTGGTATCGTACTGGAATCTGATCAGTGTTTGTTCATGTCGACTTCTACAGAGAAAAGTATCGGAATCACTTGGATTTTTTTCTTTCATTTTTTTTTTCTCGGGCTTTCTCGGGAAACAAACTGGTGATAACAATATTAGTTAGCTTACATTCAGTTAAGCTGTCACGTGTGTGCTCACGTGTTGTTAGTTAGTATTACCTGTAATTAGTTAGATTGTTAAGTCTTAATAATTTACTAATGCTTAGCAGTAATTTTTCCGAAAACGGTGGGCGGTAGTAATTCTTTTACTCTCTTTTTCCGGTAGTAGTCGCTGTGCGCTGCATGCCGCCGTACGGGATTTGGGGAACATACGCGGCAAAGTGCACGATTCTTGGCTATGAACGACACGTGTTGTTCATTTTGGTTGATACAGTTTGTTATTATCGTTTCATTAATTGATTAGCATGGTATAAAAATAAATAAAATATATACGATGCGATTTAAGTTGAATATAAGTAGAGCATTTTTCTTAAAAGGAAAATGTGATTTTTGTAATTTTTTTTTTCCTGAGCAAATGTGATATAATTTTCAAATGGGTAAGCCTTAGTCTTGAACCATCGACGAGAAGCAAGGTCTCTATTACATTCTATCCAAGTTGCGGAGCCAATCTTAGGCTTGGAGTGGCCTTGCCCCTCATATTTTTATATCTCCTCTATTATATTATATATAACATATATAATTTATAATAAACAACTTATAATTTAAATTATAGTTTCTTCTAAAATAAATTAGACATTACTAAATTATAAATATTTAGCTTTAAACATGTAATTATTGAATACTTATGTGTTTTATATACTTGTATTTTCTAATTCAGGTCCCATAACTTTCCAATTCTAGCTCCGTCCCTGATTCTATCATACCATAAAGAGAGTTGTTGTTTGATATTTTCAGTCTACCATGAGCATATAACAGTTGATGAACGATTTTAGAATGTAATCGGCTAGCTTTGGATTCTGAATTAGGTTTTGTTTTTTTATTTGTTGGTAAAAATGCGAAACCCATTATGCCCTCAAAATCAATAACGTTGCTACTGAAATGCTGGATTTGGTGGATTGCAAAATCATACACAAATGCCGAGTTTATTTCCCAATGCATGATAATTAAGAAAAATCATACACCTAATTTTTTTAAAATCTTTTATAAAAGCATCCTCGATATATACTTTTCCCTTACCAAAAAAAAATTAAGCAAAGAGTTTTCAATAATAGCGTCGTAAATAAAAAATAATAATGAAAATGATTAGCTTACATTAAAAAATTTCTTACTTCAGCATATGTTTGGTTACACAAGTGAAAGGTTTAACGCTTTCCTCACCAACATTTGGGAAGAAAAAATGACTTGAAAAATCTGAAGATATTGGGTTATATTGTAATTTTACAATCAAGAAATTAAAAAAGTAGAGGTAAAACATATATATACGTGACACAGTAACTCACAGTGAGTCAATGACTCGCTCCTCACTCCTCGCTTTCCTATATAAGTGCGGTGACTCACATCATTTCACCGTGCTGTCCAACATATTCTCTCTGCAATTGAAAAAACTGAGCGTGCGAGTGTGTGAGAAAGAGCCACAACCATGGTGCTCCAAATCACCGTCGAGCGCGACTACACCATCGAAGACACCAGAACCGACGCGTACACCGTCCACGTCGAATCCCACCGCATCCTGACCGTCTTCACCAGCTCCGACTTAATCGCCACCAAATGGCTCAAGCAAGCGCTCAAGTCCTCCCTCACCAAAACCACCGTTCTCGTCGGCGTCTCGGCTGAGACGGACTACCCTTGGGGGTACAGGAGCAATGAGGACGTGCCGTACGACATCCTCTGCCTTAACATCGGCTCCCAGTCCCTCATCTACGGCTTCCCTTACGACCGTGACAAACCAGCACGCTTCCTCCTCTCCTTCTTCCAAGACCCTAGGGTTTTCGCCATCGGCCACGGCATGGCCGAGCTCTCCAGGAAGCTCAAGCTTCATCACCGGATTCAGACCCGGAACGCCGTCGACGTCAGTAATCTGGCGGTCAAGGGGCTGAAGAGAGACAACCTGGATCTCGGGCGGTTCGGCCTGGACCCGCTCGCGAAGGCCGTGCTCGGGAAGCGAATGGACGTGTTTAGGCCTGAGGAGAAGGTCGAATGGTACGTCGAGGATAGTTGGAGCCTCCGGAGCCAGAAGGTCAAGTTCTGTACTGTTGATATCTATCTGTGCTTCTTGATCGGATTGGAGTTGATCGACTCCATTGACGGTGCTGCTGGCCCTAAGAAGAAGAAGAAGGACAAGTAGCTAGAATGGTTATCTAGCCCTGAGCGATGGAGAGCCACTGATCTGAGCCTCTCTCTCAGTACGTAACGTACGGACTATTATCCCTCTGTCGATTTCGTGGTCTGTTATTTTGTGTTTAACTAATAGTTTTAGTAGTGGATTAGGGTTCTCAATATTGTTGTTACTGATTAGCAGTGATTTTCCCCAAAAATATATAGCTTAAGAGTCAATGAAGTAGTCATCAATATGCTTGCTCAATGTTGGTGTTCTTTGAATCTGTGTTTTGTTGTGATATTCAGATATTTCTCATATATTAGAAATATTTTCATGTTGATGTTACGTTCGAGAGGTACTCAGAAACTTGGATTTTCTTTGAGTTTTCTCGGGAAACAAACAGGGGCCTAGAATGGCTTCCTCAACAAGTTTAGTGGTTATAGTACTGCACAGCTGTAATTTTGGCCAAAATGATTGCTGCAGTGCAGTAATTTTTAACCTTTTTCCCTTACTGGTAAAAGAGTCAGTAGTCTCTGCTGTTCATTTGCAGCGAGACGTGGGTTGCATGCGCTGTGCTTTACATGCTACGCGCCAAAACGCGTGGCTTGTTCCACGACTTCGTTTTGGTTGATGCGTGCGTGGTTGGTTTGGTTAGTCTCGTTCCATTAATTGGTTTGGTTAGTCTCGTTCCAGAGTAGTTAGCCTTTCCAACAAAAGAAAAAAGAAAAAGGAAAAAAGAAAAAAGAAAAAAGAAAAAGAGATGTTAGTTTTGAATAGAAAATGGGCCTTTCTGGACAAAAAACGGTTGTCTCACTCACATTTGTGTTATCATGTCAATGACACGTCACACATAAGCCATATGTCTGAGAGATACTACCCGTACGTCTCAAGTACATTAGGCCCTCAACATCAATAATACGAGTCTCATAATGAAATGTTTGATTTTGTGAGTTTGCACCTAAATATTTGAAAAGTGCCCAATACCCAAATTAATACAAAAATTCCAACTTTATCCCATAGGACATGACAAAGAAAAATAATTTAGGAATCTAAATACATCCAAGAAGTTGGACACAAATAATAGCTATTTAAATTTAAATGAATTAACTTTAGGTGTAGTGGTACCTTTTTTTTATTTTTCCAATTTAGAAAAGGTCCCAAATTGGAACCCCCGTCCTGTTGATCAAATAAAAAATGAATTTTTATTTTATTTTTATCACAAGCGATGGAATGAGGGTTTCTCACACACCAAAGAGTAAAAAGTTGAGAAATTGTATTTGATGTTGATTGTATTAATCATATTCCTCTAATTGAAGTAGCAATTCCAACACTCAGTCTGCACTCTCGTTTCAGCGAGTTGCGCTCTAAAGTGAATATTTTATAGTACTCATAAGAGAAGTACACGAGGTTAAAAAGGGAGTGTTTAAATCACTAACCTAATTTGGAACTCCTATCATTAATTAGTTTTAATTATGCCTAAAGGAAGAGTAATCTTCATAAAACAAGTCTTAGTAATATAATTTGGTTAATGTAGAAAAAGAAAAATCTAGTAGAAAGAATGTGTGATTAGCTTTTAATTTTTCTCAAGAAACGGTTGGAAAATGTTAAGTTGGGACCTGAAGGTTGATCTAAATTTTTACTGTCAAGAAATGGAAAAAGTAAGGTAAATGCCTAACACAGTAACTTCCAGTGGGCTTCCTCTATATAAAGTCCCATCGATGGACCGAGGTCACCAGGATATTTTCTCTGCAACAAAAAACTGAGATAGTGTGAGAGAAGAAAGAGAAAGGAGAGAAGAGAGAGTGAGAGAGCCACAACAATGGTGCTTGAAATCACCGTCGAGCGCGACTACACCATCGAAGACCCCAAAACGGACGCCTACACCGTCCACGTGGACACCCAGCGCATCCTAACCGTCGTTACCCACTCCGAGTCCATCGTCACCAAATGGCTCAAGGACGCCCTCAAGTCCTCCATCAAATCTGCCGTTATCGTCGGCATCACGGCCGAGACCGAGGAGAGGTGGTGCTGGCACGAAAAGGACAGGCACAAGGAGTATCCGTACGACTTTCTCTGCCTCAACATCGGGGCCCAATCCCTCGTCTACGAGACGTGGGAGACATATTTCAGAGGCAGACACTCGCTCGTCTCCTTCCTCGAAAACCCTAGGGTTTTCGTCATCGGCCGCGGAATGGCCAATCTCTCCAGGAAGCTCAAGGTTCACCACGGCATCGAGATCCGGAACGCCGTCGACGTCAACGATCTCGCGATCAGGGGGCTGAGGAGGGACGACCTGGATCTCGGCCGGTACGATCTGGATCAGCTCGCCAGGGCCGTGCTCGGGAAGCAAATGGACTTGGCTAGGCCTGAGGACGATTTCTACTGGAAACATAGGGACGATGAGTTCCATCGTTGGACCCAGTGCGACGAGCTGAAGTTATTCTGGGCCATTGATCCCTATCTGTGCTTCCTGATCGGTTTGGAGTTGATCGACGCCATTGACGGTGCTGCTAGCCACAAGAAGAAGAAGAAGAAGAAGAAGAAGAATTAAGCTTGCCTTGCCTAGCTATGAAGTCTGAGTCTCTGACCGTACGTACGTACTATGTTGATTTCGTGTTTTCATTTTGTAGTGAAGTTACTAGTATCTGTGACTTTGAATCTCATCAATATCGTTGTTGTTTGCTTTAATTTCCTCCAAAATGTACGTTGTTGTACGTAGCGAATTTCTAATATCACTGAGTAGTTGTTAATCTGATTTCATGGATGCTATTTGTTTCTTTCCTTTGCTTTAGCTCTCTTGTGATTCTCTGTTAATCTCCAATATTCGTGTTGATGTTATGGTGAAAAAATGCTACTGATTGAGAGACTCGAATTTTCTTTCACTTTTCTCGGGAAACAAACAGGGGCCTAGAATGGCTTCCTCAGCAAGTTTAGTGGTTATTGTACTGTACTGGGTAGGTGTATTGTACCGGAAATGGTTAACGCAGTAAATTTCCCTTTTTCTTTTTCCGGTAAAAGAGTCAGAAGTCGCTGTAGTGGGAGTGGCTGTGTGTGCGCACTGCATATTCGCGCCGTACGGAATTAAACGTTCATACGCGCGCCAAAACGCGTGGCTTGTTGCAGGACTCTTAAGGGTCATTTTGTTTGTATGTGTAATGTAACAAATGAATTAAATGGTTAGAGGTTATAGTACGTACATAAGTATAAAAGATTAAATATCACCTATAACAAAATGATTTAATTTCATGAAGAAAAATATTTTTACTCATTATGAACTTAAAAATTAATATGCAAGCAAAAGACTTGTAGCTAAAGTTGTTCAGAGCCATTTATTTCTACACCCAATATGCGTGAATCCTCCTTTCTAATATCGCTCATATATTTTCTTTCTATTTGTTGGGAAGAATCTTAAGGTTTCATATGTACCTAACAATTTCAAGATTTATCCATGAGCGCTGTGATAAGATTAAAAAGTAAACAAGGGAACCCCGTGGGGGGTGGTCACGTGAGGCAAGCTGGCCCTAGGTTAATTTTTTTATCTTACAAAGTTCTAAATTGTTTTTGAGTTCTTAGTGCACCCATGGTGAAATTTGAAACTTGGGATATACAGAATGTTGGGTGTGTAGGGTGCACCCGGTCAAAATGTTGGGTGGTGCATACTGAATCCCGTTAGACTTTTTTCAAAACGGCCCATTCTGTTTTGGGCTCGCAAACAGAATCCCGTTAGACTTTTTTCATTCGGCATCCCATCCTTCACAAACTTCGCGGTTCGCAGTTCACGCAGCTCGAAACGGTGCGTTTCACCTCTTCTTCTTCAACACTTCCCGCACTGGTACAGAATGCGTTAGCAGAGCTCAAAACGCTGCGTCTTGAACTCCCCCCATAGCTCCTTCAACACTTACCTCCCTGATACAGGGTAAGATTATCCTCTCTCTCTCCCTCTCTCTGCACTTTTAGGGCTGATATTTTACTTGAATTTCCCAATTTTTATATCCTGAATTAATTTCACATTCGATTTGGTTAATACATATGCCTTAACTATATGAGCTTATTGTTTTATTTTAATATATATATATATATATATGTATAGATATTATATTATCGTATACATCAGGCCATGGAGGCAAATACTGTGCGCAATGAAGATGAGGTTGAAGAAGAATATGTATTGCTTGATCTTGATTCTGCTTACTCGCAGTTTGACATTCCACCAAACGCACCCTATGTTCTTTCGGTACGTTTTTCCATTCTCAATTTATCGTTATTTTTATATTTTCAGCTATTTTCAGCATTTACAACTCTTTGTAATGCTACTTTAATATTGAAATGTATTGATTTTCAGGGTTTGAACTCAGAGCATCCTGTATTGACTATAGGTGACAAATTGAACTTGGTGAGTTTATATCCTGAAATATCAAAATCCTGTATTTACTTGTATCACGATGATCTGTAGTCTAGTCTATGATTCTTTGCTGATTTTAACTTGTTAATGTATCCAAAACTAGAAAATGGGGGGAAATTCGGGTACTGTAAGTTGAATGTAATAGTATTATCCGGACTTAGACTCTGTGTGTTTCGTTGCTGAAAAAGAAAAACCCCTGCACTCCCTCAGCTTTGTTCATTTGTTAAAGAAATATTATGCTTCTATGCTGTCATTACATTTTTTTAATCTGACCCAATCTTGAACTTGTTAGGACACTGAGGCTATGAAATTAGTTCATGTTTTTGCAGCATAATTTGGTCATATTCTTTTATGCTGGTTTATGTAACATTGTATATCTTGGGTGGCAATAAATTGTTTTAACTCCGATCCGTGTACTGTTGCTCCTGCTGAGGTTTTAGTACTTTCCTGGCATTTTATGTGTTGTTTATAGCTAATTGTACTGTGCAGAATAATATTGACTAATTTAATTTCCCTTGGAGTGGTTTTTACTGACATCTAGTTAGTAGAGTCTTTTATGTAGATACTAACCCGTGTTTGAAGAACTACTAAGGAAAGTATAAATTAGTTTGTGTTTGCTATGCACAAGCAGAGGGATGTAGCCTTTGAATTGGTTATTTATTATTTCTTGGTGCCCCTTAGACCAAATATTTTTTTTATTTGATGTCTCTGTCTCTGTCTCTCGCTCTCTCGCTCTCTTGCTCTCCCTCTTTTCCTGGGGTTGGGGGTATTATGGAAACTGATATGTTGATGAACATGATTTTTTTTTGCTTGAAAAAATGAACTGGTTTTCAGTGAGAAGTGAGGTGACAACCCATGTATTTATCAAAAGGGTCATTCATCAGGTCATATTTGTTTATATTGAACAAATTTAAAGTATTACAACTATTGGCTATTTTGTTTATTTAATGTCATGGTATCGCTTGCTGGTTAAAATCAAGTTGAGGATGTGGTGTCTATTTCTGTTGACTAGATGTTTATAATTCAAAGATGTTTTGGTGGATTTCTGGGTATTACAAATAAAAAAGTTTAGACATCTGTGGCAGTTGGATAGTAGTTTTTTACATTTATTCCTTAATTGTTACAATTCTCCCTTTGATTTTCTCTGTTGAGCCTTGTGAGCTGTTTCATTATTTTTCATTGGTAATTAGTATGTCATACTTGGAAGAACTTGGGCAAATTATGTTGTCACTGGAATGGCTTGGAGGTTGAAGTTTGGGTGACTTGATTTCCGTTGACTAATTCTTGTTTTCCTACAGATTGGAGAATATCATGAAACGGTTGGGACATGCCTTATTTTTAAAGAAGAAGGTAAATCACATTTTTATCCCACTCAGAAATATGTGTAAGAAACTATGCCTGGAAAACTGTTTTCTATACATGCACTGAACTCAATATTTCTGGATCTAGATTTTTTGGAAATAGATCCTTTTTATCCCTTCCTTTTTCTTCTCTGTTTTTTACAATTTATTTCTCCCACTGCGACGGGGAATTCAGGTTGTCTTTTTATGTTATCCTAACAATGCCTTGTAGGAGCTTTTTTTCTACATAAGCAGGAGTAAATGTCCCTCAAACTCTGTTACCAGGATCAGATGCTTTCATTTGAGGGGCAATGAATTTCTGGTCACCTGTTTTCTTATGATGTGAATGTACTGATTAAGTTCACCATTCTTTGATAAGAATGGAGTAACTAGAATAGATATTGAGAGGTGATCTGGATTTTTGATTTAGAGGTTATACCATTTTACTTCTCTATGGAGCTGTTAAAAAATGGTCCTACTGTTGCGCAAGGTGGTTATGATAGCCGAATACCAGTCATAACCCGTTCTTTACTACTTGAATCTACCTGCATTAGTATAATTTTTTATTCTAAAGAGATGTATCTCTATTTGCAGTTGCTAGCCCTGTGGTTCATGAAGAAACGGGACCATCAGAAGCAAACCTTTTTGCTGGCAAATGCATAGTGGATCCAAACCAACCTCAAAGCAAGCAAGTAAAACCAGTTACGAGCCTGCACCGGATTATAAAATTTAGATTGGCACCCAATGTTGACTCTGATGATGCATCTAAACAGACTCCGTAAGTAATTTTTTTTTTTTGGGTTATAAAATCTTTGAATTATACATCTTGTGTTTTCAAATCTGATTTTTGAAACGAAAACTCAAATATTTGGTTGTTCGAGTTGTCCAGGGATCAGGTGCAACATACAGTGCATTCAATGGGGAATGACCAACATGAGAATCCATAGTCAACCCTAAGCTTGTGTCGTATAAACAAGGATAACTTGCATGCTAAGCTAAAAGCTGAATGTTGTTGTAGAGCCTCTTTCTGATAAGACTTTTTTCTTTTCCTTTCGACGTAGTTGGCACCATGAGCTTTTTGTAAATTTGAGCCATGTGCGTTTTAGTTTCAGAAAATGAAAAAGAAACTTATTCGTTAAGGCTTGACCAAGCCATCACATTTGCTGGCCTTCAAAATATAAAATTATTTATCTTTCTTTTGTGTATTACCTGGTTTCCATGCCTTCGTAATTTTGAATTATTTTGCCTCATGCTCCTTCGACCACATGATGTCAAGTATGGGTTTGGTAAATGGGGTCAATAAAGTGAATATACTAAGAGATCCTTTTACATCAAACCCATATGGTGTCAATGGGTTTGGTAAATGGGAAAATATTGTCTACATTAAGCAATGCTGAGGTCATATTAGGCATGAATAATTGCATAGGGTGAAATTTTTTGGTTTAAGTTTCGAATATGCATATCCTAACCCTTGAACCTTTCTGGTTTGGAACCTCGAACCTCTTTGAGAGTAAAATTTTGAAATTTGATCAACTTCAAATTATGATTTAAATGAAAACGTTGAAATTTGAAATTCTAAATCATAGATATGAGACTCGTATTTGTGAACCGACTCAAATTATAGATACAAGATTCAGGTTTGTAAATCAAAGACTCGAGGATTGTGCCTTACCGAACTCGAGATAGTAATTCGTAATTCTGATTTTTCATGTGCCAGGGAATCATTTTCTCATAAGTCAAACACTGCGTGAAGAAAGTCCTCTTGGAAAGAAAAAGGAAAACCAAAGAAATGGGAAACACAACAACTTGACTTGACAGTTATATGCCTGAAAGGGTGCGTGACTTGGAAGGTTGGAAGTTGGAATCATCAGCTCCTTCCACGTGTAAGCGAATCCGCGACAGTAGAGTCCGCAGCAGACCAATCACCATGCGCCAGCAGAGCTACCACTTTGTCTTTCTCCTTCCCTATTTTCTGTGCTGCTTTGCTGAAGCTCTGCTTCCATTTTTATCATCATTTCATTATCTCAGAGGCAGACAGACAAGAATCATTCTCTCTGTCCTCAATCAAAAAAATTTTTTTTTTTTTTTTTTTTTTTTTTTTTTATAATTAATTAATTTCCTAATTCCCTTTATAAAGTGAAACCAAACCCGAATCTCATACAGCCCATTCTCCATAAAAGAGCTCGCAGCCCTACCAACCAAACTTTTTATTTTGTGCTTCTCTCTTTCTCTCTCTCTCTCTTCCCCCCAAATTGGAAAGTGGAAACCCCAACCTTATTCAGAAGCTCAGAGCTTGAATTTTCTAAATTATTCGGACAAACAAGACAGAGATCGCCACCCAAAAGACTCAAAATTCCCACTTTTTTTCTCTTCCTGGTAAATTATGAATTTCCTTCCTGTTCCTCTCTCTAATTAAATCTTTCATTTCATTCAATTGCCATCGTTTTTGAGAGATTGTCGCTTTCAATTTTTTGCTGTTGTAATTTAAATTCCTGTTCGTTGATTGGGTTTTACTCAATAATTTGCAGGTAAAGCTCTCATTTCCATCGAGTTCACGATAACGTGGAAAAGGGGTTATTTGTGATATTTGACCATCTGATGTTTTATTTCGAATCACTGCATCAGAAACCTGTGAATTATTCTTCTAGGCCCCCCTTCCTCTACTCCATTTGCTACATTTTTCTCCCTTCGGATTTTTTCTTTATCTGTTGCTTCAATTGTCTCCGATTTCGCCTAAAACTTTGACACTTATCATATTGAAGCTCAATTTGGTATTTTGTGGTGGATTTAAAGGATTGAAAATTTGTTTATAATGGCGGCTGAAAGATATAGGCCGGTGTCAATAGAGGACTTGCCTTCACATTTAGTTTTAGAAATCTTGAGCTCGGGAAAGCTCAGTGCCATTGATCTTCTACATTTAGAGTTAACTTCTAGGACATTTGGAGGGAGTCATGAGTTGTACCCTCACAAGTTTCGGTCACTGGTGGACTTTGCCGCGTATCAGCTATGTGTGTCCCATTCTGTTTATGGTAAAATGGAATGGAATGCTCAGAGGGGGTTATTTGATCGGTGCGGTGGGAAATGGAAGCGGGTTTTGAGGTTCTTGCAATCGGTGGAGCAATCATCTGACATGGTCGAGACCTCAGCAGGCAATGTACTATTTCATTATTATTTGCAGTTGCTTATAAATGAATGAACTTTATCTGCAATCTGGAATACTGGTTAAGCGAAAGAACACCAATGTGCTTGATAATATATTCTTGTGGAGTTTGCTAATTAAGTCAATCATCAGTTACAATGTTTGCATGAAACGACTTTGTTCTTGGTAACTTAATCCCTTATTTATTTAGATTCTCCAAATTCTTACAGTGAGATTAGTTGGCATGCAATAACTAAAAGGAAATTGAGAAATGATATATAGATTTTAAAATTAGCTGGAGGATTGCTTACTGTTGCTTGACCATTTTGAAGACTCAGCAGAAAATGACATAATTTAGTTCATCTACTAAAAAAAGAAAGATCTAAATATTGTTTGTGTTCCCTCTTCGTAGAAAATGTCTTTTAAAAATTTGTTAGATAATTGGCCTGTTGGTTCATGTTGATAATATTACGCTGCTTTTTTTCTTTTCTTTTTCTTTTTTCTTTTTTTTGCTTAGTTTTCTGGTCATTTTTATAGATGCTGGATAAAATGTTAAGATTGTTTTTATCAGCAGATGCAAATTACAACTGGAAGGTATCACACGTTGCTAATCAGCAATTCATCATTATACTCATGTGGTTCCAGCTTGTGTGGTGTTCTTGGTCATGGTCCTGAGACTAAGCAATGTGTAACATTTACCCAGATTAATTTTCCATCTCCAGCACAAGTAGTCCAAGTGTCGGCCTCCCATAACCATGCTGCTTTTGTTATGCAATCTGGAGAGGTTAGTCCCTGCTTGTACTCATCACGTTTTACCTTCTTCTGAACTGAAATAATAATAATGATACTAATAGTAGCGAGGAGGTTGCTCTTGGCAGTGAATGATAAAAGTATGTTAGGGTCTCATGAGGATATGAAACTAAGTGAAAAGGGTTTAAACACTGTTATTGGTAACTGACATGTCAAAGTAGGCCATAGTAGTGACTGTTCCTTTACATAGAAGCTGTTGTATCTTAGATGTGACTACATAAGAAATACTTTTCCATCATTTGGAGCTCAATAGTTCCACTTAAGATTTGAATTCTGCTGGTTTCTTTCTGCATGTTCCTTAAGTTTTGTTGAAAGTTTCACACCCATGACTTGTTGGTTGTTTGGTAATGATAGACACTTATAGGTTATTATCGAGATTTGCAAGCTGTATGATCCCATTGTGAAACCTGGTTTAGAATTTGGTTGGGATTTCACTATCAACATACTAGCTATCTACTCACGCACACTGCTTTCTGCGCCTATATATCATTTACACATCCAGTGTCTTATAGAGAATAAAACTACTGTGAGCTCTCTCGTGTTAGTTTTCTAGTACTTGCCTTGATGCATTAATAGTGTGCTTGTGTCTTGTCACTCTTTTAGTAGCATAGCTCTCTTACTTTTAGATATTTGTGCATGATTGTCCTGCTATGTGTAGTCCCTGACATATTATATTTGTGAGATCAACTTTGATACATTGCTTGCCATAGTCATTTAATGATGCCGTCCGGTTACTGATACAGGTTTTCACATGTGGGGATAATTCGTCATTTTGTTGTGGGCATAAAGATACAAACCGACCAATTTTTAGGCCTAGGCTTGTTGAGGCATTGAAGGGACTTCCTTGCAAGCAGGTACATTCTTATCCACATTGTCATAGCATAAATGATGATTGGTTTTTCAAAATGGATGAACAAGCATGAGCGTTGATGGATATTATATAACCTTCTGGGTAAATGATCTAGATCCTTTTCTAGTGGAGATTATTGTGGATTTTTTTGGCCTTCATTGCTGTCAATAGCAGGAAATAGTTGGATTATTGGAAAATTGAGCATGTTCTAGTATTATGAATGCAATATCTCTGTTCAAAGGCTACAATTTGTTGCGCTACAGTTTCTATTTTTGGTCTTCTTTTAATTAGTAATGTTGCACTATAATTTCTAACATTATTAACTCAAGGATTTATATGTAGTTATTGCTTACCCTTTTTTCTCAAGAAACATAAAAGGGAAGCTGCTTGGAACCTGTTTCTGGTTTTCGAAGCTAAATACTTTGATTTGTAACGTACTCTTAATCTTAGAGGTCTGATTCTGACCATTCGTCCGATTATACATCTATCTTTTTCATCCTGAAAAATTATAGATAGGAAGGGCCCAAGTTCCCGTTATCCATTGTTAGAAATGGATTTATGCTTTATTGCCATTGAAAGGTGATATGTTTTTTTTTCCTTCTGATTTCTATTCATATGACTATATCTTTATAAGTTATCTGTTGGAACTTCATTCGATCTAATTCCCTTTTTCCTTTCCTATTCCTACAACATGCAATTAAACATTAAAGAACTTGTTTCAGGTTGCTACAGGGCTTAATTTTACCGTGTTCCTTACAAGACAAGGTCATGTTTATACATGTGGGGCCAACACACATGGCCAACTTGGTCATGGAGACACCATAGATAGCCCGGCTCCAAAAATGATTGAACTTCCCGAGGGAATTGGCTACATAGTTCAGATTGCTGCTGGCCCGAGTTATGTTTTAGCTGTAGCTGACAATGGAGTAGTCTACTCTTTTGGGTCGGGTTCTCACTTCTGTCTTGGCCATGGAGAGCAACATGATGAGTTCCAGCCACGCGCAATCCAAACATTTAAAAGAAAGGGTATTCATGTGGTTCGTGTCTCTGCAGGTGACGAGCATGCTGTGGCACTTGATTCCAGTGGATATGTTAGTCTCCAAACCAAAGATGAAGTTTCTATATTTTATTGTTTATGCTCAGCATGTATTTGAGTTCTGACCAAAACGGTTCTAACTTTCAGTATGGCAATTGCAGGTATATACTTGGGGTAAAGGCTACTGTGGTGCATTAGGCCATGGGGATGAGATTGACAAGACTACCCCAGAACTCTTGAACAAGCTTAAAAGCCACCTCGCTGTACAGGTTTGGTTTGTTCATTCTTTTGATCATTTCTGATAAAGTTGCTATTTTTTGTGTCAATTGTTCTTCAAGGTTGCCCTGAATTGTTAAGAATAGATGCAATAGTCCAAAGCAAGGACAATCTTTGGTGTTGCAAAACTTGCATACCTGTTGAAAAGAATGAAATCTGTGCATCTCTCTTTTTTGTTTTTCCCAGTTCACGGGGAACCTCTCATTCTAATCCATAGGTGTGCTTTAACAGTTATTGTATTCTGTAGGTGTGTGCTAGAAAGCGGAAGACCTTTGTTCTCGGTGACAATGGTTCAGTATATGGTTGTGGTTGGATGGGGTTTGGCAGCCTTGGATTTCCAGACAGGGGAGTATCTGATAAAATATTGAGCCCTAGAATCCTTGATAGCTTAAGAGCTCATCATGTTTCTCAGATTAGCACTGGGTTGTACCATACTGTTGTTGTCACTAACCGTGGAAAACTCTTTGGATTTGGAGATAATGAAAGGGCGCAACTCGGGCACGACACTTTAAGAGGATGCCTTGAACCAACTGAAATATTTATACAAGAAATGGTTGATGACGTGGACATTGTTCCAGAATGCGTCTGACCTCAGAGAGATACCGTTGGCTTCACGGAGCTGTATGATTTTATGTCCCAAGTGAACACCATTAGACTTTCCACCATAATTTTTAGGGAATTTCACGAAATTGTAACTGTGTAAGTATAAGGTAATAGCTTCTGTATAAGTGAGATTAAGATGGATTATGTGTAAAACTTTAGTTGTGTTTTTTTTTAATGGTTTGAAAAACTATGTTGTTGTGTCTATCGATTTTTGTGATACTTGTGGGAAATTAGATCGCGTACGAAGAGTCTAGCTATGACTGCATTGTAACTTTGTTTCATTTATAAGTGCCTAACAATGATTCTTCTTTCAAATGCTGTCTACTTATGGTTCTCCTTGTCCATGCCTTGAGTTTATATCTTTTAAAAGATAAGGGTTGATTTGATATACACATGGGAAGTTATGTACTCAAATTACAAGGACATCTGTCAAGGTATTGTTTGTGACATTTTTGGGTAGAGTAATGCTATGGAAGTCATTCACATGTGCATCAATGGTTGTCAGCCATATAGATGCAAGTGAATCTCACAACGCATCAATGGTTGGACGACTGTTATTAGCACAATTTTTTTTTATCCTTCCTGCATTTGCCAGCTAATCTCCCATGTCCCATGGAGAACTAGCTTTATACCATATTAGGCGTGTACCACAAGGTTTGCCATCTTGTAGCAGACATGGATAACGTAGTCTTTAATCCTTTGTAGCCTTGTAGGTAAAATAACAAACCATACCACAGGGGCGGTAAAGTTTAATCTTTTGGGATTTTAATTTTAAACCAGAGGGAAGGCATTTCAGTTAACAGTCATTTTTATCATTTATTTCTGTACCATAAGACAGCACCTATCTGCCAGCCTTAGATCAAACCCTACTTCACGAGTCATGCCTGCAGAATTTAGCCTTTCCATTATGAACTTCTGATCGTTTATGTTGGAGTCTAATTTAAAATCAGTTATCCTCTCTCTCTCTCTCTCTCTCTCTCTCTCTCTCTCTCTCTCTCTCTATATATATATATATATATAATGAAATGTTGCAGCAGAATGAAATGAGCCAACCCATCAAAATCAATGTGTGCCCGTGTTCCTCTTGCTACAAAATCAGTATGAGCTCTGAGGTGTAAATGTAAATAGGTTGAGGGGTAGCTAGAAGTTGGAAGAGGAATGACTGGTGTAAAACCAGCTATATTTTATTTACAATCATAAAGGCCCACTTCTATTAGTTTTAACTATACATGTAAATATAATTTATATTTGATCACGTGCTGGCACATCCCTTTTCCCAATCAAAATACCTAAATGGAAGATGGGTTGTCCAGTAAAGAGCATCCATCTAATGGTCAGAAAGTAAGTCTGTTCCTAGTTCCTGGATAAAGAAACAAAATAGCAGTTTAGCTCCTTGGTTAGTTCCATGCTTTCCAAAGAGAATGGAAAACCTTTTAGCCAACAATCCACAACTGTTTGTAAAAGAACTAGCCCTCAACTGCTGCCACATACCACTACCTGAAAGTTTTGTACTAATAACAACTGATCTGAGTTTTAAACACACGACTTTGGATTGGATGCCATGCCAGGTTTGTTTCCAAATCCTACTCTTTCATGGGCCATTTTTAACTACTCTTTTGTTCTTTTGCCCTTTGTTTCTTTAGTTGATTGCAATGCACTTTACACTTTTACACTTTACAGGAAATAATAGGTATCCATCTGCTTTTTGTTTTTAACATTTCTTTTGGAACCACCAGTCTCCCCTACCAGACCAGACCCTCAGCTAATGAAGAAAACGGGGATAGGACTGTTTTGCCATCCCCGGCCAATAATGCTATGACATGTGGAAGAGGTCGGGGATAGCAAAATAGTGGTATCCTCGTTTCATGAAAGTCTTTCTCCAGCTAGTGAGCTTGCTAAATGAATGCTATTTACCAAAATTTTGATTAACCTACCTTCAACTTCAACTGGTTTTGGACATAAAATCATATTTAAACTCATCCTTTTAAAACAGCTGTAAGGGCTTAAAAGATGTGAATTGACTAGTCTTTTGCTGGACAGTGGGAGAGGGGTACAGATTAGTGAAGCCTACCGTACCAACTACCAAACAAATAACCGACATGATCAGAAAGATTGGTGGATTGTATGATATTAGAATATGTGGCTGGGGGATAAGCATTAACCAGTTTTGGCCTTGAGTTTAATTATTGAACCCAGTCTCCTTGGATATGTTGTTGTGGATAAAAAGGAAAATAATTAAGATCCGAGGAGAACAAGTAAGATTTATATATGTGTGGTTGGCTTGATTTCCCAACCAAACCAGCTTTCTGCCAATTCGAAAAGTTTCATTTTGGTCCATAAATAAACAAAACCAAACTGGTCATGGCCGCTTTAGATATTTTCTTATGTGCATACACATGTACATGTATAGATAAATAGCATTTAGTTGGTGACATAAAAAACAAATACATGAACAAAAAAACAGTAGCTATTAGCATGTTCTAGAGTGCAGTGCTGCCATGGGCTGTCATCTTAGTAGTTTGACAGATCCTATCATCCACACACACACAAAAAAAACAAAAAACAAAAACAAAAACAAAAAACAAAAAAATCTTTGAAAACCTTGTTAATCTAAGAATTTGTGTGGCAAACGTTCTTGATTTTTTACACCTCAAATATCCAAACTATGATGCATGACATAATCATCTTAACAGAATCGTGAACTTCAGGGCAAACACCACTTTCAAAGCAAAACAAAGAGACAAAAAGATTGAGAATCTGCCTGCCTCTGCCTGATTTTTTCTGCTCAAATATAATGAAGTGCCAAAAGAGGCAATTTGAAGATCAAATAGTAAAACAAAAGACCACATAACAAGATCCACACAAAGCCAACTTGAAAATTGTGAGAACAAGGTTCTCCCTATTCACATCACTACCTCAAATTTTTTTCTTTTTTCTTTTTTCTCTCATCTTTATTCTCTCCAAGCCCCAGGTCATGATCAAAAAACCAAAACCTTTGCACTCCCAACTCCTAATAATACATCTTCTAGGCCATGGTCTCCAAGTGCTCCCTGAAAACTTTTAACATGCCAGAAAAAGTGACAATTCCCACCAAGCTACAATCATCCTCAATAACCCACACATAGTTCACTCTGTGAGCAATTGCTTGAATCATCACAGCTACCAATGAGCTCTTGGGATGGCAAACTATGGCCTCAGCCCTCCTCACCATTCTAGCTGAGTAGCTACTGGACCTACTGTATCTACCAGACCTTGGCTGCAAAGTGGTATTTGGAGACACAGAAGACTCTTCATCTGATGAAGAAGACATCAAAGAATGTGCATAAGAACTTGATGAAGTTAATGTGTAATTTTCCAACACCCCTTGTAGCTTTCTCTCCTTCAATCTCTCCATCACAACCCTAACCAAGTGCTCAGGGGGTCCACCACAATCAATGTAGGACATGAGGTCTCCAGCTGAGAGAGTGGTGATGGCTGCAGCCACTGACTCATCACAGCAGGCAAGGGTGAAGGGTGAGATCTCACCAATCAAGACCCCCTCGGAGTCTACCACAGCCACAGAGGTCTGCTGAGAAAGTGATTGGGATATGAGCTGCAGGGCTGAGTTTGCTGAGGAGTGGTAGTTGATGGCTAAGATGTCAGTGCTGATAATGCCAAGAGACTCTATGGAGAAAGCTGGGATGGGAGAGAAGAGGCCAATTGAGCTGAGGAGAAATCGGACTACATCTTCTTGTGTCAGCCAGCAGAACTCTTGGCCATTGTGGAAGGTGGTGGTGGTGCATTTTGGGTGTTGTTTTCTTCTTGAACTGCTGCTTAGCCTGGTTCTTATTGGTACTACCAAGTTCTGGACTCCCTGGACGATCAGATCAATGGCTGCTAGTAGGCTGAAAGACACAGAACACAGAGTGAGTCAGTATCGGTTTGTGTGAAACAGAGTTCAAGTAGAAAGCTTTGGTATTTGGCTGAATTGGTCTCCAATTGACACAAAAACAAAAAACGGATGAGAAATTGGTATGATTTGAGAACTTTTTAAAACACATTCAGAAGTACACATCAGTTGGAATTTTAACCAAAATTTGCCTGTAATTTAAGAGAATGAGATTGGAGACAATAGAAACAAATCTTACAAAAACTTGTGACATTTTGGACTAAATGAAAACTCAACAGAACTTAAAAAATTAAGAAAACCCAGGTAACAATTTCATCAAAAAATAAAGATTAAACCCAAAAAATTGAGAAAAACAAGAACCTTCAAGACAAGGGTTTGGTTTTCAGTACCTGCAAGAGGGTTCCACATGCATCATTTGGCCAGGAATCTTAGACAAAATTGCAGAGACAGGTGCCTTGAGAGCAGCAGATGGAGACACCAAGTTGTCATCTTTACAGAGATAGCAGATGACATCAACCATGCAGACCTTGCCAACACAGCGGCACAGCTGGCCAGCGTCTAGAGATCTGGTAGTCTTGGAGTGGTTGCAGTCCCAGACACTGATGAAGTTTTCCTCACATGTCTTCAAGGCCTCTAAGGCATCAGCAACTGTGGCGGAGGCAGAGAGGGACCTCAGGGCCGGCTTGGCTAGACAGAGGTCAGATACCTCGTACCTCAAGAAGCTCACTGCCATGCAAGAACTAGTTGACAATGGGGATGATGAGGAGGAGGAGGAGGAGGAGAAGGAAGAGGATGGATTGAAGGAAGGAGCTCTGTAGGTTGCGAAAAAGCAGAGCTTTTTATTGTGGTGGTGGTGATGTTGAGGAGTTTTAGAGTATAGTGGATACAAAGAGTTGGGGGGTATTTATGCGAGAACTTCTCATGGGTTTGGGGGATGATAATTTGGAAAATGTTGGGGGCATGGACCGTTCGGTATAAAGGTACCAAAACAGTGTGGGGTCCATTGTTTCGATTTTTTTATAACAGAAATAAATTAAAATTCTCACATATATTATAACAAGTATACAAATTATTAACATACAAATCCTATGAAGTACAGGTGCTTATTGTCTGCCAAATTGGAGTTTTTAGGTTTTTTTGGCATGCGTAATTCTCTCCATATCAAACCAATTTATTTTTGTATTTGATCACTGGAGATGTTGTACTCATATTTGGTATTGTGACTACTCTGTACTTTTCTATGTGTTATCAATAAAATTACTATCGCTTTTAATCAAAATAAAAATAAAAATCATATACGTTTAAACCCTAAATCAAGCGTATTGTATCAATGTTGAATAGAAAAAATGACTACTAAGGACAGACTATTTTTACTTTATAACAAATTATCGCCCATGATATTTGAATTTGTTAACTTATTTATTAAAGCTGAGGTTATATATCACTAAACCAAATGGGATATAATTATTTTAGGATATTGTTTAACTCTTTACATATATAGAGGACAACATATTACAGTATGATACATATACAAATAATAAAATATATATATATATATAAAACTGTGATTTCTTTGCAAATATGAATGCCTTCTTACCAAACATGTAAAGGAGCCAAATATTTTCCTTATTTTAGATTGTAGGGTATGTTGATTGCACCACAAACTTTTCTCATCTTTTTAACAGAGTGGACCTAAAAAAATATTCCTAAATCCTAACCTTACTATCATTACTAGAGGTGCCGTTGACATGGCCAGGCCACCAAGTCGGTAAGAAAAAAATAATTTATCCTTGTTCATATTCTTTTCTTAGTATGTGAGGTGAGTTTCTTTTTTGTATTTACTAATTGTCCTTTTGTACATTACAGATGGTGGGTTAAATCATTATCATTGTGCACATTACGACATGTTTCTGTATTACATTATTGGAAGTACAACTGTGTGAAGAAAATATTGTTTCCTCTTATCTGTCCATTTCTGTATGTAATGAGTGTTGGAGAATACATGAGTCCCATATCGGAAACTTAACAAAATAAAAAGTCTCATATAATAAATGGTTTCACTCCTAATAACATCGAGGCCTTTTGTATAAAATCTCACACCTGCTAAATAGGTGGTTAAGTTGGGGATAATATCGATGTTGCTAGTGGTGGGCCAAGGGTCCGTCCCTCTAAAATCTTAACAATGAGTAATTTCTTTTCCTCGTGAAAACTCCAAAGAGGGAGGAGGAGGAAGAAGCGTCACTGGCTCTCCTCCCTCTCCTCTCTTCTCATCTTTTCCTTTTAAGTTAGTGAATAAATCCATTGGGATGTTTTGAATAAAAAGCTCATTGTGGTGATTTCTTCTAAGCCATGCTTAGATTGAAGTTCCTCATAACCCCTTTTAGTCTATGTTCTCAGTCAAATCTTTCTCCCAAAATCTGATCCTTAACGCCGCTCATGTTTTCTAAATTTGATTATACATCGTCTTTGACGGAGGTTGTTGCAGATCACCCAATTGTTCTTTGTCAATGTTGTTGTTTTCGTTTATTTATTCACTCTTATGCGCAAATAGATTGCTGAAAATCATATTTTCTCCATATCTGTTACGGATGCTGTGGTGGGTGTGACCACGACGACTCTTCTTCAGGTGGTGGTGATAAGGTTCGTTTAGGCTCATAGGTAGTTTTAGGATTTTGGTTATATTGGGTTTATGGGCTTATAGTTAATTCTGATGATGTGAGTTAGTAGTTTTAATTTGGCTTTTGTTCCCGTTAGTTTTAATGAAGTTTATCTTTTAAAAAAATATAATATAATATAATACTTTGTACCTCGAAAGAAAAAAAAACTGCAACAAATTAAATTTTGAGCAAGTAAACTGTGAATGGGTACATTTGTAAATGGCATAAATTCTTAATGAGTTTAAAAAGAAGAAAGGGTATATATAGTCTCCTTAAGTTGAATTACTTGCAGAGTCAAATCACCATTTCTGTCAACTAATTTACAGTAATTACATAGTATAAACTGCATGAGTGTATAATAAAATGTCAGAGACATTACCTGTGAATACTGACATGCTGTAGTGGACATATAATTAATTCAATAAGGTGAGAAGGGGTTTAAAAAACTGCAAATAATACTTAATTATAGTTAAAGCAACGATTTGAAATATAATAATAATAGTAATAGTTAAACCAAAAACAAAGTCATGTGGTCAGGGTGCCTTATAACTAATTCAACTGCTGCATTGTCCACGGATTAATTACATACATGATCTACAACTAATTTGATTGTACACACATTATATATATATAAATTAGTACAAGCGATAGTTTAAATTATAAGGAAAGAGGGATTTCTCACACATACATTACCAGAGTGTCATAAGAGTTCAAACTTGAGACTATTGGTCTACAAATCAATGCCGTAATCTACTGGGTTAGACCTCACTGACTTGATTGTATATATTTTGATTGAGAGCTGAGGAGGCACACACTGCGAAGCCACTAGGTAAGTCATATAAGTAGGTTTATACTTGATAATATAAATCATTATCCCCTACTTTTTCAACAAGTTGCTCTCCCAAATGGCAGCCATGAAAAGCGTTTATTCAGGCTGACTTGGAAGCTGACTCGTCTGAGATCTAACTTAAAGCTGAATCAAACCCAACTCATTCACTCTTATTTTTGAATATATTCTCTTAGGTGTCATCAGGTTATTGACAGAAATTGGTGAATTCCATCACTTAATTGTTATCTAATTACCATTAACCATAACTTAATGTATTATGCATCACTAGTTCTAAAGTTTTAGGTTAAGAGATTAAAAACAATTTAATGAGCATTGAGGAGAAAGTTTTCTTCACAACTTGAAACATTGTTTAGTGACTTCTTTTATATTTATAGGTATTTTTAATGGATCTCTGGTGCACTGTAGATTTTCTTGAAATTAATCTCTCTTTTAACAGTAATTAACTTTTGGAATGCTTTAGACTAATCAAACAAACTCTCCTTGTCATCAGTAACACAGTTCACACCCTAGGACCTTTGGAATTATTTGTGTAATTAATTTGTTTAATCACTTTACCTAAAAGGAGTGCAAGCTTTATCCTAGGTTGGCAAGCAAGCAAAGCAACCCTGAAAATGACATGTTTATAACTTTATGGTTCCCCATTATAAGTAACATTAAAAGCATCTCAAACAGACTCTTTATCCTCTCATTCCTAACTACTTTGGTTAAAAAGAAGGAAAATTCTCCTTCTAGCAAACTCCCTACTTGGCTCTCTATTTTGGAGGACCAACTTTTGACTCTCTACATCTAGCAAGGAGGAGAAAGAATTTGACTAGGAGGAGAGAGAGAGAGAGAGAGAGAGAGAGAGAGAGAGAGAGAGAGAGAGAGAGAGGCATTTAGGAGGTTGGTGAAGTTGATTTGTAAGAAAAAAATGGAGAAAGAGAAAGATAAAATAGTAATAAAATATTTTAAATTAGTCAAAATAAAGAACATTGCTGGATAAAATACATTTTAAATGATTTACTATAATAACTTTCTAGTTATTTTAGTTAGAATTTGATTAAAATTTGAAGACTTTCGAAGATGTTCTAATTAGCTGGAAGAAAACATGATGGGATTGGATTGGACTATCCATTCTCAAATATATCTATTAATTTGCAAAAATGGACGGTCTACATCATTTGCATGGTGGCCTACCCAAAAACTTTAAGCAAATCAAAGTCTCATAAGGGGTCCCATGATGTGATGCACGACACAATTAATGACCGTACTAAACCGTACGATTTTATTTGAGAGAGATCATAGCCATTCATTGTTAATTACGTATACTAGTAATTGATGGAAGAGGATAAACAAGGCCGCTAATGCATAGAGAAGAAGGAGAAAAAGTGCATGAAGTGGGGGCCACTCACCATTTGAAGATCCTTCTTAGATTCGAATTTCATTTTTTTTAACTTCTCTTGGTGAACTTTTTACCAATCTTTTGTATCCGATTGAGATCTGGGTGAAGGCACTCGTAGCACAAAGCAACCAAAGCATTAGGCCCTTGGGAGCCAATGGTGATGCACTTTAGCGTTAAGCATTCACTAGAAAAATGGATGTTCTTTTGTTTGGATAATTTGGGATATATTACGTTATTAAATTGTTAATCTAAATAGTCGAGACGATGAGGGGAGGAGATAAAAATATGCCAAGGAAACTTATAACATAGACAAAAACTAGATTAATTTATAGAAATTGTGTTATTACAATTACATGTTCGAGAGAAAACAAGATGAACGGGTTAAGCATGAGAGATTGGAAAATTAGGAAAATACTATGGAACTCAAATAAGGATGAATAAATATGATATATATGTTAATTACTTAACACTTTGAGTTTGTTTGATAATTAGTTCGTTTTTAATTTTTCGTTTTGTTTTGTTTTTTTTTAAATAAAGAGGAAATATATGAGAGAGAATAAAGAGAAAAACGACGAAGGAGGGATGGTGGAGGGGGATAATGCAATGTAACGTTGCACAAAATGAGAACTACACAACTAAAAGTAATTTCAAATGTGCTTGTTCTTTTAAGTTTTGTTTATTACATATTTGCTTTTCTTACTCCATCTTTCCTCATTCCTCATCCTTTCTTCATCATTTCATCCATATATTTTCTCTTTATTTCTAACTGAAAATATGAAAATTAAAAAACGAAATAATTACCACCAAATGGATCGAAGTCGAAATGATTGGGGGGTTGGGTACAA